CCCAAATCTTAACTTAGAACTGCACAAAATATTTTAATAGAATCTTCGTATAAATTGTTCATTTTTGGTGTGTTTCTCCACCACGTAATGCACTCCAAACCTTAACTAAGAACTGAACAAACTGTTTTAATAGAATCTTAGTATGACTTATTCATTTGAGGATGTGTTCCTCCACCATGTAATGGATTCAAAGTCTTTGGTTCGACTAAACAAATTATCTAAATAGAATCTTGGTATTAATTATTCACTTCTCAAGTAGTCCCCCACAGTCTGATGGGTGCGAAATCTTGGCTTGGAACTGAACAAAATACTTTAATAGAATCTTCGTATGAATTATTCATTTGTTGTGTGTTCGTCCACTCTCTGATGAACTTGAAATCTTCACTTTGAACAGAACAGAATATTTGAATTGAATCCTTATTAAAAAACGCGTTTTTCATGTGATCTCCATAGATCTCAATAACTTCACACGTTTAGTTAGCACTGAGCCCAATTTTTGAATAGAATCTGGGTATGAATTATGCATTTGTACTCTGTTCCTCCACCATCTGAAGAGCACGTGATCTTTACTTCGAACTGAACAAAATGTTTGAAATAAGTGTTTCTTTGAGCTGCTGGTTTGTCGTGCGTCTCTCCACCATGTAATGAACTCGAAATCTTTATACCGAATTCAACAAAATATTCGGATAGAATGTTGTTATGAGTTATTCATTTGTCACGTGTTCCTCGACCATGTAATGTACTCGAAAGTTTTACTTCGAACTGAACAAAATGTATGAAGTGAATGTTTGTTTGAGCTACTCAATCGTAGTATCTTACTCCGGAATGTAATGAACGCAAAATCTTTTATTCAAACTAAAGAAAATATTTGAATAGAATCTTGCTGTGAATTATTCATTTTTCATGAATTTTTTCATTATAGTTGCAGGTCAGCATCATTTCCTCGAAATGGGAAGAATATTTGAATAGAGTCTTGGAAAATAAAGCAGGTATGTTGTGTCAATACAGTATTGATGTTAACTGATTAAGGCAACGTTCTGATATTTTGTCTCGTCATTTGTACATTCTTATTTGAGATTATTATTTGAAGCACTTTATAACATTGAACTAACTAACTGTTTTTCTTTTCAGGATACATGGCACAGTCGCACCTCAACCAAAAATCGAACTATATAATCAAACATTGTCCCCTAGTTAGTTTCCTTTTTCCTAATATCTTTTAGTTAGTCTCATTATTCTATATACCCACTTATTTATCTTTTTTTATTTATTCAATACTTTTCTTTTTTTTTCTTTATTTTTTTCCGTTTTTTCATAAATATTTATTCTAATAAAATTAAAAATTCAAATTATATTCGACTTTTTGTCTTTTTTTGAATCGTATCAAATATTTAAAATAAACATGAGGGACGTCTCGTCATGTATATAAGCTTAAATATGATGTATCATCATTATATTACAGTGTCCTTCTATCGTATGTGTCTTGATTTTTAAAGGACGTCCACTGGTATACGCTACTAATGAAAGCAACCAAGCGTAGCTTGATGTTTACATTTATCAATCTACGTTACACGTGTTGAAACGAAATAGAAAAAAGAAAGAAGCTTCGTAATTTTATAAAAAGAAAAAAAAGACGCAGAAGCTGTCGATATCAAACTTCTCGATCTTGTTAGCTATTTATTAGTCACAGCAATAAAATAAATAACAAGAATTAAATTTCAGGATTATTATGGAAAAATGGACGTGTTAAATTTATTACAAAAAGTGTAGAAATCAGGAAAAACAAGAATTTAATAAATCACAAAAAACGTCTTTATTTTTGTCTTTTACTCTTCGACATACAAAATAAATATATATATGTTTTTTTACATTTTAAGATTTAATTTCAATATTTTCTTTTTCTTCATCATCATGAGATTCGATTTGATTTGTAGTTAATTTTGATATGGGTCGATAATATTTCAATGCATTATTCCATTCATCACGTGGAAATCTCATAGAAAATGCAAATGTATCTTCATTCGTCATTTTTGTTTCAGTTAATTTTATCTATATATAAAGAAATAAAAATTCATAAATAGATATCTAAATTAACGAACTTGAATAAAATTGACAATAAGATCAAGTGACATTTCCGTTTGAAGAATTGTTCGTGTTGCTTCACAATCGAATGAACAAGCAATTAATGTTGGAAAAAGTATATCCATATATTTTGATTCAACAAAATAACGAAATGGTAAACATGATAATTGTTGTAATACAGTTGGTCGATTACCAAAAGCCAATCGACACTATTTAAAAAACAAAACAAAAGATGAATTTTTTTTATATTGAAATCAAAACTAACTTGATTATCTTGATTTAAAACTGAATAATAACCAATAAGAAGAATAATTTGATGTAATAATGTATCATTCATTGTTGTTTGTTGATTATGACAATATGCAAGAATATAATTAGCAACATGACGAAGTTGAAGTGAAATTGTTTCTTCACCGAGAATAGTCTAGAAAAAATAAACTTGTTTCGTTTTTCTTTTCAAATTAAAATTTTATTCAAACTTGAAATATATCAAGATCAAGTATTGCAATTGTATTTAATAAAATTAACGAATTATTCAGAATGATAAGTGTTTTTTCATGTAAAGTTATTGGACTATTATTATCATGCATTGTTTGGTTATTATTATTATTATTATTATTATTATCAGTGTCATGAATAAGAATACCATAGAGTAAAGAAAAAATTTCACAGAAATTTGTTGTTTTCATTATACTCAATACTTGAGCTGGATCATTCACAGATTTTTTTGATGATTGACCAAATGGTGGAAGATATATTCTATTAATTGGAGAAATACATACATATATTCTTTAACAAATATAATGAAAATGTTACTTTGGTCGAGAAAAATAAATCATTTGTTGTAAAAGATTAAGTAAATGAGTAATCATATCAGGTATACGTGATTTCGTTGTATTAACAATGGCTCTAGCTGAACGAAAGAATGCTGCTATCCGATCAAGTATAGCAATATTAGCCATATAACTAAATAAAATAATAATGTAAATTTTATTTTTATAATCATTTGTTTTTGAAGAATACCTAATAAAATCAGTTAAACGACTTATAATTAATTTATCTTCATTAGTTTCTGTTTCGTGTTTCCGTATATCATTCATGACTGAATTGTACATTGTTATAAGACTAGCAAGTATTTCTGCTAGATTCGTTACTAAATCAATTTGAGCTAATTTTTCACTTTCACTTTGATGATCATTATTAGATGTTGTTAAATCATCGATTTTTAAACCCTAGAAAAAAATGATTTTCTTTCATCGCGAAAAAAATTGAACTTACAGTTAAATGTCGAACTAAACTTTCAACAAGTATTAAAATTTTACCACTATTTAATATATAAAGTGCATTATCTACATTATTATTTGTTGCTGCTCGATAAACTGATACAGTTAATGCAATAAGACTAAAAAAATTTCAATAAACGATTATTTTATTTTACATATATATGTAAAATACCTTTCAGGTGCAAGCGGTGGTTTATGACATTCTGCACGTAATTCAATCAACTTTGTTAATGTTGTATAACCATTTAGACTAAAAAATACACGTTGTTCAAGGGGTGAATCCTGTAAAAAATCAATTCAAAATAATTTATATAAATAATTTTCAAGATAAAAACCTTTTCATAACCATGTATATCAAAAATTTTAACAAATTCTGTAAGAATTCGTTGACATGCTAGAAAATTTGTTGTATTCAATGGTTCTTTTCTTGTTGTTGTATTTAATGATTTTTCTAATTCATTTAAAAATCGTTGAATACTAAAATAAATACAATATCGAATTAAATTCTTAGATTTCTTCATACCGTGCTTTATGAGTTGATGTTAAATAGGGTCGTTGAGCATTTTCAGCTTCATATGCTGTTGAACTAGAAAAAGATAATCAATATAAATCGTATTTTCTATTGAATCTCTATACCGTTGAGTCATTCGAAGACGTAATTTTTTCGCTCGTTTTTTCATAGTATGTTTTCGTTCTCGATTAAAAGCCATTTCTTGTCGTACAATATCATCATTAGTAACAGTAACAATACATTCTGTATTGAATGTATCCTACAATTTTATATTATTTTAAAATTAAAAAAGTTAAAATTGCATCTATATTACAATATCTTCTTGTGTTGCTTGTTTTTTCATGCGATTTTCATTCTTTTGATTTAATCGTTCGACTAATAATTGATTATGACGTGTACCACGTAAATGTGTATGTAAATGAAGATCAGATGCTAACTAAAATAAATATTTATTTAATTAATATTATAAAGTATTTTAATAATCAAACTTACTAAAATATTACAGATTGTACAACATTTACGAGTTGCTATTATATCTTCTGATGTTGTTGTTTTATTATTATCGTTTGCAGGAGAAACATGATGTTGATCTTCAGCACTTGGACCACGTAATACACTCATTTCAGTTGCTTTTCGACGAATTTCTTCAATTTGTGTTACATGTCGTCGAGTACCTTCTTCTTGCTAGAAATTAACAAAAAACTTCTATCTAAGAGAAATAAAAAAAGACAAACTTTTAATGCTAATTTTTTCTTTAATTCAACAGTTGTTGTTTTAAGATAAGCAACATGTTCAGCTCGTTTTTGTTGAAAAGTTCTATAAAATAATTTTTTTCGATAATTTGTATAAAATACAATAAGTTTACTTTTGTTTAGCAATAGCTGCTGTTTGTTTTTGTTTACGTTTTTCAATTAAATGTTGTTCAATCATTCGTTCTTTTGTTTTCCATTTTTCTTGCATTTGATTAAGACGTGTTTGTCGTAAAACTTCTAATTCTTTTCGACGATTTTCTGCAGCTAATTCACGTTGTTTATGTTCATCATGTTTTCTAACACGTTCATCTTCAAGATATTGTTTAAATTGTTCTTCTTTTTGATAACGTTCTTTTAATGTTTGCCGACGATTTTCTTGTTGCAGTAATTTAATAAATGCAATTTCCTGTCCTTTTAAATCTTCGTCACCAGCTTTTTTCGCTTTTAATAATAATAAATATTGACGCTTTTCTTCTGCTCGATGCATTTTCATTTCAATTGTTGCTTTACGTGCTTTAATTAATTCTTCCTTCCATTGACGAACTTCATTTACTCGTTGAGTTAATTCACGCATTTTTCGTGCTCTTTCATCTCGTAAAATTTGACGTCGTTTAAATGCTCGTGCTAAATAAAAATATCTATTCGATACAAAAACAAAAATAAGATTAATTTTCAATACCTTGACGTTCAGCTGCTTCATGAAGAGTTTCATTAATAGGTCTAGAGACAACAAAAAAAAATAAATGATTTGATAAATTTTTTTTACGAAATAAATCATACCGAATACGTGATGGTGAAGAAAATTTTTTTTGTATACGAAGATTTTTCGTTCGAGATTTTCCATCAGGTTCAGTATCATTATCATCACGTAAAAGATCATTTGAACTTATAACTTTTTCATCACGATCATCGGGTAATGACATAAAATAACTCGAAGTTTTAGTTGTCTAAATCAACAATGAATTAAAATATTTAACACAAAAAAAAATAATTTTTTTTACCGATAATTCACTTTCTTCTAATTCTGATCCATCATCATCACTAACATTATTTAATTGATGTTCAAGATCTTCTTGTTCAGCCATTAATGAAGCAATTGTACGTTCTTGTTCAGCTTCTAATGCAGCAGTTAAAGATTCTTCTTGATCAAATGCATCAAATATTTGCTAAAAAACAACAATAGTGATTATGACAAAAGCTATGCTTTTAAACTTACTCGATCCATAAAATCTATCATTCCACGATGATTTCTTAGCAGAAGTTCTTCATCATCATCTTCTGATGTCATACTTTGCTGTATGAGACGACTTGTTGACAATTGATGATGATATCGATGATGTCGATTAACATTAATTGATTCATCTCGAATATCTTTTTCATCATCAGCATCATCACCAGCTGTTTCATCTGTTAAAATACGTTTTGATGATAAAAAGAATTGATTTGTTGCTGATGAAAATAAGGATGGTAATGAAAGTAAACTTGAACTTTCAGTTGTTCTACGATGTTTCGTAGATTTTTGTCGTTTAAATCGATTTATATCGTTTGAATAATAATATGGAAAATTATTTACATTTAAATTTATATCACTGTTATGTAAACGTTTTTGTCGAGGTAATAAATCATTTGAAGAAAATATTTCATCTAATTTAAATATATATATATAGAAAAGAAATTATTTATTTTTATCAAATTACCATTACATATTGATTGAGAATGTTCAAATGGTCTAAGAATAAAAGAGACAAAACTCATTTAAATTGAATATGATTGAAATTTTTTTAGCAGAATAATGAGCAGGTATGAAAGCATATGTATATATATTATATAAACAACCTGAAAGATGATATTTCTATCTCAAATGCTGATAGGGTTAATGATAAACTACGATAGGTTCTGAAAATTAATGAAAGATTTATCCAATTTAACACCCTAAAATTTTCTTACCGATTAGTTTTATCGTCAGAATTTTTCAAGAGTATTTCAAAATTTTTACAATATTGACTAAGATATTGTATAATTTCCTTAATACAAATAAATAATTTTAATATGAAAATAAGTAAGTTTTTTTGTATTTATTACTTGACATTGTAATGGATCTTGATCAGCTTCACATGTTTGATAAATTTGTTCAATAGATCGCTTTAAATTATCGAACAAAAATGTCCAATAACGTGAACGAAAATCTGATGATGTTGAGTCACTATGACGAGATTGTGTATCATTATTTAAATTCCTATTTATAATAAGACACATATATATGATATATTACTACCATCGGGAATCGATATCAATTTATTTTACCGATTCATATCTCGTAGTTACAGTTGTTATTGCTCTGGAGAAGAAATATCAATCATCTATAAATAAATAAAACATCCATGATTATCATTAACATAATTTATTTCAATCCAAAATAACTTTAATAGATGGATCTTGATTAGGAATGTTTTATTTTTTTTTTTTCGTTTATAATGAGCAACACAAAATACTAGAGTAGCACATAATCATTCATACTATTCGTAATGTACTGATACAAAAAAGAAAAGAAAAGAAAAGAAAGAGAACATTAGATCTGACTAGTCATCAGTATGCTGGAAAAGATTAGCTAATCCATGATCATCATCATTATTGTTTGCATTTAACTTTTGATGATGTTGTAAAACCGGATGAAGTGAACGTTTAGAAAAACGTATTAATGGTGGTAAATCACTTAATGCTAATGGTTCACGTTTAAACATTTGTGCAACATTTTGACCCATTAATGGTTGTACTAAATGTTTCAAAATATCTCGTTTTTGTTTATCATTTAATGGTTTTCCATTGTTTTGTTTTTGCATTTTATCACGATAATTATTTACTTGTTCATTATTAACATCAGGTATTTCCATAAGAACACTATCAAATAAATTTGTTGATGTTTGCTGAAATGTTTCGTACATCAATATAGCCAATGAAAGTAAAATACAAACAAGTGGTTCATTATCACCATGAATTTTAAGTGCACATAATATATAAATATAAAGTTGTCGTATCAAATCATTATTACCATTGACTAATAAAGAAAGATGTTTAATTAGTGGTTGACATATATTTGACATTTTTGTCATTGTTGATGTATCTGGCCATGAAAGTCCATCAAATAGAATTAATAAACAATATTGACAAATTATTGATGAATCTTGTAAAATTTTTAAACCTAATTCACTTGGTATTGGCAAATTACGAGCATGTATCACTGGTTTACGTAATGAATTGTCACCAAGATTTTGTTCATCAGCAGTCATCGTTTCATCCATACTTGTTTCATCTATATCATTATTATTATTATTTTGACGTGTTAATAAAACTTTGATTAAATCAATAAAATCACGAGTTAAATAACATGTTACCTATTAAGAGATAAAATTAGAGCAAAAAAAACTAGTCTACAATTTTATTACTTGTTCTTCAATAACTTCTTCTTCACATCGATCTTGTGTCTGATAAATATCTTCATTATTTTCATGAACATTTCCATTTGTTACTTTAATACTTTGTCGTTCAGTAATTATTTTCCATTTATCTTTTAATTTTGTATACATAAATGGAAGTAATGATTCCAAGATAGGAATAAGTATTGTATTTGCTGGACAATGTCGAACAAATGGTAAGAAACAATTACGAATTATATTTCGTAAACGAAATTCTGGTAAATGATCAAGTGATGAAAATAATGTTGTACCTATTATATGTAATGAATCATTTAATTGATATAAATCAGGTTTTAATGTAAAATAAGTTCCAATTAATATTTGTAAACGATCAACAAATGAAGAAAATCGATTATGTAAACGACGATCATTTGCAGATAAACCTAATGAATTTGTTTGAATTGATGATAAAATATTAATTTCATCATTATTTTCTTGTTGAAGATAAACTGCTTTTTCAGCATCAGTCATTGTCGAAAGAAATGAAAATGTTGTTTGTGCTATTGGAGAATTGGGTGAATTTAATGTATGACAATAAGTTAATAATTTAAATAATGAATTTGTTAATTGAATGAATGCAGGTGATGCTGGATTACGAATAAAAATAATACCTTCGAAATTTTCTTGATAACCACCATTCGAACATATCAATGAATCTGTTGGAAGAGTTATACGTCGTAAAAGACCACAAAGAATATGAACACTAAGAAAAAGTAAACGTTGATTACTATTTGATGTTTTTGTTAATTCAATATAATCAATAAAACTTTGTAAATCATTAACATTTGTATTAAATTTCGTTAATATTTCAGCAAAGGGTTGAACAAGTTCATTAATTAAAATAGCTTGTTGTTGAAATGATTCAAAATGATTTAATAATATCGCTAAACATTCAACTAGTACACTCCATTGCCAACCAGCAAGTTTAATATGTTGTTCTAAAGATGTTTGTTGTCGAACTAAATTTTGTGTTACTTTAAATAAGTCATTAAAATAAATAAATATTGAATGACCATAATTTAAACATAGATCAATTAAACAACTTGCTTGTTTTTGTAATGGATTTAATTTTGATTCGATTTGTCTTTCAGTTGTTATTGTACGAAATAAATGTTCAAGTATACGTTGTGTCCATGAATGTTCACCACGTGTAAATACATATAAACATGTTAATAAACGTAATGAATATGCAAGAAATTCTAGATTATTATTTGTTAATAATAATTGTTCAATTAATGTTTGACCACGTTGACAAAATGATGATTCATCTGTATCAGAAAATAGTTTCGAATGATTAAATGATTCACCTGGTTTTAATAATAATCGTAAATGTTTCTCAATAATTTGCCAATAGGCAATAAGTGATTCGAAAAGAAGAAGGTTTGAAAGATTTATTGATTGAAAACAATAATCAGCATAATCAAAGCCAATACGTATTGCTATGGATAAATGTTCATTTGTTTGACAAATATTATTTATTGAACGAATTAGAATTGTACGATTTTTACCAACAAATTTTTGATAATCAGACTCATCTTCAAAATCATAATGAATATAATACGATGTGACATCTATAGAAATAAATAAACATATAGAAATTAATTTCAAAAGATCTCTTTCTCTCTCTCCAATATTATCAATTGAAAAATTAATTAACTTCAAGTGATTGAACAAGGTCAGTCCGCTATATCGTTCCGTTAATTAAACTATGAGAAGAGCGTAGGTCAATAGGTCCCCTAACAGTTCATAGGTATACGTAATATACTCCGAGTGCAATTCGAATACATTCTTTCATTCATATTATATTTGATCAAACCAAATAAAAGTTAAACATCATTTGACTTCTATTTATTGGTCTGTGTATGCAACACACATAGGGTAAGTTTCATCTGACTTATTTACCATTTTCATTATCACTTTTCTTGTATGGTTGTTTAACTAATGAATGACATAAAGCTTGAAGAACAACCGGTAAAATATTTTTATAATCATTCTCTTGAAATATATTCGTTTTAATTAATTGTATCCACATTTGATAACCATACAATGATATATAAATACTTGGATGTTGCATTAATGCTAAAAGTACTTGTAAAAATGTTCCATTAGAAAATTGTTCTGGTAATGGAGCACGTTTAGTTATATCTTCACCTCCACATAAATAACATAATTGATCACATAATGCAGTTATAACCATGGCATATTGTTTCATAAAATCATAAATTTCATTGGATTGTTTGATTTGGATTGTTGAAAATAAATCATTATATTGTGAACCATTTTGAAATAAATATGGAAACATTTGTAATAATGGTAAACGTTCTTCATATTTACCACGACGATCTGATATCACACTTAAAAATTCTGCTGCTTTCATTCGATGTATTGGTGAATTTAATAAGAAGACAATTTTCTGTATAATTTTTGTTTGAAAAAATATTTCTATTGGAAGAAATGTTGCAAACATAGTTAATGCATATAATGAACTTGAAATTGTATTTGATATATCAAGAAAATATTCAATAAATTCAATAAGTTTATTTCCATGTTGTAATAATGTTGTTTGAATATCTCGTTTACGTATAGAATTTAATGTTTGAAGAACAATAACATCTTCAATAAGATAAGCTAAGATTAATAATGAATAATCATTTGTTGAATTTAATTTTGATAATGATACAAGTTCATCAAGAAATAATGGCCATTGTTGAGGCCATTCACGTTTAGCTATTTCACATACACAACGAACTAAAATCCTGAAAGAAGATTTATTTAATAATTTCGATAAGAGGATAATATATTTTTTACGTTTTAAGATGACCTGGTAATTGATCATGTTCAGTCATTAATAACCATAAACGTTCTTTAATTGATACTTTTAATTGTGAATCAAGTGATGTCCATTTATATTTTATTGTTTCTTCAATACATTGTAAACCAAAATGTTTAACTAATGGTTCAAATTGTTGATTTTTATCGAAAAAATCAAAACCAATTGATATAGATTGTGTTGGATTTGATTTTAAATCTTCAAGAAATGTATATGCTTGTTGACGACGGATTGAATCTGTTGATACACTTAATACTACAGCTGATTCGACTTGACGTAAAAAATCGAGATTAGTCATTGATCCAGGAAAAAAAGAGTTCTCAACAAAAATCTATTCTATTTTGAAATTAGAAATGTATGAATCATCTTTTGTATGTCTCCGCCTTTTATTATTGGACAAGTTGATTTACCAATGAAAATTTTGTTTCTTAAAAATGTCTGATAAAATATTGATTGGACATTTCTATGAAAATCAGCTGTTTATCTTTTTTATGTTGCCTGTTTGTTGTTGGCTTAAAATGTTTATTTGTTTAGATAAATGTGATGATTTTTTTTCAGGACTAAGTAAGATTTAGCTCGAGGAAGAAACCTTGTTTTTGAATCAAAGTATAATATAATAAATTGAGTCTATATAGACACAGCTGTTCGAATCTTACGATTAGTTTCCCATGTTGTTTTGATTTATTTTTCTCTCTTTATCTTATACTTTAGATTTTTCGATTTTATTACGAATAATTTCTTGTTCTATCAAATGATTTATCCTTATATTGTATGATCAGGTAAAACAAAAAAACTTTTTCTCTTTGTATATTGATAGATAAGAAAAATAAACTGACATAAGTATAAGTATATGTTCTTACTGATAAGCTTTTCATCAATGTTGACCGATAAAATGCAAAATAATCGAACACTTATTGACTTGTAAGAGAAAAGATATATAAAGATAACCATGATGGTGAGATCATATATGAATGATTTAAAAACACGGTTTTTATTGTATGTATACCGATAACTTATTTTTGAATAAAATATAGAAGATTGACGTATATCTATCTTGAACATAGATTTTTTTTGTGTGTCTATGTCATAATCTTTTGTTATCATAGTCACCTTTGTTTCTTTTTCTCTTTTATATATATTTATGTATTTGATATGAAGCACGTAAATGTGATCCTTTATAACTATCTGTATATTTCTTATTATTTTGTGTATATGTCTGAGGATGATATTTCAACGACGTGTCTTCATAATGACGTCCTTGCCCGATCATTGACACAATTCGTTGTCGTTGCTTTTTTTTTCGTCAACGACAAACGACAAAAAAAATCAGAGGAGAAGAAGAAGATGCATGAACCATCAAGTGAAGGGCACATATACATATGCGTACCTATATCATTTGATCACTATCACAAAAAAAAGGGTTGATGGCGGGTGAGCAATGATAACCTTCAGGATGTGTTGCTTTTATGTCTACTTTTCTCGACATTAATTTCATCAAAACTTATTGAGCAGATTATCGACTAAAAACAATAGATTGAAGAAAAAAAAATCCGAATGAAAGTTTTAATTGAAAAAAAGAAACTACTACCAAATGCTTTCCTTTAAGTTCTTCTTCTATGATCATTTGTTAAAGTCTATCTTATTTATCGATGAATAGGATGACTCTCTTCGTTCTAGTAAGAGGACATTTTATGATAAGGACACTCGCATAACTAAACAAGCTGTGCTCTTCTTTCTTTCTTTCTTTTTCTTTCGTTGTTTCTCGATTGATCCTCCACCATATGATGTACACTTTTCTCTAACCCCTTTCTATTATCAACCAATACTACTATCATTATTATAAGACGAGTAGGACTTACAAAAGTAATACTGTAAAATAGTTCATGAAGGTCAAATTACTTGTACTTTTTATTATAAGAAGGGAGCAAATTCGAATGAAATTACATAAACTTGGTTTTCCCCATGAAATCTATAAAAAATCTTACTCATTTTAGTCATACCTGACTCATTTTTTTTCTTTCGAAAGTACACTTTCATCTTGTTACATGATTTCGTTTATTCTTTTCGTTCTCTTTCTTGTAGATCATTCACGCACACACACACACACATACATACATACACACTACATTTTCGTCTAATCTATTCAAATCAACGGTGTGTGTATTACTTTTGCGATATTGTTCTTTCTTTTTTCGGAAATCATTGGCTTGATTTTAAAAATTTCTCCTGTAAATATTACTTTTAATGTTCATATACGAACAAAATTCAATTAATTAAGATATTTTCCTAAGAAAAAAAAGGTATGTTTTTAATAATTAATCAACAACAAAAAAAAATATATTTTAAAATAAATTTCAATAGAAAATATGTTTTTGTATTTTCGTTTAGATTTTCTATTGCAATTTTTTTCTTCTTCTCTTTCTTCGAATAGTAAGACTAGGAACAAAGTGACTGTAAAGACGATATTGACATTAAGATATGCGACATACATGCGCTTCATGCACAGTCTTCTTTCTTTTCTTTCTCGTGTAAAAACGTTTACTAGATGATGAAAAAAAAATGAGTTGGTGATGGTGACGAAAAAGAGAAGAAGAACACATCACAGGCACAGTTAAAGTGTGCAGGACCGATTTGCTTACCGATAAAAAAAAACCAAAAGTGAAGAAAAAAGAATAAGCAATATATATTTATTTATTTTCATAAATTCTGAAATATATCAAACTATTCAAGATCGAATATTGATGGTAAAAAGATTATGTGTAAGTGTTCTTATTAAAAATAAAAAAAGAAACTTAAATTGAAATAATAATAAAAAAAATTTTAAACAGTTATTTTTTTTTTTATGACAAGAAAACATCTTTAAGCTATTTTTTATTTATGTATTATATAGATGCGCAATTATTGTATACGTATATCTATATATCTATCTATATATATAAATATACGTATACGTATATGTATATATACAATAAGCATGTGTATATGAGTGTATACGTATTCATTTATAGTACTAAATAAAGGAGGAGGAGCCAATATTGTCGAGTCAGACTACCTTTTCTTTCTCTTCTTCTGTCTCATTATTCTTCTTACTTAGCAAAACGATTAGAAAAAGAAAGTAAACCAAGACAAAATGACAACGAAAGATCACTGCTATTCTGTTATATAGACATCGAATAATATCTATTCATAGATTAATATTAATCTTTAAATTTTGTAAACGATTTTCTTTTGTCGAATAATAATAATAATTCTTAAATACATAAAAATAGAAGAAGAAGTAAAAAACGACAACCATATTTCTATTTTTATTCCATAATTAATCAATCATAAGTAGTTTGTTCACTTGAATGATTTACACATTCATATTCTGTTGGTTATGCATATATTCATATAATGACTTGATTTATTCTGTCGGGTTTCCATATGAAAGGATGTTTTACAAATGCTAAAATTAGTTAGTAAAAAAAACATCGTAAAGTACTCTGTGTATATATGATTTTTCTTTTTATTCAAGGTTTGTAAAGTAAAACTATTCGTTTTTTGTATCCTCGATTATGTCAACAGAATTCTTATTAAGTAGATAAAATATGGACAATTGTTATTGTTCTTCTTCGGTTTTTTTTCTCTCTTTTCTTGACAATATAATAACGACAACAACAACATAAATCGTGCGTTGATTGTTGTCTGTATTCTTTCGACGAACAACAGCAGCAGCAACACCTAACACATTACGAGAGAAAAGAAGGTGGAGGAAAGCAAAATGGGTAGAGAAAGGCAAGGAGAATCTGTCTTTCTCTCTCTTTTTTTTTTTTCTTTACCCTATATGCGATGCTCGATGAGAACTGACGCACATCGCGCACGGCGGCTGACTGCCCTCTCTCTCTCTATTTCGAACACTACTGCATCTCCTATCCTTATGATTAGGTGAAAAAAAGAGAGTAAAAGAGACGATGCAATTTTTCTCTTATTCTATCATAGTCTTTTTTTTTTCTTCTTCTTTTTCTTTTGACTACCTTGAAAATATGATGACCATTATATGATGTTATTGTTATTTTAGCCATGGTGGTCGATATTGCCCCACAGCAACAGCTGAATGAGGTTTTCACCACTAATCGTAGTCATCATCGATCATCATCGTCAACACATAGACGAAGTTCAACAACAATAGATGATACATCTTCATTGGTATCAAATAATAATAATAATAATAATACAATGACGAATGGACATCGATTTGCGGTAAACATATAGATATTATTTCATTTAAATGAATCTGTCATCTTTTTATTTATTAGAATGATGAACTTGGCAAAAAGGCTGTACAAATTCTTGGTCACGCAACAGCTATTTTAGGTTGTCGTAGACAAACAAGTATAGATTTCCATGGTCAACAACCTCCTCGATTAAATATTACGTATGTATTTTGTTTGTTTTTATGAAACGAAAAAAACTCTATTTTATTTATTATTTTAGTCAATCACCATCTAGTATAAACCCACGTAATAATATATCAAACACAGCTTCTACGACTATTGTACATAATTCATCGACGATAACATCATCATCTCTGTCGACTAATACAACTATTTCTAATACTTCAATTAGAGTAGGTTTTTTGAAAAACGAGTACGAAAGAAATATTTATACAATTTGTTCTATTCATTCAGAAGAGTAAACCTTCGGTAACAGTTGAACATCTCGTTCCACTTATTTTACAGGTAAAAATTTTTTTTTCCTTATCAAATATCATTTGATTACTGAAACAAATAATAATATTTTTTTTCTAGCTAGTCGTAGCACCCACATTTATGAAATTACCTGAAATGATATCTAGGCGTCAATTAAATTCAAGTAAGTTAAATAAAAATAAATTTCATTAAATTAAGTATTTCGATTCAATTTAATTATAGAATCTGTTGAAAATGTTCTGGAAAGGTAATTTTGTTTAAAAGAAACACAATTCAATCATTAAAATGATTTTATTTTTAGCCGTAAAATGGCACTAGCATTACATCATGAAAGTGTTGTTAAACTCAGTGATGATGAGAATGAAGACGATGACGATGATGATGATAATGACAATATTACTAATACAAATACAGTATTGACTGAAATAACCGACAATAAAATAAATAACAACAGCATAAATCAAAATAATAGTAATGATAATCATTCTTATCATTCATATGAGAATCAAATGTAAGTTAATTTACTAAAATGAATATCTTTTAATTTTGTTTTTTGTCTTCTATTAGTGAACCCCAACATTCCGGTATAAGTAGTAGTCGGTGTCAAGAAGATGAAGACAGTGAAGATGAAGACAGTGATAATCAAGAGACAGCGCACAGTGATGCCGAGAATGATGATGGAACAAATGAAACGGTTGATTAATTAATCTTATTGTTCATATTTAATTTTTTGATTTTTTAGAATCCAAATACATTGTCATTAATGGATTTTGTACGTGGAAAAGAAACACTTTCTGAACCTGCTGATTCTTCATTAAAACATTCACCAGAATCATTAACTAATATTAAAAAACGAAGTACATCACCTGAAATAAAACGTGATATTGATAATCATGTACATAATTCTGAAGAGCATCAAAATAAACGTAAAAAAATGAATCGAGCATTATTAGAATCATTTATGTTATCTGTAAATAATACTACAATGAATTCAAAACGACCTTCACTTCCAATAACCATTCCGACACATCTATTTTACGATCAACCATTATCGGATTCAACTAAGCAAGATGGTATTTATAAAAAACAATATGTTTATTTTATTTTTGTTCTTTTTTTTTTCTTGTAAGATGATCAATTAAACGAACGTTTACAACGAACATCAAAACGATATGCCAATGGTTCAACTAAACATGACATAAATACAGATGTAATCGATGGTTTATCTCAAAGTTCTTCATCTTCATTAAACAATCAAATAACTCCAATAAATGGTACACATCAAAAAAAGAATAAAACTAGTCATGTACAAGATAAAATTGTATACACAAAACAAGAGCCATCTACTATAAATTCAACAACTGTTGTAAAGAATGAACAGATAACTATTTCCAATGGTATTTTACCAAATGAAACAGATAATAAAACTCGGACGACAACATCATTACCACCAACAACTAATACAGCAACTGTTATTCCAATGATAACTACACAACCTAAAAAAGAAAAACCCACAGCGAAGTAAGTTAAGAAAAATTCAAGTTCAGTTCCATGATTTAATATTCTAGTGTTAAACCACTTCAACAATCAACACCAATTGATAATTTATCGACAACAAATTCAAATAACAATGGTATTAATATATCTGATAGTTTAACAACAACAAATACACGATCAATGCTTTCATCAACCAAGAGCAATTATTCAAAATTAAAGTAAATATTCTTGTTTTTAGTTTGTTTGTTTGTAATGAAATTTATTTTTATTTTTAGAAATATGTCTAAAGCAGATCTAGCTTCTTTAGCACGAAAGAAAAAGAAACAAGCTGATAATGGAAAACGAACATCATTTAAAGAAGCTCGAGAATCTTTAGGTTTATATCTTGAATCAGTTTGTTATTTTATTCAATGTGCTAGTGATGAAACAAAATTAGATCAACGTAGTTCATTATTACAAACGACATTAACTATGTTACAGTAAGAAATGAAATAGAATGACTTTATTTGAATACAATTATTATTATTATTATTTAGACAACTTGCACAAAATCATAAAAAAATGTTTCATTTATCAAATCCAACACAATTAACAGATTTATACAGTCTTCAACAAAAATTTCTTTTAATTAAGTAAGTAAAATATATACTAGTTTATAAGAAATGAAAAATTTTCTTTTTTTCAGTTACTGGCTTCAATCATTAATTTATTATTTACAATTTAATTCAAATATGCCAACAATTGATCGACATGCTACTCAAGTAACAGAATATTTTAATCAATTGAAAAATCCATCATCAGCTGCATCATTAACAAGAACAACAAATTCAAATAATCAGCAACAATCAACACCAATAAATGATAATAATCCAATATCACCACTATCAACAACATCACAAACAAGTTCATCAGATTTAAGTACAACAAGTGGAAATAATTCAACTGAACAACATCGTTATATGTATGATTTTTCTAAATTTATGTTAAATTCATATTATTCAACGTCTTATTGGAATAAAGCTGAAAGTTTGATGCGTGAAAAACCATTGAAAGGTAAATAAAATATTAGTTCTATAACAAAATAAAAAATTTCTTTTTTTTTTATTATTTCTATTTAGAATTTACAGAACAGTTGTTGAAACAAAATCAAAATCGACGTCTATCACGTGATGATACAACTTTAGACTTCATATTGTATATTTTTGATGCCATCGAGTTGTTACGTTTAAGTGTTGCTTAAAACAAAAAAAAACAAAAAATAGAAGAAGAAAATATCCTCCGTGCTTTCTCTTACTTCCTCAAACTTTGTATATCTCAGTCTATTTATTTGCCTTTTTTTTCTCGTGCATTGCGCGCACATAAGTCTTTTTACACATCCCCTTAGACAGTTTTTTTCTCTCTTTTTTTTTGTTTTTTTCTCAAGCAGCTGATATCTATTTTTTTGCGCTTTACTCTTATATACTCATCTTCCAGTTAAGTTGAACATCACCATGCGTATATAGCTATATATATATACAAATGTATGTATACTCCGGTTCAGTTTGTTTCATTTTTTTTTTCTTTGTTTATGTGTGTGTGCGTGAATTGATCTCGATTTCTATTTTCCTTGAAGTTGATGATTCCACTCTATCTGTGTAAATGTATATCTTAAAAAACAACCTTAACTATTATATAAGCCATTTGACACTTGTTGTTTGTGAAACAGAACAACATTGATACGCACTGGAGAGTTTTTGCTCGTTGTATCATGTGCTTGCCGTGTCGCGCATATTTTCTTATGGAACCTTTTCTTTGTCTGACTAATTTTTCCTTGTTTGTCTATTTTGTCTTTGTCTTTATTTCTTTAGAATGTAATGTTTTCAATGCGTGTAAGATGATAAAACGAAAAAAAACTATAAACGCAAATCATTCTGTCTTTCTTTGCATATTCGAGTAGATATGTAGCTCTTTCTTCTTTCTTTCGAAACATAAAAGAAAACAAACACAATCGACAACTCCGGTGGTTGATTATTTCCTTCTAATACTGCTGATATAACTCATTTTAGAATGTCCCTCAAACCAAAAAACCACTCTTGTCGTATTTATATACGTATATGTCTTTGTCCATGTGTCCACTGTTCTTTTTTTTCCTCTTTATGTGTCTCTTTTCATGTGTCTTTCACAAACCATCAGATCCTTTTTAACTTTCTCTCTCTCTCTCACTCTATATCTATCTATCTATCTATCTATCTCTGTCTTTAGACGTGCTTTTGTGCACATGATGAGTTGTTGTTTTGTATTTGCTGCCTGTATCTATTGAAGATTAAGAAATGTCTTTATTCTTGTTTTTTTTAGAAGACAGTAACATGAAAAAAAAGGAGTGTTTGGAAATTTGTTCTTGTTATATTGATGTTGTTTTCTTTTTTGTTGTTCTTGTTCTCTTTCTTTTTCTCTTTTTGATCATGATTGGTATAAACAAAAAAAAAAAAACAAGCAAAAAAAGAGCCAATAAAAAAAAATTCGGATGAACAATTATCGTCTTTTTTTTTCCTTCTTATTCATACATTTTCGTTATCCACCTACACATTTATGCGTATTGACGCATTCGAAAGTAGAAAGGAAGACAAAAAAATATGTATATGCGAATATCTATATATCAGCGAGTTATTATTACATCGTAATTGTGTAAGGAAGGTAGGGGAGACAGGGGACTAGATTTTATTGCCTTTTTACGTTTTAGATTTTGTTTTTTTAAAACGGAAAGCGTTCGGTCATGACGCGTGGTAATCAACGGTAATTAACACAATAAATCTTAAAATTCTCTTAATTAATTTTTTTTTAGTGATCTCGCACGAGAAAAAAACGCAAAAAATGCAAAGAAAGGTTTATCAGCTGCTGAAATGGAAGGTAATAAAGGTTTATCATTACAAGAACGTCAATCGCGTGATGCAGCAAAGTTAGTTGATAAATATAGACGTATAAATAACATTTAACATTTTATATTTTTAGAATGCGTGAGAAACAACAATTAGCTGCAGAAAAAAAGGGCGGCGGTGGTGGTGATGGTGGCAATAATAATGCGTCAGGTGGAGCAGGAGCAGCAGCAACAGCCAAATGAATACATTTATATTAGTCATGATAATATTTTTACATCGAACTTTTTCTATTTTTTTTTTTGCTTAATATAATTATTCATGGCTTTGTTTTGAAATTTAATGACAACAATGTATCACTTATAACGTGCTCTACCTGATATACACCTAACAACTTCATGTTTTTTTTCATTATTCTATATAAAAATTAAAATACGTAATATTAATAGTACACGATTTATTGTGTTTCTATTATATTCAATTAAAAAAAAATTGAGTAAACATAATTCGATCAAATTTTCCTTATAGATTCATATAATCTCTAGCAGATAATTTTAATAAATCATCTAATACTATCACATAAAATGAAGGGAGTAAGTACAGATATCGAGCACTGAAAAAATTGACATTTCATAATTTATAAAAAAGAAAAAGAAAAAGGACAAACTATCAAAAATTTCGATGACTATTTTCAACGAATTAAAATCTTTAGTTAAATCCAAATTTTACCTAAAGTCATTTTCTAAATATAAATCTCCTGTTGGATGAATTTTACCCAGTCATGTATATAACTGGATTATAAAAAAATTTTATTCATTGTTTTAGTTTTGCTTCGTTGAATGATTAGATCTTTTCTACGTCGTCATCGTCTTTTACTTATTAATGTAACATCAGCATCTGGCTGTCTTGCCACTAGTGATTTCTGTGTACAAAATTTCTACGAAAAGAAAAACTCGTTAGACGATAAACGTCTTGGTATGTATAAAATTTGAAGTTTGAGTTAAAAATCTATTTATTTAATTGTCACATTCAAGTCGCAGCTTTGGCGACTGGAGCAGTCATGGGTGCTGAAGCACATATTTGGTTTCCATTTCTTGATCGTTTGATTGTTCATCCATCATGGCGTAATGTTTTTAAAAAGGTTCTTCTCGATCAAACTATGGCAGCACCTATATTTACACTAACATATATTGTTGGTAATAAGAATAAAATAAATAATCTTATTTTTATTTTTAAAATATTTAATTTTTAAAGGAACTTCAATTCTTGAGGGTCGAACATCATATCGCGAATTAGTAAAAGATACTCAAACAAATTTTCTTCCGTTATATATTGCTGATACTCTCATTTATATACCAATTCAAATAGTGAACTTCAAATATATACCAGCGTTCTATCGTGTTCCATTTTTATCATTTGTTGCATTCATTTTTGATTGCTTTATTTCAGCATATAAACATAAACCCCAAGAAATACACGTGCATACCAAACACGAATAGTTTATTTTTTTTTTCGGTTCTTTTGTTTGATGTTTACTGTCGCATTATATATTAGTAACCGATGAATAATGTTGCGAGCAAAGTATGTTTTTTTTTATAAATATTAATTTTTCATTAGAAAAATTTTAGATAGTTGAAATTCTTATCTCATTTAATGACATAACTAAATATTTAAAATTCTTTTTTTCAGATATAAATTAAAATGTCTGATAACGAAACTAATGAGAATGAATTCTCTTCAAATGATTGTAATAATGGAATATGTCAATGTGGTCTATTTGAACTTCTTCCACCTGAGATCTGGTAAATAATTCTTTTTTTTAAATTCTTTTGTAACTTCGTTGTTTTTAAATAGGTTGAATTTATTTGGTTATATGTCAGCAGAATTTATAGCTGAAAAACTTAGTCTTGTTTGTAAACCACTTCGCAGATTTATTGTTTCATCTCAATCCTATTGGAAATATCGATATGAACAACGTGTTCGAGCACCTTATCGAGCAGTAGCAACTACAAATCGTACATGGCTTAATGTGTGTGATAAACTTGAACGTATGGGACATGAATGGCAACAATGTGCTGAACAACATCAAAATATTCTATCAATATCAGGTGTTCATATTGGTCCAATAATAAATACACTTCTTCTTGAAGTATATAGAATTGAAAATTATTTTTTAATTTTTTAATTAAATTTTAATTTCATTTAGGATGGTTATACATGTATAACTGGTAGTCGTGATTCATCAATATGTTGTCTAGATTTAAGACAATTAGTTCGACCAGAAGAAACCAAAGTAACGAATATATATGATTCACCATATGTATCTAAACGTGCTCATGATCAACAACAAGTAATAGAGATTAAAAAAACTGAATTTATCTTGAGGGTATTTCGTTTTGTTTTAGCGTTGGATTTGGTCACTTGATCATGAAGCAAACATTATATCAAGTACATCATCAAATTCTGAAATTCGTCTTTGGGATTTAAATGAAGACATGTGTGAAATATCACGAATAAAGTATAAATTTTATTTCAAAGAAATCATCTTTACTATTAAAAAAAACTTACTAAAGGTTACAAGCAACATTTGCAATGACACATCGACTTCGAGATTCCTTACTTTATGCTGGTATCTATAATGGTCATATACATGTTTACGATACACGAATAAATAATACAGATAATAATAATTCTCGTGTACATATTGAACGTGTAACACCGCGAGGTTATATTCATGCATTGGAATTACAAGATGATTATGTTCTAGTTATGCATAAACCAAGTACATTATGTATATATGATCGAAGAACATGGAAAAAAATTGAGAATGTTCAAGTATAAAAATAAAAGTTAATAATATTATTTTCAATAAGAATATTCTTTTAGTTAAATCTTGGTGAACGTGTTTCATCGTATTACAAAGATTCACTTTTATTTCTGGGTACGAATGAAGGATTTGTACATGTATTTAGTTGGAAAAAAGATCATTGTGAATTTATTGAAGTAAAAATTTTTGATATTTTTATATAGACAAAATAATATAATTGAATTTTTAGAAAATTCGAACTGAACATGGATGTCAAATAACAGCTTTACATCATAGTCAAGGTATTCTTCAAACATGTACTGCAACGACAAAAACTTTAGCTATTGATCAATTATCAACTCCTACAATAAATCTCGCTCGAATTGTAGCTGATACACATGATCAACATCTTTGTGTAAGTTAATAAAATAAAGAAATTTGAAATATATATATATTCAATTGTTTATATTAAGATGGCTGCAAATGATTATGGTTTAACAGTTATTGGTGGAAGTGATAATAATTTAATTACTGTTTATCGTGATGAATTTCGACGTTGGCATGCATTATAAAAGATTCTATCAAATGTACTCTATCCGTCCAGATTTTCTTTTCTTTTTTATAAAAATAATAATCAAATAAAATCTTTATTCTTTTCTCTTACTTACTTTCTTTTTCATTTTTTCAATCATATATTTATTAAGCATCAAAATGTTCATTGATGACTTTTTGATTGGCAAAGTGTTTTTTTAACGTCTGCTGAGATATGATAATCAATCATCAAGACAAGAAACAGAACAATACAAGCAAAACTCCGACTGGGATTGGTCTTGTCTATTCTTCTCATATACATGTACACATATATATAAAGAAAAGTGAACGATGGCATTTATTCAAACAACAAGATGATGTTGCTTGAACATATTTACTGCTGTGTCATGGCTTTTAGCAAAGCAAACATAAAGATAACATGCTGTGTTCGGAATCATTTTAGTTTAGTTTTTTGACAGTAAAATACAAAATAGTTTTATTAATTATAACCATCTGAATTCAATGAAACAAAACGATGTTTGTTACATGTTCAGTGCCCGTTGGCTAATAGATGTTTCCTTCTTGTTTTTCAGTCAACCTTTACAGTCCAAGCAGTAATTGTCTGTCGATAATTTGCGTTAGCCTTAAGTAATGAAGTACAGATTCCATCTGTATTCTTAGCATCAAAGAGAATATGTCTCTTTTGCTGAACATCATCATGGGATTTGATCTTGTCTGTTCTATTTTTAAGAAAAAAAAAGAAAAAAGGCAAAAAGAAAACAGATAAATTCATCTTTTGAATATACAATTCACTAGGCGATCAGATACATAGAAAATGAAATGTTTTTTTCGGAGTAACAGAAAATGTTTACGTTAAAATAACGGCATCGGCATCTCAATGAAATGGGACACTCTTCTTTATGCCACATGTGCTATTGATCAGTAAAAGCTTGAGTACATTACATCAGATAGAATTCAATGAAATATAGGGGCTTCAAAAGTCTAATTGATCAACACTATGCAATATAAGTATATAAAAAGGAAAAATAGTTATACGCCTAAAGGAATGTTTGAATTTTATTGGTATCTTTTTTACTGACACATGAATGCACTTGTTTTTGACAAAATATAAATATTTTAAGCAATAAAAAATTTAGAATGTAATGAAGGGGCGTATAGGCGGATAAAATTATTTTTGTATTTATAGAAGTTAAATATGAGTTGAAAAGATTTTTCTATGTTGATATTCTACGTCAGTATTGAATCATATCAGCTGAGTCTATGAAGTAAAAATCAAATTTTCGTAAGTATATATTTTCTTTAAAAAATATATCTAATCATTTATAACAATACTTTAATTTTCTTCTGAAGAAATGCAGTATAAGATTTTCCAGTTCTTTTTTCTCTCTTTCATTTATACAGTATGTTATTGTTTCAATTTTAACGATATTTTTTTCTTGTGAAAAAGTGTAAAAGTGGGTTTAATATATTATGATACGTTATTTTGTTCTTCACGTATGATTTACCCTTTCTATTCAATTCATATTAGAAGATAACACAATGTAGTTCGACACTCTTCATGTCTGTGTTTATACAAGAAGGCAATGTAGAACTAGTAGAGAAACTTTTCTATGTCCTAATTGTTTTTTAAATGTCTTCTGTCTGCATAGCGAAAGAAAAAGAATAAGAAGAAAAAAGGAGAGATCATATCCATTGCTCTGCTTGCTTGCATGCATGTCGCTGCCATCAAGCGTTAATGATAGAGATGTTAGAAAGATGGGTCCATCTGCATCTGCCAAACAGACAGAGCAGAAAAAGAAAAAAAGACCTATCATCAACCATTTTTCTTCTTCTCCGACCACATCTCTTCATCATCCAATCATGCCCGCTTCTTATAAACAACATGCCAATCGTCGTCTCATCAACACATCTTGCATCCGCTCTCACCCTCTGACTATCATCAGTTTTATATTCCGTTTTCTTTCTGCTTAGAAGAAGAAGAAAAAAAGAAAAATAGATCGTTTTTTTCTCTACTCGCTCTCGTTTACAGTTGGTTAATGGATCGTAGCGATTCCAGTAAAAGAACCAATCATGAAATAAGTATATCAAGAAAGAGATAGAGAGAGAGAGGGAAAAGAAGATGTATTCTTTCTCTATTGAGGAAGGGGGAACAGATCTGCTTTTCTTCTTCTTCTTTTTCTTCTTTTTTTTCGAATAAACACAAGAAGAGGTCGAACAAATCTAAACACACTTATCCTGCCAGTGTATATGTGTTTGCCGTTTGTCGAATTTGTAAACGACTCATTACTTATGTCTCGAATCTGTCAGGCTTAGTTTCTTCCTGCTATTGCTGTCTCCTCATCAATGGCATAAACATTTTGTTTCAAAAATATACATATCGATAGATATTGTCTTCCGCTTTTCTCTGTCGTCATCATCATCATCATCATCATTATTATTATCATCATTATTATTATTATTTCTAATAGTAGTTGTTGTTGTTGATATTGTATACAACAAACGACTAAGATAAAACAAATTTGTATATATTTTCTATATGTTTATTAAAACTTGTGTTGTAGAGTAAACAACACGACAATAGTTAAGATTTATAGTGAGGTAGGTGGTATTTTGTTTATTAGAATAGACTATTAAGAGATAAAAAGTAATAAAAGATATGTTAACATGTTTTCTTATTAATTAAGTAGTATACTAAACAAATAAATTTTATATAAATGTATCTATATGAAATCTATTTTATTGAACATTATTCAAAATGACTATGAAAATAGTTTATGTATATGGAAGAAGAATAAATTGTATTAGTTTTTTTTTCTAGAGTTTTTTTGAAATAGTTTATGGTGATAATTGAGCAATCATCTTCAACTATTGACACTTGTCAAATGAATATCAAAATTGATACAGATAAACCAGTTACATTGTCGATCAATACAACAAATGAACATCATCATTTGCATACTACATCGGCACCAACATCGATCTATCATCCTCGAAATCCATCAAGCAATAGTCCAATGAATGGGAATACTACAAATCCAGGTCATTTTCATCATCATCATACACATTTATATAATCCACCTAATGGTTATAATTATTCATCAACGCCACCACAACCACCATCATCAGCTAGTTATTATTCAATGCAACCAACTAATCTTTATAATGATCCATATTCTCAATGTTCATCTTATTGGAAAGCAGCCGCAGCAGCAGCAGCATCCTCACCTGATCTTTCAAAGTCGAATAATAATAATCATTCAAATCGATTATCCTATCCTCTTGATCATCCTCATTCATCCAATATGCACTATATACCATCATCAACAGGCTTATCTTCTCAATTAGATATTAAATCTGAACATTCATCACCAATGAAAAATATTCAATTAACAATGTCAGGTGAAGAAGATTCAAATGAAAGTCATCCAACAGGTACCGAAGAAGATGATGAAGATGAAGATGAAGATATGGATTTAAAAACACCAGAAAAAGAAGAACCAAATAATCCATCTAATAATGCACCAAGAAAATCAAATCGTCGAGCAGAAAAACCACCATGTAAATATTTTTGATTTTTACTTTCTATTTATTCTAATATAAAATCTTATATGTTTCATTTTTAGATTCGTATATTGCTTTGATTGTTATGGCTATTAATAGTACGCCAACAAAAAAAATGACATTATCAGAAATATATGCATTTTTACAGCAAAGTTTTCCGTTTTTTCGTTCAACTTATATGGGATGGAAAAATTCTGTTCGACATAATTTAAGTCTTAATGAATGTTTTATTAAATTACCAAAAGCAATGGGTAAATTTCATTAAAAAATATTTTTTTTTATTAAAATATCATACATTTTTCTTATAGGTCGAGCTGGAAAAGGACATTATTGGACGATAGCACCTGATTCCGATTGTATGTTTGATGATAATTGTATGCGAAGAAGACCTAGAGGTGATTAATCGAGATTATTCTTTTTTCTTTCTCATATTTATTTTTGTTTTCTTTATGTAGGATTTCGACGAAAATTAGGAAAACAATCAGCATATCCAAATCTTTTAGGTCAAATGGATACAACAGTTTCAACAAATTCAAATGGTACAGCAACATCATCAACATCATCAGCTATGGATCCAAGTGCCGTTAGCTCTTACAATCCTAATCCATCATCATCATCGCCTTCGACATCAACTGGTGTAGGACCTACAAATTATTTTGATCTTAGTAATTATGCTGCTTCATCGTCATCAACAACAGCAGCAGTCAATGGACATCATTCGTCAGATCTCTATGCAGCTGCAGCACTCATGGCCTCATATTCTTCCACTTATCCTCATCGTTCTCATTTTACAACAAATAATTCATCTTGTTCTTCATCAACATCATCAACAACAAATACAAATGCCTTATCGACAAATGCAAGGATTACAGATGATACTGATTCAGGATCGCATGTACATTTTGCAAATAGTGTACATTATGGATCAGGACCATCTCAATCAACTTATTTTTCATATGGAAATCCACCAACACATCCACCAACAAGTTCATCATTTGATCCACATAATCATTTTTATGCAAATCCATTTGCTGGTTTTCTTGATCAAAAACATTCACTTTTACCGGCAACATTATCCTGCTATGATCATCATCCATCATCATCAAACTATTAAATTCTTCTTCTTCTTTTATGCGTTTGTGTGTGTGTATCTTTTCTCTCTTGTTCTCTCTAATTTTCTTTTCTTTTTTTCTTCTTCTTCTTTCAATGATCTCAAAGATCGTTTGTATTTGTTTTGTTTCCGGCAGGTGAATACTTTCACTGAAATATGATGATGTGCAATTGACTAATATCATTTTATGCATAAGAGGAAAGGAAAAAGAGAAAAATATACACAAGTATAACAATTGTATGCCTTGTTGGTTGAGTACATTAATCGAAGAAAATGTTGGTTGGTTAGTTAGTTATTTCCTTTTTCCTATGCTTCCCCTACTGTGAAATCTCGCCAATCGATCGATGACGTTAGATTGTTTGTCTCATCAGGAGACAAGAAAATGATGATATCAATCCATCAAATTGATAGATACACATCTCTTCCAAATAATATAATCCGCACTTGATATCATACTAGTAAATAGAGAATAATGAAGATCACATATCCATCAAATATGAATGATGTCATTGATATCTACACAAACTTTATACTATAATTCAAGATTTTTTTTCTAAAACATTATCTCTAGAATCAATATCTATCGTTGTACCAATAATGTTATAATAAATCTTTTTTATTATGAAAGTACTTGGCATCTGATGGATTATGGGTATGTGTATAGATTATTGTCGAAAAGAATTTTTAATCAAAATGACATACATAAGAATAACTTAACATTCATATATATAAGATTTCATCATGTTTATTTGATAGAATAATAGAGTTTAGACAAGTATTTTAATTAAATTTTAAACTTTTGTAAACTTCAGTTGCACCATCAATAAATTCTAAAAATAATATAAATTATTTTTTTATTAGAAAAATAAAAATACGAACGTTCATAAGTAACTTTGCTATTTTCATCTTGTTGAAATATTTTATTAAATATATCAATTTGATCTTGATTTAATTCGTTGCCTTTTTCTTTCGTTACTTTTTCAAATTCTTGTTTATCAACATAACCATCACCACTTAAATCTTTCATTATTTATTTATTTATTAGTTAAATCTTTTTTTTTGTCTTTCTTACCAAATGTATTAAATAAATCACGTAATCCAAGAGTACTTGTTGGAACATATTGATTCATCATTACAGTAAATTCTTCCATATTAATATCACCACTAGCTATATGTAAAAGTTTTATTAACACTCAATAATAACAAAAAAAGATCAGTATTTACTATCAGTGTCAGTAAGTTGCATAAATGCAGCAAGTTGTTCTTCTGTCCATGGATGTCCAGAGACAACTTGAACTAATCGCTTGATTTCATCTTGTGAAATATGACCATCATGATCAACATCGAATAAAGAAAAGAGTAATTTTAATTCTGAAAAAACATAGATGACAATAGTTTTATGAATAATTACAATTTACCATGAATATCATGTGTAGCCATTTTATTTTTGATAAATGATAATGTTATATAAAAAAAAAGAATAATATGTTTATATACATATCTATTGTTCTTTATCTCGAGTAAATATTAAAAAGATAGACGTATGATATAAATAACTTAGTTTTTAAAATGCAAAATTATTACATGTAGATAGATTATTCACGATCAACTACAGAATAATTGAGAGATAACATCATATATGTGCATTCTGTTTATAACTATACATTTTAACCATGATGGTTGTCAAAGTACAATTTTATTATAAAAAATTATTCTAGAATTTCTTCAACTACTAACCACATAAAAACAATAGGTATGAAAAAAGATTTATTTATAAAAAATATTCTAAAATAAAATTTTATTGTTTGTTAAGGTTGTTGTAATATTCATTAACACCTTCCACAAATTCTAAAGTAATTATTTAAGATTTAGAAATTTTATATTTTCAAATAATAAGAAAATGACATACGTTCATAGGTGACTTTACTAGATGCATCTTGTTGAAATTTTTTCTCGAAAATAGTAACTAAAGTTTGATTTAAACTTTTATTTTTGCTTTTTACTTGTTCAAATTCATCTTTTTCAACAAAACCATCACCACTTGTATCTAGATTTTTAATAGAATATTCACATAGAGTCATATAGGTTTTATTCTTTCTTACCAATTGTTCGAAATATACTTTTTAATCCATAAGCACCTTGTGGAACATTATTGTTTATAAAAGCTATAAATTCATCTACAGATATATCGCCACTATCTAAAGTTATATAGGTTAGAATAAATTTCATAATAAAATAATATTATTTACTATCAGTATCAGCAAGTTTTAAATAATCGTTGACTTGTTCTTCTGATACTGTTGGACCATCTGGATCAGGTGATTGAAGTAATTGTTTAAGTTCATCTCTTGTCAATGTGCCACTATTATCAACATCAAATAAAGCAAAAAGTAATCGTAATTCTAGAAAAAAAGGAAAATTAATAGAATAATTACATAGAAGATTGATTTACCTTGAGTATTTTCTGTTGCCATTTAAAATATTATCCATACTTAGTTCAAATATTCGAGTACTTATATATGCTAATTTATATCTTATCTTATCATCATCTCTGACGTAAATGCTCGAAAGTTAACTTAAAAATAATACTGATACTATGTCTTTTTATTTGTAAAGTATATCATTTTAATCAGTATAATAATAAGAACTAGACAAACATACATATATAGATCATTTTATTCAATTAAAGTTCTTCATAATTCTTATAATATCATTGAAATTTATTTATACATAAGATGTCGCTAACTGATGTTGTCTGTTGTATATATTTACATAGATTTTTCTATTGGTCATAGCACGTACCATCATATTTCATTTGATAATCACAATTCAAAAAAATCCTCTTTGTTTTATACTGTTCAGACGATTTGATATAAAAAAAAAATACGATTGTTTTTCCAATCTAATTTGTCAGACATTGTTATTATTAAAAATGCCATTATCAATTGAATCAGAAATTGATCTTCTTTATCATTTATCGACAATGTCTGAACATGTTTTACCTAAAGGAATCTTTTATCTTCTTCTATGGAAACGTCTTAATCAATCCAGTATTCCACCTAATTTTTCATTCAATGAAATGGTTGATCATCTTCGTACATTGTAAATATATTTTTTTATTGAAAAACAATTAATCAAATTATTTTATTTTATTTTAATAGATATGATGAAAGTGTATTTGATAATCCGGAATTACCGGAATCAAATGATCATGATTTTAAATGGATTCCAATTAATGTTAAACAAGAACAACAAACTGAAAAAGATTTATCAAATAAAATTGAACCAACATCATCACCATCACCACCACCACAACCATCGACACCAATTATTACTAAAACACGAAAACGTCCAATGTCACCAACATCTCTTACACCAAATAGTGATACAGGTCGTCGAAGTGGTCGACAAAAACTGAATCCACAAATAAAAGAAGAAGAAGTAGAACAATCACCATCACAACAACAACAACAACAGCAATCGAAAACAGATAAACGTAAATCTGTTAAAGATACATCTCGAATATCGACTCGATCAATACCAACTAGTGATTCAATTGGTACACGTTTACGAGGACAAAAATAGAATACTTTCAAATTTTGTACATAATATTTTTCTTTCTAAAAGAAACGAAAAGAAAAAAAAGAGAAAAGAAATCAAATTAATTATATATATATATATAGATATAAAGATCTGTTATACTAATGAATTTATATTGTAGAAATACAAAGGAAAAAAATAATAAAAAATAAATAAACATGTCTCAAAATAATACAACTCAAGCTCATCCACAAATGCCACCTACACAACTTAATCAGGAAGAAAAACGTGTCTTAGCTGAATGTGAAAAAGAATCACTTATGTATCGGAGTATACCATTAGGTTTAATGACATTCTTTGCAACACAATATGCAATGTCAAGAAATATGATTACAACAAAAGGAAAATGGCTTAAACTTAGTACAAGTTTATTTGCTGGTTATATACTCGGAAAAATATCATATGCACCAACTTGTCGAAACAAAATTCTTACACAAATTCCTGAAAGTAATTTAGCACATGCAATTCGTGGTGTTGAAGTTGTACAAGCAGGTGCTAATCCAGATGAACATAATAATCAAAGATTTATATCAAAACCATCAAGAGATCCAAGTGAAGCTGTAGTATTTTTACCAGATCCAGTTGATCCAGATACACATACAGTTCCTGTAGGTGTTAATCAATATGGTGATCCCATTTATCATACAACTAAATGATTATTCTATTTATTTCATTGACTAAAAAATGATCCCTGTTTTTTTCTTCTTCTCTACAGATTGTTTCCATCCTATGTATTTACTGATGACAGTTACCCAATAGATCTTTCAAAGAAAATAGATTATATAATTTTTTTGCAAAATGTTTATTTAATTCAGCAACTAGTCTTTTTTCTTAATATAAACATATATGTATGAACTTCTTATGTTTTATATTTTGGTTATTAGAATTAAAAAATATTTCATCGAGATATAATTAAGATTTGTTTTGAGATTCTATTATCATTGACCGATACGATTACTATCTTAATTCATAATATGCATGGTTAATTTTGTTATAGTTATGTAGACCACATGGCCGTTTGAGTTTGGGTTATTTCTGTTTTTTTTTGTCTTGATATACTTTGAATATGAGATCTATATATATGATAGTTAGGCGAGAGAGAGAGAGAGAGAAGAAAAAGAAGCAATCGAATACAGTTTGTACTACTCATATATCATTTCTAATTGTATCGCAAATCAAGACAAAACTTATATCCAACTAAATGATGCGATTGATTAATATCCATAGAGATTTCCAAATCTTTTTCTTTCTTTCTTTCTTTCTTTCTTCTTCTTACTCAAGAGACTAAGTTTGGACGACTTTTTATGATATCATCTGCTTTCGATTACGTGTAAGAAGAGACGCCCTAAGGTGAAGACGCATACACATATATATCCTCATGATGATTTATGTGAAAATGTGTTGCTCGTGTATGTTTTGACTAGATGCGTATAGACCACCGGACATTCTCACCAAAAACACATGAGTGTAAATAGATAATTGTTGTATAATCGTCATCTTATCGATAGAAATGATGTGCTTACGTTTATGCATCATCATCATTATGTTCAATTACGATGCTCTTCAAACCCGTTTGTACGTCAAAAAGGCGAGAAATATGTGTAATAATGATGGAAGAGAAACAAAAGAAATCGAAGTAGTATTTCGAGTGTATTCATATGTCTTCAAACAAGAAGAGAGAGAGAAAAAAAAAAGAAATCGATTACATAAAACAAAAAAAATCATTTCAAATTGAATCTCATTCTGGGGGGTTCACCACTACTGAATGTATATTACTTGATAAGGTCAAGATCAATTTTTCTTTTGAAACTTTAATGAAGGTGGGAGTAATTCAGTGAATGAATTGAGAACAACATTTAAGATACTGCGTTTTGTCTCATTTATAAAAAGTAACATATAGTCACTATATGAGAAAAAAAAGACAGGGAGGCGTATAGTGTTGTATATGGATATGTAAGCACTCATCAACTCGTTCTATGTCTTCTTTTTCTTTCTCTCTCTCCCTCTTCCGTATTATCAAGCTCACATCACGCTGGGTCATTTCGATACGTCTATACCCATTATCTTGATCTCCATCTAACTGACCGGTCGACGACCACTTCCATTCTATTCATTTGACTCATTCTTTTTTCTTCTTTCTCTTTTCTTTCTTTCTTCTATTAGTATTTTCATTCTGCTAATAACATCGACAATCTTAAGTAGAAAGCAGAACAAAAAAAGAGAGCATTACTCCTTAATATTGACGATATCCTTTCTTGTCTTCTCGAACAACAGATGATAACAATCAAGCGCGAATAACAACAATAGACACAACAGAAATGAGTATAGATCGAATAAAGAAGAAGAAGAAGAAGAAAAAAAATCATGCTAATAACAATAATAATACAACAGCAGTAGTAACACATTCATCATTCTTCTGAACATTTATTCGCAAAGTCAGTGTATGTACTATATAAACATCGAATAAAAAAGAAATAGAAGAAAAAGAAGAAGAAGAAGAAGAAGAACAGGAGAAAAGAAGAACGAGAGAGAGAGGGAGAGGGAGAGGAGAAAGAGAAAAAAAAGAAAGGTCTAAGTATATCACTTCTCAAATACGTACAATGATCATGGTTGATTCACGTTGTTGGCCGAAACGGTGACTATTAAACATAATAAAAAGCAAAAAATCATGTTAGTTCAAAGTCTTCTTTTATTCCTTATTTCATATCCGCAAATAGCGGAAATGGTAAGATTACTTATCTTTATTCTTTCATTCATTCATTCTCAATCTTTTATATAACCAGACCAATAAAAATAATTATCATCAACATCGTCACACATCTTCTTCATCAACATTAGTAAATTTAATGTCTATTATAAATGACAATGATAGATGATATATATGTTTTTTTTCTATAGGAATTTACTGCTAATGTTGATTATAATAAAATTTATCAACGTTCATTAAATATTCATAATACACGTGTAATAAGTATTGAACCACGAAATAAACTTTGGTTTTCTATTGAGAATGGAACTATATATGCTTTACCATTACATGGAGATTATTCAGGTCCATTTATAATTGAATTTCAACAATTAACTAATCATACAAATTCAGGTTCAAAAAACGTTTTTTGATAATATAAAAATTTCGAATTGTGGTTTTTTCTTTCTTTATAAAACAGAATTAAATAATTTAATTGAATTAAAATTAAATTTTAATTTTACTCCACCATCATCCTTATTCTATCCATCCGATCATCTTCTTCTTGGTGTATTTGATATTTCATCAATAAATTATAATAATTCATTATTAAATCGTTATTATATTGTTCGAACATTATCTTTAGCACTTAATTTAAGTGAATCATTAATAACAATACATAAAATAAATGGTTCTATGATAAAAGTTTATTTTTCATGTGATTTATATTTTTCAACAAATTTAACATATCATTTAAAAACATTACTTGATCGTTATTATTCACGACGTTTACAATTATTACCGTTTTTTTCTTTACCATTAATTGAAATTTCAATTGTTCGAATAAATCCACAACAATCAACGACCTCAACCACAATAGCAACAACAATAACAACAACAACAACGATATTAAGATTAATCACTCCGATGATTAATTTGAAAAAAGGTGAAATAACAGTTCGACCAAGGTTATTACACGATAATTCAGTAAAATTAAATCGAACAGTAACATCATTTAATAATCTTATATATTTAAAACAATTTTATCAACCACTTGTTATTGTACCATTAGCAGTAATTGCAATTGGATTATTCATTTGTGCTATTGTTGCATGTTGTCTCTGCTGTAATCGTCGTCCATCATCATCATCAACATTACTCTTACCAAATGGAATATCGAGTAGTCCAACAAATAAACTTCTCTATCAAAATTATTCATATAATAGAAAACATAAAGAACAAAATGATTTATATAAAAAGGCCAGTCGACAACATGATCAAAGACAATTTATTTCCAAAGGTTGTATATTTTTTATTTAAATAATAAACTTTATTCTATTTATTATTTTATTTTTTAGGCATTCCTGTTGTATTTGCCGAAGAACTTGATGAAAAAATTGAACAAACACATACACCATTGGTTATGCGTATTGAAAAAGCACCATTAAATAATGGGCAAGAACAAAATGAATCAGAGAAAGAATCGTTTTGAAATTTTCTTCTCTGATTAGTGAATGGAGAAATTTTTCTTTTCTTTTGTTGTGTAGATTAGCACATTTTTCTTTATCTCATTGAAAAATCTTATGTGTTTATGTGTATACTGTAACAAGCGAATATTTTCCTACTATAATTCTTTGTCTTAATATGTTTTGATTTGCATTTCTTTTTGTTTTTGTTCTGATAAATAATTCAGGTGTTCAATTTGTTTTATTTATATTTTTGACATGATAAGCTGATAATCTCAAGACAAACATCATGAAAATTTGAACGGGAACGCTTCTCTTACTTCTATCATACTTTTATAACTAACAATAGATTAGATTCTATACGTGGTGTTAAAAAGAATACAAGAATTGAGCTATGAGAACAAAGCACAAGTTGGATGTTCTATCTTATTTTTAGATATGATATGATTTATTATCAATTTTAGGCAATAATTATTAGTATAGATAGAGAATGATTTATCGGATGTATACATTAGACAATATTGATTATTTCGATTATCAATATATCGTTTACAAAATATGGATGAAAGAATATGAGATGATTGAAATATATCAATACAATGTATGATATAGATTTTTGTTTATTATGATAAGTATAGAAGAGAAAAACGAATAATGACAAAATATGCTAGAATTATTAGAAAACAACATATGATGAAAACAGATCCATCAGATAAATTCAAATAAACAAAAATAGTTTATTTAATTACTATATAGTGATCTTAATTGAAGGTTTGTATTACTGAACCAGATGATCATTAATATACTTAATTATCAATATATATATAGATATCAATTATATATTCGAAATAAAACATATTTTTATTTTTAAATGTCTAGTCTTATCAAGATTACTGTTATAATTATGTTTATAGCTGCATCAGATGTTTACAACATCCTAATGCCATTATTAATTAGTCGATATGATAAATCAAGCATAACGAAATAAACCATAACATTATGTTCAAATATATAGTAACAGCTGGTCAATTATTAATCAATTATGTTGAACTAAAGAATTAGTTCATTTTAGTAGTCATATAAAATAAAATATTTTATTAAAAAAATAAAAAATTTCATAGTTTTTATTGTGATGTAGTGACAGTTGTCTCTAAATTTTTTCTCTTGTTATCATTTACAGACATTGGAGTTTTCTCTATGGTTATATTCTTTCTCTTTCATCACTTAGTCTTTTCACGGTATGTTTCGAATCAAACTATGTATACATATCGATCGTTCCTGTAATCGATATTTATGCTGTTCAACCGATCTGTTCTTATCGCTCTATGACTCATCGATCTTAACTTATTATTTTTTCCGTTTGTCTGTCTTCACGTATACAAGAAACTCAATATACCTATTCGTTTCTTTTGATCGACATCAAGACATGACATTTAATTATTATCGAAATTAATTATTTTTATTTTAGATGAATACATCACCTTTAGATGATAAAGAAATCACACGTGAATTATGGCAATCACGTATACCAATATGTTTTCTATTGTCTGAAGAAGATAAGAGTAAAGTAAATCGTTCTGAAACACCAGAACCATTTTATTTAATGCTTTCACGTCATCTTTATTTTCCATGTATTATTGATAAAATATCTCGTTATTATTCAACATATTATAAAGAAAATTTAACTGATTCAACTAATAATATAAGTCTTCATAATTTATGGCTTGAATATGAAAGTATTCCACTTAAATGGCATTATCCAATTGGTGTACTTTATGATTTATATACATCTTCTTTATCATCAACATCATCATGTCATCTTCCATGGCAAATCATAGTACATTTAAGTAAATTTCCTGAAAATGAATTAATACGTTTTCCAGATAAAGAAACTATTGAAGCACATTATATGACAACATTGAAAGAAGCTGATGCATTAAAACATAAAGGTCAAATTATAGGTGATATGCAAAAACGTGATCATAAACAATTATGGAATTCATTATTTCAAGATAAATATGAAAATTTTTGGAATATAAATATGAAATTAATGTCTTATACAGATAATTTACAATATTTTCGTTATATACCATTTCGAATCTATATATTAGATCGAGTATTTATACAAAAATTATTTTCACCATATGATATTGAACATGATAAATGGATGACATTAAATGATTTAATACAATTTTCATTAAATCATGAAGCACAATGTGAACGATTATCGAATGAAAAGGAGATTTTAAATATTAATATTAAAGATTATCGTATTATTATACATGGAGTACAACCACCACTTCATACACCAATACAATGGCTTAGTGAATATTTTTCTTATCCAGATAATTTTCTTCATATTTGTCTTGTTGAAAAACGCATGTGATGATAAAGGAGAAGAAAAAAACTTTAAATATTTTTTATTCTGTTTATTTGTAGATTATTGACTTTAGTACTTCTCTTATTTTTCTGCTTCTTTTTCCTTGTCACATCATATCTGTATTTGTCTCCTGATGTTACTTTGTACTTTTGTTTATTAAAATAAGATAAATAATGGAGAATGTTCGATTTGTATACGAAAAACATGGTGGAAGTGAATATTATGGTGAACCTGTAACTCAGTATCAACATGCTATACAAGCAGCATATTTGGCTGAACAATACGATCCAACTGATCGTGAATTAATTATTGCTGCATTTCTTCATGATATTGGTCATTTATTAAGTGAGAAAGAAGAAGATCTTATGGGTAATTTAGGTGTTCTTAATCATGAACAGATTGGAGCTAAATATCTTCATGATCAGATTGGTTTATCAGAACGTATATGTTATCTTATTGAAAATCATGTTAATGCTAAACGATATTTAACTCATATTGATAAAGATTATTATGATCGTCTTTCAGATGCATCAAAACAAACACTTGTTTATCAAGGTGGACCAATGAATAATGATGAAGCCGAAAGATTTCGTATACATCCTGATTTTGAACTTTGTCTACGAATGCGTACATTTGATGAAGCAGCAAAAGATACAGAGTTTGATAAATATGAACAATTAACTAATCACTATTGGAATCTTGTTCAAGAACATAGTCATAAAATCTAAGTAATATTATTGCCCTTTGTACCACCATGTGTCGACCTCTGTTTTAAATATTTACTTTTCGTATTTCATTCGAGTTTTAAAAAAATGTATGATTCATATGTTTGAGTAAGTGCAAGAAACAATGTAATCGTAAATGAAATAATTTAAGATTTTTTTTATTGATTAAAATATATTTGATTATAATTTTAAGAAAAATTTGTTCATAAATTAGTCTAATATATGTTAGCATTAATAAATTCTTTTTATCTAACACGAATGAATTCAATAGAGTAGAATGAACTACCAGAAAAACAATAAAATATTAGTGCAAAAACTTGTAATTTATTTTTTTTAACATTTAAAAACAATATTTTATTTGATTTTTATAGATATATCCCTTCATTTATTCTCTTTAATGTCGGGAGAGACGCCATTAGGTGCTGCTAACAATAGCAATATTGTTGATCTTTTATCTACATTAAATCCTGCAGCTACAGCAGCAACAGCAGCATCAACAACAACACTAACACCATCAACCGGTACAATGCGTAATGATGATTTAAATGTTGATTCATCAGATTTTCGACCTGCTAATCGTTTACTATCACAACGACAAGCATTAAATAATAATAAACAACGTATGTCAATTTTAATATATATATCGATTTTTAAACTTTATCTTGATCTAGTTGAATCATTACGAGAACAACAACAACAATTACAAAGCATGGAAATTGATGATCAACAATCATTTGAAGTATCATTTGCCAAACATAGGTATAAATAAATTTTTCAAAATACAAACTTATATATATATGTGTTTTATTTGAAGTAATGCGTTCCACACACTATTTGAATTTTATCAAGATCAAATTCTATGTGATGTTGAAATTGTTTGTGATAAACAAATATTTTTATGCCATAAAGTTGTACTTGCTGCAACAATTCCATATTTTCGCTCAATGTTTACATTAGGTATGCTTGAAGCAGATAAACGTCGTATTGAAATTCAAGATATAAATCAAAATTCATTAAAAACAATTATTGAATTTGCATATACAGCTAAAGCTATGATAACAATTGAAAATGTACAACATTTATTATTTGCATCAACAGTTTTACAAACAGAAGATTTAGCTGAAGCATGTTCAAGTTTTTTACGACAACATTTATCATTAACAAATTGTACAGAAATTCGTCAATATGCAGAATTACTTAATCGAAAATCATTAATTGATTTAGCTGATGAATTTATTCGTGATCATTTTTTGGATATTATACAAATTGATGATTTTTATAAAATTTCATACAAACATTTGAAAGTATATAGTTTTAGAAAGAATTTATTTTATATAGAATAAATTTTTTCTTTTCTAAGGAACTAATTGCATCACCTGATCTGGGTATATTAGATGAAAAAGATGTTTATGATGCTGTTATTAAATGGGTTAAATATGATCCTAGAGAACGAGCAATTTATCTTGCTGGTATAGTTAAGAATAAAACTGAATACTTTTTTTTGCTTATTTATTTATTTTGTTTAAGATTTATTACAAGAAGTTAAATTACCATTAATTAATACTGAATATTTATTAACTGTGATTTCACAAGAAGAATTAATTCGAACAAATTTAACATGTAGAGATCTACTTGATGATGCCAAAGTACATATTTTTAAAAGAGCTAATCTTTTAACAACATCAAAATCACCTATGGGACCAAAAATTATTCCACGAAAAACAGCTGCAGGTAAATATTATTTGAATTTTAATATCATTCTCTATCAATTCTTCTCTTGAGTCATATGTATATAATCAAATTTTCTTACTTTCCCTTGATGCACGTATGTTTTTCATTCAACTTTCTCTGTTATGTTAGGAGGAATGACTCTAGACATAAGTATATTCTTCTGTCTTTCTCTATTTGTTTTTCATTCTATCACGTATATACTTATTCTTTTGTTTTTCTCATATGTAAAGTATTTAAGAGGTTAGTATTATTAAACCCTCCTACAGAATAAAAGCCCACTCTGTAATAGAATTCCAGTCCTAAACTTATAGTTTGCCAGATATAATAGAAACTCATTTAGGGTGAAATATATATATTTAAAGAAATCCTTTTCAAGAAAAGTTAGTTTTGAATTTTCTTGAAACGTGAACTAAAAGTTAATCATTTTCAACTTACATCTCTTGATTCTCTATATCATCTCGAAGAAACTAGGCCTTATTAAGCGGAAGGATCAAATTATGTCAACATTGTAAAGTCGAACCGAACTTTCTAGCATATGAAATGGTAAAGAGATTTGGAATATACGAACATCAGTATATTCATCTATCAAACTGAGGTTTTTACTATGAGATGTACTTCCTCTAAAAGTTTCAGCGAAATCAATTGTTCGACAATATAATTGAGAGAGAAGCTGTTCGAACATTCGTGTGTGTCAATCTTTGTATGGTTCGTTATTAAATGTTTTCGTGAAAAAGATATAAAGTTATTTGAGTAGACGAAATCGCGAAAACAAGTCATATAAACTGTAATTATGATTACTTTAAAAGATATGTAAAGGTATGTCCGCGTAAAACGTGATTTCGTCACGCTTTGTTTGTTTCGTTACGCATAAACGACTTTGCACCTAGAATTGAATAATTTTTCAATTTTTGACGAAGAATTATGTTTCTTGAAATAGAGCCCTACAAAGATGACTCCAACTTCTCACGAACAAGACAGTAAATCGCTGTATAAAAGCAAAAACGTTGATTGCAATAGAAGTTCACTCTAAAACTCATAATTAACCCTTAAAAGCCGTATGTCCTTTTCAATGGACATTACCTTAAACGCTATAGAACGAAGGAATAAAGTCTTTTCTGCAAAAGCTACTGTTTTTAGAGACGAAGACAGTCATAGTGAAAGTATGATGGAACAACATTATGCTAAAACAGTTGTCAAACGCCCAAACCTAGCTCTTAGAACGTATATTTTTTCAAGCAAAATTGGTTACTCGGATATTGATATATCCTGATATATACAATATGGATTCTGAGTGATATCATTAGAAATAACCCTAAACTATAGTTTAGAACAACTTTGCACGCTTTTTACTCTTCTACTAAGGTATTCTGACGTTATAAAAAAGTACCATTTTAATGGCATTTTTGGGCATAGTAATCACGATTATTGTGAATTTTTCGCTCAACAGGTAATTGGAGATATGTTAAAATATCATCAGAATGAACTGACAGTGATTCTGAACCATATTAGAAACTCAAGCGCACAAAAAATTATGAAGGTCATATTCCACCCAGGCCATCTGGTTGGAAAAAATTTTTGGTCACACCCAGCAGTTCTAACCACGGTAAGTGCATATTGAAGGCCCAAAATCTCTATTTATGTAATTAATTCTACCTGAACTTCACGGGAACCCCCTTCGGCTTTTAAGGGTTAATTAGACAAAACAGAAGCTCGCTATGCTTCTAGTCTGTAGCGGGATATAAGAAAGATTCTTTTTTCATGTTTTCGTTTATATTTATTTCAAATAAATGAATAATGTTCACATTTACTTTTAAAAGAATTGAAGAATAAATTTTACTCCCGTAATAGGTGTTTTATTATGTGTCGGTGGTCGTGGTGCTACTGGTGATCCATTTAAATCGGTATTAGCCTTTTTATTTTTGTTTGATTTATAGGAAATTTTAAATTCTTATTTGTAGGTGGAATGTTATGATTTAAGACATGATCGATGGTTTTATATCTCAGAAATGACAACTCGACGACGTCATGTTGGTGTATGTGCAGTAAATGGTCGTGTTTATGCTATTGGTGGTCATGATGGTAATGTTCATTTAAACAGTGCTGAAGTATTTGATCCACAAACAAATCGATGGGAACCACTCGCACCAATGAATACATGGCGGTAATTTTTATTATTATCTTTCTACCTCACTTATTTATTGTTCTATACAAATATTTCTTATAGTCGTGGTATTGCTGTTGGTTGTCTTGGTGGTCCATTGTATGCTGTTGGTGGACTTGATGATTCGACATGTTTTGATACTGTTGAACGATATGATATTGAACATAATACATGGAGTGCAGTAGCATCAATGTCAACACCACGTGGTGGTGTTGCTGTAGCAGCACTTAAAGTAGAAATAATTAAATTTTCGTTAAATAATATTTTATTTTAATTTAATTTCTAGGGTTATCTATATGCTTGTGGAGGTAATGATGGTAGTTCGTCATTAAATTCATGTGAACGTTATTGTCCATCATATGATAAATGGACACCAATTGCTCCAATGAATAAACGACGAGCTGGTGCATCTGTAACGGTACTTAATAACCGACTGTATATACTCGGTAAAAACAAAATAGTTGAATAATTATTATTTTCTATAATTTAATTTTAATCTTAGGTGGTTTTGATGATAATTCACCACTTGATTCTGTTGAATGTTTTGATCCTGATACAAATATTTGGACAATGATACCGAGTATGACATCATGTCGCGGTGGTGTTGGTTCAGCTACTTTAGGTAAAAATATAGATTCTCATTAGTTTTTTCTTATCGTTTTATTTTCTGAAGGTGGTCGAATCTATTCTGTGGGTGGACATGATGGCACAACATATTTAAAAACAGTCGAAGCTTTTGATGCTGAATATCAACAGTAAGTTTATTTTATTTTTACTAAATGATTTGAAATCATTCTTATTCTGATTAGGTGGACATCAGTGGCAAGCATCAATATATGTCGAGCGGGTGCTGGTGTATCTCAATGTGACATAAGTATTTCACAGTTATGTGAAGTAAAAAATCCAACAAATCCATCCAGTTGCGTATAGAAATAATGTTCTAAACCGATCATCGACATCTATGCAAAACAAAAAATTTCTTGTTTATTATCTTCACAGTGTATGTCTCAATCTTGTAAATATGTGCGGTTTTTGTCTTTTCATTTTTGTGTGTGTCTGTCTGTATGTATTTCTTTTTTGCTATTTGTGTTGAAAAGATCGAAAAAAAAACAATATCGGCCATATTTATTTGCAATGTATAAAATAAAAAAAAAATGAAAAAAAGAAGTGACAAATGATTAGATAGATGATCTCTTCTCTTTTTTTTACGATCTGAGATTTTTTTTCTGTATTTTTCTTTTGCCTTTTCTTAACATCTATCTTGTTTAATCATAAATATTCACATTGCATTTTGTTATTCATGATAATTTGTAAACTTATTAAAATATCGAATACATGATGTTTTTTTTGTTTTAATTAAAGATTATCTTTCGACAATATTTCTTTAACAATAGAAATCTTTTAAAGAACTAATTAATACTTTTTTTTTATATAGAATTAATAAATAACAAAATATTGATTGTGAACATTAGAATTTCTTTTGGATATGATGGGTTCTACATTTAATTATCATACTTAAGTGTCAAATGAGACATCGATTGAACATTATTTGTTGAATGGTTATAGAACATATTTTTTGAAAAATCAATAAATTTATCATATTATATTCTACTTGAATGATATAAAGAATATATTTTCAAGTAAGTTTTTTAGATTATGAAGAAAATTTCTGTTAAAACCGAAGTATTAATGAGTTTTAAAATTTAAACGAAAAGTCATCGAATTTGATTACTTAATTATATAACCATTGTATGTTTTCTTTAGATCGTGCTAAATATGTGATCAACATTTATATTCCGTCACTAATAATTTAAAATATTTCCATTATTATTGAACAAAAACTAGTTTAATCGATGGCTTATGAATAATTAATGTCAACATAAATCTAGATATGGAAGAGGCATTTAAAAAATTAATTTATACTTATTTCTAGATTGAAAAAATAATATTCATATTATGATTCCATCATTTGGTCTTTCGTCTGCTGCGCCATCAAATATGACTGCGACAACATTAGGACAAAAAGATTTAGAAATAGTTCAACCACCAGATGATGCTATATCATGTATGAAATTTTCTCCGGCATCAGTTCCGCAGACATATTTAATTGCAAGTTCATGGGCAAATGATATACGTTGTTGGGAAATACAATCTAATGGACAATCAGTTGCTAAAGCAATACAAAAACATGATGCACCTATATTAAGTTGTTGTTGGTCAGATGATGGTTCAAAAGTATTCACAGCTGGTTGTGATAAAACAGCTAAAATGTGGGATTTACAAGCAAATACATTTGTTCAAATAGCCGCACATGATGCACCTATACGAACAATTCATTACATTCAAAGATCATCCTATACATGTGTTATGACTGGAGGTTGGGATCGAACAGGTAAAAACAAAAAATAGGAATAATAAATTTTTATTTTATTATAATTTAAGTTAAATTTTGGGATACACGTCAACCAACACCATTGAAACAATTAGCACTTAATGAACGCGTTTATGCTGCAGATGTACTTGGTCCAATGGCTGTTATAACAACCGCTGATCGTGCTATACAAGTGTATTCACTTGATCAAGGTCCAACAGAATATAAAAAGATCGAATCATTATTAAAATATCAACATCGTTGTGTATCAATTTTTACAGATAAATCACGAAATCCAAATGGATTTGCTGTTGGTTCAATTGAAGGTCGTGTTGCTATAATGTATGTTAATACAACAAATCCAAATGTTGATAATTTTACATTTAAATGTCATCGTTCAACACCTCAACTACCGGCTAATACACAAGATATATTTGCTGTAAATGATATTGCTTTTCATCCTGTACATGGAACATTATCTACAGTAGGTAGTGATGGTCGATATAGTTTTTGGGATAAAGATGATCGAACAAAATTAAAAACAAGTGATGTTGTTAATGATCAATCCGTATCATGTTGTGCATTTGAGAGCCGCGGACAATTATTTGCTTATGCAAGTTCATATGATTGGCATAAAGGTCATGAAGGAAATAATCAAACAAAAAAGAATGCAATTTATTTTCGGCAATGTTTTGAAGAAATGAAACCTAAACCAAAAAAATAATAAAAAATTTTAAGAAAAGAAAAAAAACCAGAAATTATTATTTTTTTTTGAATTTATGAAAAGATTTTTGTCGAATTTTTTTTTCGTGTTATGATATATTTGTTAATAAAAAAAATTAAAGCAGTAAATATACTAATTCTTTTCTTTATATTTAAAAACAAACATAAGAAATGATTCATTATTCTTTTATTTTGAGTTCTATAAGACAAAACATCTTAAGTAAATGTTCCCTTTTACCTTTGACATAAAATTGAATTGTTTTCAACCAGTCAGATACATTTCTTCCTATATATCTATTTATTACTCGAAACGGCTTATCTAAAACAAATATTTATAGAAATTTATAAAATCTCGTTTTTTTCTTACATTATCAACTAAAACACAAAACCAAATTGTTCTTTTTATGGCACCTAAAATTCATGTTGCCTCTAGTCAACCATCTAAAATGAGTAAGTAATAATAGACGTACTAAAAGTGTGAGTACGAACGTTTAAGTATGATTTCAGCTCCTGTACTCTTACCTTTCATCATTGATTACTTATCTTACTTTATATAATAATGCATACGTGTATCTTTAGTTGTTTTTTTTAAATTTTGATAAGATCTTCTGACCGAGTTTAGTTTGCCTTTCTTTGAAAATAGTAATTCTTAATAGTTGTTGTTTATAAGAAAATTTGTTTAAATAATTTTCATTATTTAATTAATTCTATGTCTTTTGTAGATATGGATGACGATTATGGGAATAGAAGTAGAGGATTGCGACGTGTTGGTCGTCATTATTTACTACTTCTGTGGAAGAATTTTATTTTAGCAAAGCGTATGCCTTTTCGAACAATTCTTGAAATACTATTACCAGTATTTTTTGGCTTTATATTACTCGGTATTAGACATATTGTTAAATCAGAAACATATGACGGCGATACTATTTTTCCACCATTTTCCATTGATAAACTACCTCCATTTGAGACACGGTCAATATCTATGATTGGTTATGCATCAAATACAAGTTTTCCTACTGAAATTATGGTTAGAGCGGCTGCTAAACTTGGTCTATATGGTAGTTTAATTTAAAGTCTCTGACATAAATTTCATATCTTTTATTTTAGTACAAGCATTTCATGACGAAGATGCATTAGTAAAAGAAATCAATAAAGATATGCCACAATCTATATATATTGGAGGAGTTGTATTTACAAATACAAGTTCAGAATCTAATATTACATATAAAATTCGTCTTGCAGCTAAATTAAGAAATTCTGGATCAGGGTATATATTGATAAATGTTATTTATGTAATCACTATTTTGATTTTTAGAGGTGTTTTTACTGGTGAAAACAATTGGAGAACAAATCTGCTGTATCCTATATTACCTTTGGTTGGACCAAGAAATCGAAATAGTTCAACAGGAGGAACACCTGGTTTGTTAAATATATTTTCTATTTATGTTTATCTAAAACGATATATTTTTATTATTCTATTTAGGTTATTATCGTGAAGGTTAGTATATTAATAGAAATTATAATTGCTATTTAATAAATTAATTACTTGTTTTATTATAGGTTTTCTTGCAATTCAACGAGCTGTTGATATGTCAATTCTTGAAGAACTTAATCCAACATTTAATTCATCAAATGTTAATATTAAACTTCAACGTTATCCATATCCACCTTATAAAGGCGATAATTTTGTATTAGTTATACAAATTTGGTTTCCTTTTCTACTTGTTATGTCATATATATTCGCAGCTATTAATACAGTTAAAAATATTGTTTATGAAAAAGAAAATGGATTAAAAGTAAGATATTTACAGAGAAAATAATTTAATCTTTTCCTAATATATTAGGTTGCTATGACTATTATGGGTCTTAACAGCTGGATTCATTGGGCATCATGGTTTACACGATCATTAATTTTTTTACTTATAGCTGATATACTTATAGCTGTCTGTTATATCGTTAAAGTTCCATTAACATCCGGTGGTTCTAGTTCAGTTATAGGAGAATCAGATATAACATTAGTTTTCTTTTTCTTATTTACATATTCAATAACATCAATATGTTTTATGTTTTTAATCAGTACACTTTTTGATAAAGGTATAGAATTATACAATAGAACTTTTTCAAATAATATATATGAGTTTGTTTTTTCTAGCAAATAGTGCAGCTGCTGGTACTGGTGGTTTATGGTTTCTTTCTTATTTACCATATGCATTTATTCAACCACGTTACGAAACAATGACAAGAGCAGCTAAAATGGGTACATGTCTTTTACATAATATTGGGTTATCACTTGGTGCTCAATTAATCGGCATGTATGAAGGAAAAGGTATTTATAAAAACAAAATTTCACTTAGTTGAAAATTTCTTTTTGTTTTAAATTTAGGTACCGGTCTTCAATGGTCAATGTTTAATGAACCAGTATCAGTTGATGATAATTTTACAATGCAAGATGTCACTATTATGCTCTATATTGATGCAGTTATCTATCTTCTTCTTGCTTTATATATTGAAAATATTTGGCCTGGACAATACGGAATTCCAAAGTATGAAAAAAAAGAAAATTCTAATGATTATATAATTATTTAATAATTATAGGAGTTTTTATTATCCATTTCAATTGAGTTATTGGCGAGGATATACAACATCAAATGTTCATGTATCTGATGAATTCATAGATGAAGCTGAGAACAACAATTCTGCTGCTTTTGAAAGCGAACCTGTTGACAAAGAATTAGGTGTTCAACTCAATAATGTTTCTAAGGTTATTATTTGAACAAAAAGACAAACATTCATCTATATATATATATATATACTCTATTCTCATTTGTAGACTTATTCATTTTTGTTAAACAATCGTCCACAAGTTCATGCAGTAAAAAATCTAAGTATGAGTATATATCGTGGACAATTAACAGCATTACTTGGACATAATGGAGCAGGTAAATGAACTTAATTTTATTTACAAAATAACTTAGTTTTTATTTTTAGGGAAAAGTACTACCATTTCAATGATTACAGGTAAATAATTTTCTATTTAAAAATATATAAGATTATTTCGATAAATTTTGTGTAAAGGTTTAATTCCACCAACATCTGGTCAAATAATTGTCAATGGTTATGATATTGCAACATCAATGGATAAAGTCCGTGATATTCTTGGTTTATGTCCACAATATAATATTCTTTTCGATCATCTTACTGTTCGAGAACATTTGAAATTATTTGCAACAGTAAAAATAAATTTAACAAGATATTTCAATAAATACTTTTTTTTATCTATTAATTTAGCTCAAAGGACATCCATCGAATGATATTAAAAACGAAATTAAAAAAATGGTTGATGATTTAATGCTTAGTGATAAACTAGATACACTTTCATCAGCTTTATCTGGTGGTAAGAAACAAAGAGATGATGATTTGATTTCTTTCCAATAGCAAAATGATTTTTAGGAATGAAACGAAAATTAAGTGTTGGTATTGCATTAATTGCCAATTCAAAAGTTGTTATTTTAGATGAACCTACGAGTGGTAAAAAAAATTCTATTTCAATTAATTCTATTCTTATTTCTATTAATTATAATTAAAGGAATGGATCCAGCAGCTCGCCGATCAACTTGGGATATGTTACAACGTTTTCGTATGGATCGAACTATTCTATTTACCACTCATTTTATGGATGAAGCTGATATATTAGGTGATCGAGTATGAAAACAAATTTTCTTGATACTTTACATTTATAAATATACTATTTAATAATTACTATAGATTGCAATTATGGGTGATGGTCGTGTTCGTTGTTGTGGTTCATCATTTTTCTTAAAAACGGAATATGGTAAGAGAAATATTTCTTTATAAATCAATTGTTTTGCAAACTAATTTTTATTAAGGTATTGGCTTTCATTTAATATTATCCAAAGATGCAAGGTCAGATGCAAATGATATTTTGAGATTGGTTCAAAAACATATTCCAGAAGCAAAATTGGAATCAGCAATAAGTGCTGAATGCAAAATTTTATTACCACATGGTTCATCAGCGAGATTTCCTGCTTTGTTTGAAGATTTAGAACATCATACAAATGATTTACAAATTTTTAGTATTGGATTATCCGAAACTTCAATTGAAGAAGTTTTTATGAAAATGTATGAAGTATAGAAGAAGAAAAGATTTATTTTATTTTATTTTATTTTATTTAGTGTTGAAGAAGATGAACCAGATGAAATTGTAACAACAAATAGTTATCAATTAGATAATAATGGTTATGCTCATAATGAAAATGAAAACACAAATATAGAAGTATCTATGCCATTAGATAATATACATCAAAGTATGAATGGAATGAAAATTGTTCCTTCACAAAGGAGATTAAGTAAAAAAAGATTTTTAAGTATTTTTATGGAAAAAAAATCAATCAATCATCCTCTTCTACTTCTTCTTCTAATAATTGAATAGTTTTCATGTAGAATTTTATCATCTAATTATATATTTCATTTTTCTCTAGGTGTTTTTGATACAGAAATACAGAAAAATACAGGTATAACATTAATGTTTCAACAGTTTTATGCCTTATTACTCAAGCGTATTACTAATTCAAAGAGAAATTATCTTGTTTTATTTTGTGCATTATTACCTGTCTTATTTGTTATTATATCATTAATAATTGACCAACAAATACCTGAACCAGGTGATAGTCCACCATTATTAATGTCTCTTAATCGATATGAATCAACAAATGTACCTTATATATACGATCCAAATCAAGCTCTATCAACTGATTTTATTCGTTCATATGAATATCAACTTGAAGAAGCATCTAAACTACCGACATTAATCGATTTAACTTCCAATACAACTCGACCATGTCATGATGGTAAAACAACAGATATAATATCATATTTAGCTTGTATTGGTAAACGTAGTATACTTGAATTATCTGATCGATATTTAATTGGAGCAAATGTTCATGTCAATTCTTCTGACAATATCATTGGTGTAACTGGATTATTTAATAATCAACCATATCATGTTCCATCACTAAGTTTAAATTATATAACAAACGCAATATTAAAACAATATTCAACAGCATCAACAATGAATACAACTATTCATGTTGTTAATCATCCGGTAGATAAAAGAATATTTTATTTATTTATTCTTATTTTGTTTTTTTAGTTACCACGTTCATTAACAGAAACTATAAGTGATTTTCAAAGTCAACAATTTTTTGGTTTTCGTATGGCATCAAGTATTGTATTTGGTTTGGGCTTTTTAATGGCAGCATATGCTGTATTTTTAATTAAAGAAAGAGTTTCAAAAGCAAAACATTTACAATTTTTAAGTGGAGCTAATGGATTTAGTTTTTGGTTTAGTACTTTTATATGGGATTTATTTTATTATACTCTTGCAATTCTATTAATATTTATTGTATGGGCAATTTTTTATGCCGCAGGAGTAGCTAAAAATGACCTTGCAGTTTACTTAACTAATGATCGACTTGGATATACTGTTATGTTATATGTTTTATATGGCTTTTCACACATTCCAATGACTTATCTGTTTACATATATTTTTCAAATTCCTGCTAGTGGTTTTGCTTGGATTACAATAATTAATATAATAACAAGTAAGATGATTAATCTTTTGTTTTTTTATTGGATCTTTTTCTACCGTTATTTTTTTTTATAGGTCAAGCAACACTTATTGCTATCGTCATTCTTTCAATTCCACAACTTGAATTATTAGATGTAGCAAATATTCTTGAATGGGTATTTTTACTTTTATTTCCAAATTATTGTCTTGCTCAAGGACTTAATGATATGTATCAAAATTCTTTTCTTATTCAACTTTGTGAGCCACTTGTTCCATTATGTCCTTTTATACCAAATCCATGTTGTAAAGGTAAAAACTTTTGGTTAATTTTCTGAATCTTTATAGCCTATAGATTTTTTTTAATTAGATACTTGTGGTACGGATTGTGTTTCTTGGACAACTAATTATTTAAGTTGGGAAAAACCCGGTATTGGTCGTTTCTTAGTATTTATGGTTTTACAATCTGTTGTTTCATTTACTATTCTTCTTTTGATCGATTATCGAATCCTACCAAAAATATGGTATTTTATTGGTCGTTGCTGTCGATTTAATAGTGTTCCTAATAATACAGAACATATTCCAAATCACACTGTTTCAGGTCTTGTCATAACAACAGATAATATGCAAGTTGCACATGAAGATGAAGATGTTAAAGAGGAAGCTGAACGTATTCAAAATACACATTATAATGAATTAATGTTAACTGATGTACTCGTATTAAATCAAGTTGAAAAAGTTTATAATGGAGTATTTCATGCTGTTGACCAATTATCAGTAGGAGTAAAAAAAAGTGAATGTTTTGGATTACTAGGTGTTAATGGAGCGTAAGTATTAATTTGAATGAAATTATAAAATAATTTTATGATATTTAATCATCATTTATTTCTAGTGGTAAAACAACAACATTTAAAATGATAACTGGTGATGAAACAATTGATGGTGGTACAATAATCCTAGATTCATTAAGTTTAACTGAAGATATGAGACGTGCTCAGCAACGTATGGGTTATTGTCCACAATTTGATGCTTTAATTGATTTATTAACTGGTGAAGAAACACTTTATATGTTCGCTCGTTTACGTGGTGTTAAAGAATTTTTAATTCCTAACATAGTAAATTCATTAATTACATTAATGAGTTTAAGAAAACATGCAAACAAACCAGTTTATGCATATAGCGGAGGTAATAAACGAAAATTATCTGCTGCAGTTGCACTTATTGGTGATCCAGCCATTGTTTTTCTTGATGAACCAACTACTGGTATGGATCCAAAAGCACGAAGACATTTTTGGAATGCTATTGCACAATTTCGTGATCATGGTAAACCAATTATATTGACAAGTCATTCAATGGAAGAATGTGAAGCATTATGTACACGTTTAGCAATTATGGTTAATGGAAAATTCAAATGTTTAGGAAGTATTCAACATTTAAAATCGAAATTCGGCGCTGGTAAAGAAAATAATATAAAGAAAAACTTGAAATTTATTAACTATAATATTTTTTGTATATTTCTATCTATTTAGGCTATACACTTATGGCTAAATTAAATGTATTCGATGAAAATAGTGTTACTGGATTTTATGCTGTCATTCAAAAATCATTTCCAAATAGTCAGTTGAAAGAAGCTTATGAAGGTTTTGTACATATTCATATAAATCAAGCTGAGCTATCATTGGCTGCACTTTTTCGCGTTATTGAATCATGTAAAGAAACATTTTCAATTGAAAATTATACAGTTAGTCAAACTACATTAGAACAAGTATTTTTAAATTTTGCTCGAAGTCAACTTGATCCCGATGAATTACTACGTCGTATGCGTACGGAAACTTCTTGGACGACTAACCTCTTTAAACGTCTGACGTGTTCTTCTTAAAACAAAAATAAAATAAAAATATATAGCTTTTATTTTTCTATATGTCCGACAAAATTTTTGTATTCAATTTTTTTTTGTAATGTATTGATTGTTTTTTTGTATTTCTAAAACAAATAATTCATTAATCTTCTTATATAAAAAAATAAAAAATGTTAAACAAAAAAAATAGACAATATGATAAGAAAAGATAATGATAAAATGTTTCACATATTGATTAGCTGACACCTGATTTTTTCCGTGAGCATATGGTAACATTGAAGTATGTGAATAAAACATCTATAGGCACTTGAAAGGTTGTCAAAAACAAGTTAGATATATACATATATATATATATTTGATAATGAAACCTGTCATTAAAATTTGTTCTCTTTTGAAAATGATCTATTGGTATTGTATGATCAACAATAGTTCAAACAAAACTTATCCTATCAATATCGGTAAGTATCTACATTTAATTTCTCGGACAGGTGGACAAATGTCCCATACATTAGTTTGTTCAAAGTGAAGCAGAAACGACACAATGCTAAAAAAAATGAATTGAGAGTGCACGCACGTTTCTATTGTCTTTTTTTCTTCTTATATTCTTTTTTGTCGTTTTTTTTTCATCGTCTGAATGTGAGTAAAATTATTTTTTAATTTGTGGTCAGCAGAAGGTTCACTCGGAACAACACAGAACACACATCAAGATGAGACACGCGTCGCACTTTTCCTATAGACGACGAAGGTCAATGTCCGGGCATATAATGCGCGCTGCCGCTTCCCGTCTGTGCAAGTTTCTCATCATTTTTTTTATATGTCTTAAATTAACGTCTCTCCTTTTTTTGTGTGTTCCCTTTGTCCTATCATTGTGCACTGAATATGCGTGCGTGCCACCTCTCTTGAATGAATGGACAGAGACGAACGCGTGCTGACCATCTGCCGCCGTGTTTTCCCTGTTGTTGCAGACGACGACGACGACGAACGAGAGAAAGAAAAATGAGAAGAACGAATGCATTTGTCCAAGCATACGTAACGCAGTAATGGGAATGGAGAATGAAAGAGAGAGAGAGAGAAGGAAGTAGACACCCTGTTTAATGATATAGCAGACACATTTCGTACATTGATTCTTTTATTCTAGAATTGTCCTGGTTAACATCATGATAGAAGTACAATCAAATGAAAATTTAAATCCAAACTATTTCAGCAAGTAAGTTTTTTCGTAACTAAACCCCTTGATATTCTGTTTTTATATTCTCTCTAAATAGTTACATATGTGTTATATGTATTTGTATATGTTATTGTTGTTTTCGGAACGCACATGGACAAATTGTATAATCACTCGATACGGTGTATACAATGTTTTGTTCTCGTAGCGCATATATAGACATGCCGTATAAAATAAGAGATCATTCTTAGTTTTTTTTTCTTTCATTTTACTTACTTACATATACATATACATTTACACATACATATAAATCTATCTTTATAAAGATTAGAATAAAATGAATAAGTGAGAAAAAGAAAGTGTTTGAATATTTTATTAAACATAAATATATTTTGATTTTAGGCTCGATGTTCTTGCTGAACTAGCATCGAGTCAAAAACCGATTGTTAATGATTCATCAATAAAACAAGAATTTGAAACATCAAATGATGAAACAAATCTTTCTTTATCAATATCATCATCATCATCATCATCATTATTATTGAATTCAAGTATTAAAAGTGAAGGAGCAATATCAACAAATGAAAATACTAATACATCATTATCACCAACGTTTGTTCTTAAAACAACACAAAAAGGTAAACCATGTATTTTACTTGATGGTCATAGATATAAACATCGACGTGATAATCTCGATGGTTCAATGTCTTGGACATGTACACAGTAAGTTTCAATAATACATGTTTTTTTCTTTTTCTCATATTCCTATTTCATGTTTTTTTTTCTAGTGAATTATGTAGTGCAAGTGTACGAACATTTGGTGAACGAGTAGTACGCCGTAATGATGATCATTTACATGGACGTACATTACGTGTTGATCCGCAACAAGAATTTTTATCACGTTTAAAAAAACGTGCAGCTGAAGATACAGTTACAATTCCAAGAATCTATGATGAAGAATTAGCTCGATCTGTTGATGAACATTCACCTGAAATACGTTCACATTTACCATCATTTTCATCGGTTAAATCAACATTATATCGTCATCGACAACGTGGTCAACGTAATCAAGCATCAAAATTAATTAAAACTGAATTGAATATTGATTGTAAATCTTCATCAATAAATTCAACAACAAATACTAGTGGATGGAATACATTACCACCAAAGAAACGTCCATTAACAATCAATGTTGATTGTTTACCAACACCAAGTCCATCATCTTGTTGTTCTTCATCATCATATTCTTATTTATCATCAGAAAGTCAACATGGTGAAAAACGAAGAAAATATTCATCGTCATCTTCAACAACATTCACTGAAGATAACACGAATAACACGAATAATAACAATAATAATAATAATAATAACAATACTAGTGCTCAGATGGCTGTTGCCGCAGCACTTGAATCTCAACAATTGATTGCTAAATTTCTTTCCAATCCATATAATCTTCTGTTGGCACAAAATTATTTTGCTAAATATTCAACAACATTTGCTGATAATCCACATTTTATGCTTATGCATGCATATGCGTTAGTATTATCTAGTCTTCAACAACAACAACAACAACTTATGTGATACTTCTTTTTGTTTCTTTTTTTTACTTTAACCGTATGTCAGATCATTCTCAATGTGGTTGTTGTATCCAGTCACGTTTATCTTTTTCTTTTTTTACTTTTTTTTTTTTTGTTGTTCGTTTTTTTCCCATTTTCTGGCGGTGAGCAGTCGTATTTATGTGCGTTGTTCGCGGTTCTCTTTGTCTGTCTGTGTGTGTATGTGTGTTGAACTTTTAGACACACAGATAAACATTTCATTTCATTGTTTTCCTTTTTTCTTTCTTTCTTTTTTTGTTGTTATTATTATTATTATTGTTGTCATCGTCTTCATTTACCTAGTCATCTGAACGTATGATGTGTATGTTTGTATTGTGCTATTTATTTTCCATGATTGATGCATTCATTCCATAAACTTTATGTGTGCCTTTTGTTTTTCGTTAGATATTCTTTCTGTATGTGCTATGATTCGAGCGGATCTTTCTTTATGTTTTGCTCAAAACAATTTCGTTTTTTTTTTGTTGTCGTCAGATATATAGAAAAAAACCAAAAAGCTAAGACTATGAATATATTTGATAGTTATATTTGTCTGTTAGGATGATTAGATCCGACTAGATTTTATTGCTTTTCTGACAATGACAGGAAATGATAGTCATTTCTCAAAAAAAGAAAAAGAAAGCAAAGAACATGAAAAGACACAATTTAATGAGAGTTGTCTCTGCCGAAACATAAAAGTTTTAAGAGAGAATTATGAAGACTGAAACATACGCATGCATGTATGCATGTTCTCCCGGCCGGAAATACAAATGACATCGATCGGGTCGAAACAGAACAACAAAAGGGGAAATAGCAAGCAACTAACAATGAATATTTTAAATGACTAAAAGCTACGAGAGTAGTTTGTTGGCATATGAAGTAATTATTTAATAACAAAAAAGAAAGAAAGAGAAAAAATTAAAAGTCAGAAGAAAAAGAAGAAGATGATAAAACAAAATATTAGATTTGATAGTTCAAGATCAAAGCTTTCTATTTCTTTTTTGTATTTTTGACTGTAATGACTTCTCAATCAATAAATACTATTGACATAATGATATTATACTTCCGTTGACATTCTGTTTTCTGCTTCAATGTAGTCGTCATCTTGGGTTACATAAAATCTATATTTATAAACGCGATTCTTTCTCTTTTCTTCATGTAATATAGTATATTCTTAATTATAAATAATAATACAAGTATGTTATAATTTTTGACAACAAATAATATCAGATTAACAATTTATTTGAAGAATTTATTATATATATTAAAATGAATTAAATACTATTCATATTTATCTTTATTTGATAATATATACTTATGTCTACATAAATCTCAAGTATATATATATATATGTATTATATGAAAAATCACTTGATAGTTTTTTTTTTGTCTTAATTTAGTTGTTCATTCGAGTAGTATGGACCTTATTAATTTTAGTAAGTAGATTAACTAAGCGTGTTTTCCGGTTCAATATAATGATCTCTTCCTTTTATTATCTCAATGTAAATGTATGTATATAAACATGTATCAAGTATTGCGTCAACAAACTCATAGTCGGTTCCGATCTAATTAGATATTGATGAACTGAAGTTGATGAGTATATATATGAGAGAAAAAGAGCGATAGATCAAGCGTACCCGTTCATCTATTGGCGTCGTGCATTCAACACAACGACCAGCAGGATACAACATAGTTTTAGACGATGTTACTGAATGAATAGATGGAGATGGGGAGAGAGAGAGAGAGAGAACAAAATGGAGAGCTAGAGTGATAGACAGAAAAAGCGTGTGATGTGTGCATAGCAGTAAAAAACAGGGAGTAGTAGAAGCAATTACGCACGAAGACAGTACAGAAAAAAGAGAAAAAACTAGTGTGACATAGATAAAGGAGAAACTTGGGCTTGGATGCTATTAGAAAAATTGAACGAACGCACGCATCTATAGTCGAAGACGAATGAACGAAAGAAAGCGCGCGTGCTTTGAACAAAGATGAAGCAACACTACATGAGTGTTGTTCTTATTGTTGTTGACGTTGTTGTTGTTATATAAAAGAAAGGGACATGGAAACATTTTTTTCTCTTTCTTTTTTCCTTTCCCTCTCTCTCTCTGTCTCTGTCTCTTACTCTCTTGTTTTTCTACTTGAATACCATTTGCCAAAAGAATTAGTGAGAAGAATGTTGTTGTTCTTTTTTTGTTTGATGTTACTATATAATAAAAAAATGAGAAAGTAAAGAAACAGAATAAGCTTATTAATGTTCTTTTATATTTGTTACATATCAACACTATGATCAACAGAAAACAAGAGTATAGAGAGATAAAAATCAATGGGCTTATTGATTATTTATTCATGAGAACAAATTTAAAATAGAAAATAAATACTATAGAAAAATGAGCGAGAAAAAAGAGAGGAAGGGTTAGGGAGAATATAAGTACGTTTGAGTTAACTAAGCTGATTTAGAAAAGTTAGAAAAAAAAAGACAAATTCGATTGATGTGTGCGTGTCTACGGATGACAACAATCATCATCGTGTACATGTATGTGCTTGGTTCGTATATATGAATTAACAATTTCATTTAGAGTGGTATAGATGTTGGCATGTTATATGTAGTTTACTACATAAAGAAATCATTGTTATTAATAATGTTAATAATATACAAAATAAAGGAAGGTAATAAACTCTTTTTTTTCCATTCCTTCCTTCATTATGGAGAATAGAATGTGCGAGTCCTTAAGGATTGTTTCATCTATATTAGTTCAATTTTCATCTATATATAATTTAATTTAATATTTTAGAAAAATGAAGTTAATTTAAGGTATTTTTCTTTATCAATAATATTCATTTAACTAATGCAATAGACACATAGGAGAAGGAAAGAAAGCTTCCGTGCACATTCATTGACGTTCATTTTTTTTACACTAAATTTCTTCCGGTTTCCTCTTCCCATTAATATAAACAGCCACAACATCTATTCAAGCATCTATCTGAAAGATAGGTGAATAGACGTGTTCGTTTAAAAATGTAATGATCCATATATAGATATATATATATGCTTGCAGTTTTTCTTGTTGCTTTTCTCTAATCTATATTTAAATAGCTCGATTGTTATATGTAATCATTTGAGACACAAATCCTCAAGAAAAACTAGAAACAACAGAAAGAATTATTAATAACAATAGAAAGCTAATTCTATTTTTTTTTGCGCACGAGCACGTCTTTTACATTTCATCCCATGCGTGTATATAAAGTCATCTTTTGTGAAATAACGCATGAAAGAAGAAAAATATTCTTATATGTTTCTTTTTTTTTTATCTCATTTCGCTTTTCATTGTTCTATAATTTTTTTTTTCTTTTTCCTGTTGAAATTATTTTCTCTTTGTTATTAAGTAAATGCATTTTACGCTTGAATGAATCCATAAAGCGTTAGTTAGACTACGATAGAATTCAAGGAAAATCATTTAATACTTTTCTTTATAATATTAAAGAAAATGGATGATAAAAAAAATAAAAGACTAGTAAAACAAAATGTACGACTACTTTCAATAATGTAATCTCGATTATAAGAGCACAGGCATCACACTTGTCCGTCATTCCGGAAATGAAAACTTTTTCTTTGACAGTTGTGATAGTACGTGCTGGATCTTGCTATGCCTATTCTTGAGTGAACGACATTGCCATCATTTTCTTCATCAACATCATCATCATCATCATCATCGTCGTCATCTTTCTTTCTTCTTCTTCTTCTTCTTCTCCTCATTCTCGTTCATTATCAACCAAGGTTTTTGCTTCCCGACAATCGATAGTGACGGTCGAATGCAAATGCAATACTCGGGTGTCGATTTAAATGATTTGTGCTTTCCTATAACACCATCAAGTTTACACCGAATTGCAATGTCCCAGTTCGCATCGTTTCATATATGTTATGTTGTGTGTTAATTCAATTTTATCCGTCGCAAATCTACATTAGTAATAACAACAATTTCAACTAAAGTACTTTTATCATGGAAACATATAAAATTAGACATACCACTTTAGCTAATTCTTTTCTTTCTTTAATACAATCATATTTTAGATGTGCATCTCGATCTTTTTTCTCTTCTCTCTCTCCCTCGCTCTCCGTTTTGTTATTCGTTCATAATCATGCTTTTTATCCCGCTTGACTTAATTTGACGTTCGAATGGATAAATCATCGTTTCAAATTCATTGATTCATATAAATATGTGTTATAAATTGTCTATTATAATGACAATCGACAGCTTTTCCAAGGACATTTCATAAAAAAATATATATATATATATATATATATATATATATAACTGTCATCAAGTAATATTGCATATGTGCCTAAGTGTGTCTGCCTTCGAATAAGCAAAAAAAAAGAAGAACTTATAAACGAAGAGGGAAAAAAAAGTTATTCGATCTTAACATCAATATTATTTTTTTTTGTGTATGTCTAAGAATTTATCAATGTATTCTTCTTTTTTTCGCAGTAAACAAATCTGAAAGAGAATATTTCCAAGATTGTCTTTTTTTGTTTTTTACTTTTGTAGATAAGAACAAATATCTGAAGTTTGTATCTTTATTTCTTTTATTTTTACATGATAATCACAAGTGACAAGAAAATTGATGATGATTATATATATATATTGACAATAATGAAAATTATTTGTCTTTCAACAATTGTCTTTAGAAAACAGTTAACAGGTAAATTCAAAATAAAATATTGTCTTTTTTTCTTGTTCTTGTCACCAAATGATACAATAAAAAAAAATGAATTAGAACAATCGATCAAATGTAACAGCTGAAAAAGCGATAGAAATTGCATTGTATCTGTCTATCATTATTATCTAAATGTATTATTTTGACGTTAATAATGCGATTTTTCGATCTATTACTAATAACACCTTCATTGAAGACATTATTCTATTGAAATTCCGGCTGTCGAAAAAGGATATATGCATATGCAAATAAGTTATTGATATATTGTATTTCTACTAATGCTTCCTTTTGACATGCCTTGAAAAAATAAAGATGTTGTACAATGGAGTATCGTTTATACTTGTCGACTCTTTTTTCTCGGTTAAGTATTTGCATTTTCTAAGAAAGATCTTTGCTTTCATCTTCTTCTTCGTTTTTTTTTATTTATTTCTATGATGTTTGAGAAATCAAGAAGATCAAGAAGGATGGACAGCTGACAAAAATATACAGTTATATACACATCGATAGATATTAAACAATAATATTAGATGCCCTTCAAATCGTTAGCACTGAAATCCTAGCAAAAACAAAGATTGCATTACATACTTAGAGGATTCTTTTTTCTTCGTTTTTCTATTCATCTCGTTTTTCTCTTTTTCTTCTTCTTCGTCTTCTTCTTTTTCTTTTTCTTCTTCATCGTTGTCGTCGTCATTGCTGTTGCCGTCATCGTCTCTCTTATCATCAGGCACCACATTTTACAGATTGATTTCAAATCGCCTCAAGTCTTACAAAACCACCTCAATCATTTCTTGCTTGACTAAGATCGATAAACCTTGCCAATTAAATTTTAAGGTCATCAATTTATATAGTAAGTTCGTCTATCAGCTGTGTCATTATTTTTTAATGAAGATAAAACTGAAGAAGTTTTTTTGGATTTTTCTTCTTCAGTAATGATCTTTTAAGTAACACGCAATTTTGGTTCTTAATCCTAGAAGAAAAAACAGAATTATAATGATAAACTATTTTGTTCTTTTTTCTTCTTCTACGTCTCCTATTCTTTTTTTTCTCTTTTTTCTTATTAGACATCCGTGAGCTACAGCCGCCCCAATATTGGGCATTACGCTCGTGATGGCATGGCTCAAGCGTCATCGTTCAAATCGTCTATACGCTATCAAGTGTGCAATTCAACTACTGACAATGACATTTCACGTCTTTCATCAACAAAACCAACTCAACAAGGTTATTCATCAATTATTGATGATGATCTATGTGAAATTACGATTTCACCAACACCAACAAATAAAAAAGTTTCACTCTCATCAACTTCACCAAATCATAATACATCATCATTAACGCATGTTATTCCATTAACAACAAGTGATTCTCGAAAAACTTCTTCAAACGAATCAAATATTGTCAAAATACCAATTCAATCATCTTCTTCTCCAAAATATCCACTTGGTAGTTCATCATCAATTCATTCTCTTCCTAAACAAACTAATCCACCATCCCAACAGCAACAACAACGTTCACGACACTCATCAACAAATTCATCTACTCGTGATAGTATTAATCCAACAATTAATCGTCAATCAACATCAAGACAATCTGTATTTGATACACTTGCAACAAAATTAACAGCTGTACGAAAAAGTTCGACAACAGCATTAGCTGCAGCACAACAACGTTTATCAACTGATAATGCTAATTTATTTTCTGCATATCAAGGAGATTATATTCGACAATCTCGACAATTACGTAAGGCACGTCGTCAAGATATAAAAGCAAGATTTGAAAAATTCGATATCAATTCTCCAACAACTCGACGTTCACATTCATCACGTCGTTTTACATTTATATTTGATCCGAGTGGACGTTTAACATATTGGTGGACATCTATTATTAGTCTTGCATTTCTTTATAATTTTTGGATAATTATATTTCGTTTTTCATTTCATGAATTAACACATAAAAATTTATTAATATGGTTTATATTTGATTATTCATGTGATTTTCTTTATTTAATGGATATTATGTTTAATTTTCGTACAGCTTATTTAGAAGAAGGTGTTTTACAAACAGATCCAATTAAATTACGTCATTATTATATGAATACAACGAGATTTTATATTGATTGTCTTTGTTTAATGCCATTAGATTTTCTTTATTTATCAATAGGATTTAAATCAATAGTTCGATTATTTCGTTTAGTTAAAATTTATCGTTTTTGGACATTTTTGGATCGTACTGAACGACATACAAATTATCCAAATCTATTTCGTACTATTGTTATGATACATTATTTACTTGCTATATTTCATTGGAATGCATGTTTAATTTATATATTACATACACGTTCGGAATTAGGTTTTACAAAACGTTTTTCATTTTCATTCAATGATAGTGGTTTAGATTATTTTAAAGCTTTGTAAGTATTGAAATTCTAACAAAACAAAAAAAAATATTATTTTTTGTTTCCAAAAAACAAAAACAGATATTGGTCAATATCAGCATTAACATTAACACAAAATCATGAAACAAAACCAACATCAAAAGAAGATTATATCTTTCTAAGTATTGAACTTGTTTTTGCTTTATTATTATTTGCAACAATTATGGGACATGTTGCATCTATTGTTTCAAATTTAAGTAATGCAAGAAAAGATTTTCAAGGTATAGAAAATATATATCAAGGATATTTTTAATGTTTTCTTTTGTTTTCTTTTATTTTCAAGCTAAACTCGATGCAGTTAAAACATATATGTCATTACGTCGTGTGCCAAATAGTTTAGAAGATCGTGTTATTCGATGGTTAGTTTATATATATATATATATATTCTTTTTTTCAATAAAAGGAAATGATGAGATCGAAGAATATAAGTTGATGATGAGTTCTATTATCTCGATTTAATTGACTAAGACATTGAACAGTAAACTATTTGAATGTAAAAGATATTGTTTAGAATATGTGGTTTCCGGATATACTTATGATAAAGTGTTTGTCGAGTAAAACCTACTTATATAGCTAATAATTCGAAAAATTTATAATTATTAAAAATATTTTCATTTTTTTTCGAAATTTTAGGTTTGATTATTTATGGATGAGTCACAAATCCGTTGATGATAATCAAGTTCTTTCATTATTACCCTATAAACTTCGTGCTGAAATAGCCATACATGTTCATTTAGATACATTAAAACGGGTAAATTCAATAATATTTCAAGAAAATATATAGAATTATGTATTATTGTTTTTTGTTAAGGTTGAAATCTTTCAAAATACTGAAGCTGGATTTTTAAATGAACTTGTTTTACGTCTTAAACCAGTACTTTTTTCACCTGGAGATTTTATTTGTCGTAAAGGTGAAGTTGGAAGAGAAATGTATATTGTTAATCGTGGAAAATTACATGTTATGGCAGATAATAATAAAACTGTTTTAGCAACATTAAAAGCTGGTATAAGATAAAAATCAATAGTATGATATAAAATCTGTTTTTTTTCTTTTATTTAGGTTCGTATTTCGGAGAAATTAGTATTCTAAATATGGGTAGTGGAAATCGTCGCACAGCATCAGTTCGTTCAGTTGGATATTCAGATTTATTTTGTTTATCAAAAGAAGGTAATTAAATGAAAATATTTCATAGATTGTTTTGTTTTAATACATAAATTCGTTTTAGATCTTTGGGAAGTATTAAAAGAATATCCAGCTGTACGTGTTAAACTTGAAGCAATAGCTGTAAAACGTCTTGAAAAACATAAAAAACCTTTGATTCAACAAAGTAATATAGAGAAATTTTTTTCTATTAAAAGTTTGAGTCTTATAATTGCATTTTTCTACTATATGATAGTTAATATGAAACGAAGTAAAAGTGCACCGGGTCTTGTTGAAGCAAGTTGTCGTCTTCCATTTTTTGCTCCTATTCGTCGAACAGGTAGTGGTATTCGTCATCTATCAACCATTGAAGAGACCGATATGCTTTCGGGTACACCTTCAATTCTTCCAATATATTCATCCTTTAATCAACACCAACGACAGGAACAACAACAACAACAGCAATTTTCTACTTCATCAAATTCATTATTAACTGCTGCACCACTTGCATCATCAATTAGTGTAACATCATCATTAACTTCTGCTCGTCAACCAACAATAAATCATTCAATATCTTGGTCAACAACAACAGATACAAAAAAAGCGGATGTACTACGTGTAGGAAGAGCAGTTTCGTTAATAAACAGTAATTCACAAAATCGTCATAATTCAATAATATCAAATGAAATTGAATCTTTAAAACAACGTTTACTTGAACTTGAAAAAGAAGATTTAACGTTGAATTCACCAAGCAAAGAAGAATATATTAAAATAAAGCATCGTTTGAAAAATTTTGAAGACATACATTTTAGTGGTGGTAGATAACAACCGGTGTTCCGAATAATGCTAAATAAAATTCTTTTTTTCTTGTGTCATGTACATAATTATTTTTTTTTCCTCTGATAATTATCTTTAATATATATATACATATATATATTGTGTATGAGAAAAGAAAGCGATGGTTGTCAGATCGTCTATTAATGAATTTAGTTTTATTTGAAGAAAAAAAAGCACATCAACTAATCAATTAATAGTACTACAATGACAATGACATGAATTTATTCGATTTGATGATCGCGACGAAGCTAATGCTACCTAGAGACATATTATTTGAATAAATAAGACAAAAAAAATAAGTTTTTACTGTTATTTTTCTTCCATCAGCAATCGAACCATTTTTAACACGAATTGCGTTTATACCATCATCTATAAAAGATAAGATTAGCATTTCTTTATTAAATTATTTATTTTTACCATGACGAAGAAATGTAATAAAACCAAATCCCTAAAGAAAAGAATATTAATTAAATCGTTTTTCTTTTCTTTTATGAATTAATCTTACCTTTGAACCACGTTCATTCGAAACAATTTCAGGATCTTTGATTGGTCCGAATATCTTTAATAAATTATGAATAAGATTTTTATTCATGATTTATATTCTTACTTGAAATTGTTTGCATAAATCATTTACAGTCCATAAAAATGGAATATTTCCCACATGAATACGTAATGGATGATCTTCTTCAAAGAATCGTTCATGCATTGAAGAAAACTATATATGAATTAAATATTTATTTTTCGAAATATAAAAGATTTATATGATTTACTTGATCATAAGACGGCATTAATAAATGATGATTTAGAGTTGATGAAGAATGTATTTTATCAAATTCAGAAGATGGAATACACTAAATAAATTTCAATATTAAATATGAATAAAATAAATTTTTTTACAAACTGATTTATGTTGATTTATTTTCGAGTTGTCGTTTAATTGATATGGATTATGATGCATAGGAACAAACTATATAAAATAAATATATATATATATATAATTCAAAGAATATTATGACGAACTTGGTTATAACATGGGATTGATAAGTATCGATCCATTTAATTTAAAAGATAAATACCTGTTCAAATGGTATCTGTTATTTTTTAATTCTATTATGTCTACATTTAAATATAATGTTCATAAGAAAGAAACCACGTGTTTATATATCACATGTTCTTCAATAATCATATTGAATCGGTCAATATTCAAAAAAAAAGAAACATGTGTTAAATAACGAACGGAAAATTCAAATTTTAGAATGTTTTCATATTCAAAATAAAAGACGTTGTTTATAATTATCAACAAAACTTTCATCTTATCAATAGTGATTTTTTATATTTTATTTAATTTCAACTATATAAATCGATATAACCAGTTATTCATTTACTATATGAAAATATAAGAGTAGAATATAAACAATGGTCATGATTTGCATTGTCTTCATAGGAAAACAAAATATTTTAAAAGCTGTAGAATTTACGCAGTAAAGTTTCTGCGACCAATTGCTTAAATTTTATCCCGTAGAACTAGGGTGCGACTTCGAGATTGAGTATTTTCAAAATAGAGACTTCAGCTTAATCCTTGGGTTCTTCTGAATATGAACGATGAATAGAGAATAAAATTCTCTATCAGGCTATTGTACTTTCACATCTCATTCAAGATATATGAAGAAGAAATACCTACGGGATTAGAAAAATCCTAATTTTTCGGGTTTTTAAATCCCGTTAGTATTTATCCTGCAATACATGTTGAGTGAGATCCGAAAATACTATAGCCTGATAGGGAATTTTATTCTCTACTCATTGTACATCTTCAAAAGAACCCAAGAATTAAGTTGAAGTCTCTATTTTGAAAATACTCAATCACGAAGCCGCACCCTACTTAGAACTATACAATAAATAATCGAGTTTGTCATCCTATATCTTTGTTGTCTTGACAATGTGAAATAAATGAGGAAAATATAAAATACAGATCACGATCATTGATTATGTTCCATCTGTTATTTAAAAAAAGAAAAAAGAAAACAATAGATATAAAGTTCATTCTTCACAACGATGTGTATCAAAGTTATAACATATATATATTAAATGTACATGTTGAAAGAGAAAAAAAAACAAATGAAAATTTTAACGACGTCGACCACCTTTGAAAGCTGTTCGTGGTATTGGTTTTTGTGTTTGTAAACATTCTCTAATCAGACGAAGTGCTTGATTGATTTGACTTTTTGTTCCTTTTATAACTGATGGTTCATTATCATCATTTGTTAAATGAATTTTTGCACCTGTTTGTTCACGAATTTGTGTAATATGTTGACCTTAAATATAAAATCAAATAAAAAATTAAAAACTATTTTTTTATTCAAAAGCAAAAATACCAAATGGACCAATTAATAATCCAACTTGTCTTCCTTTAACAGAATTTAATTTCTTAACAAAAATTCGTTTATCATCCGATGATTTTGATCGTTTAAATTCATCATCATTATCATCCGATTCTGGTTCTGTATCATCAAAATTTAATGGTGCTTCTTCAGAATTATTTCGTTGTTTCGATAATGATGAAGATGATGATGAATGTATTGATACAGTTGATTGTTGTTTTGATTCAGTTAAATCTTCTAATGAAGCAGTAATATTTGTATTTGAAGTTATTTCACATACATCATTTGATTTATAACCACCATATTCATGAGCAGATGATTCATCATAATTTACTGATGGATCATACATAGAATATGATGGAGTATTATCTTCATCAGTAAAATGAGCTTGTTCAAGAACATTTTGAAGAATTTCTCGAAGACAACTTAAATAAAAGAATAAAACTATAAATCAAAATATGGATTAGGATTTCCGATTCTCTGATTGCCATTAAAATCAATATTCTTTATGTATACTCAAGAGATATTAAAACTAATATAAACAATTTCCATTAATAAATATGTAAATCAACTTATATTGAAATAAATAACTTTTAATTAGATGAATTACGACGGAGAAAGAACAACTACTCTTTTTTTTACAATCAATATAATAGAAATTTATCGTTTAAAATAATATAGCTTACTAGATAATATATTCATTATGTTGACTACGTAATAGTACAACACGTTCATCACTTTGCGGACATGTTTGTGGAAAAATTTTAACCATATCAAGTTGATATTTTTCACGTAAACGATCAAGACGTTCATTACGTTTACCAGCTATAATTGATAGAAATTTTTTTTGAAATAATAATCGTAGTTCATATTGTGTTGATGAACATTTAAATGCAATTAATAAATCAGTTAAAATATCAATCGATGCTTCAAGATCATTTTGATTAATTATTGTTAATATACATTCAATAGAAGATTGACATGAAACTTCTAACATAGCATTAAATTGTTCAATATCAAAATTTCTTATTAATTCTTCTCGAACATAATTAGGAATTAACAAACGAAATGGAAGATAACGTGATAAACTATTAAGACCTTGTCGTGTTGTATCTGTCCAAACTGGTGCTGTAGGTTTATGTTCAGTTGGATCAGGTGAAGTCGGTGTATGATCCGATGCTAAAATATATATATATACATACAAATTTTAATTCAACCTTATTGTTATCTTTTACTTTTATCCGGCATTGATGGCATTGATTGTGGTGGTGGTGGTGAACGTGGCGGTTGAGGTAATGGTTGATGTTTACTAAAATCTGTCATTTTATGTAATTGTAATTCACCAGTTATATCAATATTCGATGGATCAAATTGTATATCTAATTGTTTCATTAATTCAATTTCAATCTGATTAAATGAAAAGAAATAGATAATAGAAAATATTTTTGTTTTTAAATAAATCTTACATTCATTTGTTGTAAATGTTGTTCAATTTCATCAAGTTGTTCAGAATCAATTGATTGTGGATTATTTTTCATTATTAATAATTGTTTAATTAATGTTTCTTCAAGTAATTTTTTTGATAAATTTTGAAATTTTATTAATTGTTCAAATGATTGTGCATTTTGTTTTAACATATGAATTTTCATAGATTGTACTTGATTATACATTGAATTTTTCCAATCATCTAATTGTTGTTGAATATTATCATGTACTTGTTCAAGATCAAATAAATGTAATGCTTGTTTTTGTATATGAATTTGTTTTTGAATATGAGAAGATGAAAATTCGGATGATGTAGAAGGATTTGTAATTGGTATTGATCGTTGTGCATTTATATTTGAATTTGTTGATGGTATAATCGGTGATAATGGAGATGAACGTACTGGCTCAAGTGTTGTTTTATCTTCGATAATTGAAATCTTTTTTGAGGATTGATTCGTTTGTGTTCGCGATCCATAAAGTGATTTATTGTTGTTAAAGAGAGGAAGAGGATTAGGTACATTAGTACTTGACATAGTTGATGTACAAAATAAAAATCTCTGAAAAAAAATAGAAAAAAAAATACCTTTTTTTATTCGTTCGGTTTCTATTTTATTCATTTGTTATTGATTGTCTTTAAAAAGCCAATCGTTAAAAACTTTATTCAACTCATATCGATTACCGGTGACGTCCATCGGAATATACAAAATTCTAAATGAATTTATAAAAGGGTATTCAAGTCATCAATTATTATATTTTAGATAAACAAACAAGTTTTCTATTCATAGATTCAGTAAAAGACATACCTAACACACCAGTGGGAATTATTAGTTCATCGGCAAATTTCTAACTTCTTCTTTATTTACATTGAACGCAGTAAAATTTGTCATAGTAACAAAATAATTGTTTTCAATTATATAATTACTAGTAATTTTATTATAGCAAAACTAATGTCAATTCTACGAAATGTTATCTTATTGAAGAATATGAGATATATACTATTAGTTAGTAATGTTTTTTTAGTAAAGTAATTCTTTTATCTTTACTATATGAAGTAGATTTTTTTCTCATTCGTCTGTTATTGATATCATAAATATGCTAACATGACAAGTCATAAGTGAAATTACTAAAAATTCTCATTCTCATCTCTTTCCTTTTTTTCTTCTATTCAATTATATGATGCGTTTTACTATTTATAGATAAATGGTGAGTATTCACGCACGTTGTAATGATGTATTTATTGGACATGCAATTGCATCATATTTTGATACTTCCACTCAATTGGCTCAAGAACTAAGTGAAAGTCTATTGACTTTAGAAAGTTTTAATGGATCGGATATTATGTCAAGATATCTGTATTTATATCATACAAAACGATGTGATTTTGGTGAAACATTGAAAATTGTTTATCAAAATTTAAAAGATAAAATTATGATTAATGAATCGTTGCCTATTTCTCGTGAAAATTGTCGTTTTGATCAATTGATTATTGATGAAACTGTGAAAATAACGGATGGTAAACTTGGTGGTCATACTGCTGGATGTGGTCCAGTTCATCGTTCGTTTCCTCTTGCATTGTGTTCTTGGATTGATGATGATGATCTATTTGAATTGTCGATGAAAGAAGCAGCTCTAACTCATTATAGTTCATTAGCAGGACAAGTTTCTGGTATTGTCAATCTAATTTGTCGATCATTAATAAAAAATCGACCATGGCGTGATGCTGTTCAATCCGCATTTACAACGCCTTCACTACATAAGGATGTATCTAGTATTTACGGACGATATAATCGTTGGAGTGATCTTGGAAAACAAACACATCCAGCCTATGCTCCAGCAGTACTTATTGAAGCACTTCATTATATTGCTAATTCAACTAATGCAATAGATGCCATTGAAAAAGCTACTACAAAGAAAAATTCTTATTGTTTACCAATTATTGGCATATTAGCAAGTGCTCGATGGGGTTTTCCACTAGATATGTATAACGACAAAATTAAAGATGGACAATTAAAAATAATTCGTGATACAGCAAATAAATTGAGTAATCAATGGTCTTTACAACAACATAATATATATGCTTGAAAAAACATTTGAAATGTATATGAATACTTTAGAAAATTTTTTAAAAATTCACTAAAAATTTATGATGTTTTAGTATAAAATCTATTATTTTATTTGAATCGATGATGTATTTGTGTTGTACTCATGACAATTGAAACAATACTTTTCTATCTGTTCAAGTTGATCATGGATCGGTCATAGAATTCTTTAACAGATTGTCCATAATGTGATGCGAGTTTACTCGTTTAGGTTCGACAACTAAACAAATATTTGATATGGTTAATTTAATCTGTTGATATTAGTTAAAAGGTGACGAAGAAAATAATGCGATAAGAATCAACTTTTCTTCCAAGCGTTTCAAAGCTTTTGAGTGAAATTTAAGACAATTTAATCTGATATCAGCGCAATAGTATCTTTTAATTTATGGATATTCTGTCTACGGACTAAATACATAATACACGTCTTTGTATTATATTACACATGCTGATTCATATGAAAATACATTAAATATGCAAGTGATACAGTAAAAGATTATCGCTCGATTCGGATTAAGCTGTTAGCTAATGGTTGATCAAGGTTATTATAATTGAATAAAAATTGTAGCAAACAATCATAGTTGTATAAGAGAATAGATTTCATTTTTATTCTCTAATATGTATTCTTCGACTACACCTACACTTTATAGATGATTTGACAAAGACTCAATTTCCATGTCAAAAATCAGCAAAAATATGATAGTCTCAAGAACATTATTAGTAATAAGATGCATGATAAATTCGAGAAAATAAGTGCTAATCTAAACTATGCGATCATATATCAGACTGCTTTTAAATTTATTAACAGAATTAAAGATGTTTTGTCTTCTTAGTTGAACTGCTATCCAAATCAAGGTTTTCTTAAGATAGAAATAAAATAAGTCGTATTTCTCGTACTTTATACTTTTTATTTTTGGCATCGAAGAAAACTTAAAGAATTTTCCCTATTTGTCATGTTTTTCAATTTAACATTAAATAAATTAATTTTTCTAATAATAGATTCTACTCTCGTTTTTAAATAATCTATTCAATGAAAAATTATTAATATCTATTACTAACATAATTGCCATTAAACTTCTCAAAATTCTTCTTACTAGAAGTGTGAGGTATTCAAATATTTTTACGTGGGTACATGAAACAGACATTGTGATCTACAAATATAGCAATTACTAAAAGTTTTGCTCTCTCGACAGTTCTATAAGAGATAAAAAGCTTATATTCCTGGTAGCATTTACGCGTAGATTTTTTTATATTGTAATCCTTTCAATTCACCAATATCTGCAAGTTTTTCAATTATGACTACTCATGAAATGACTCGTGTTTTAGATGAGATCTTCATCATAATTATTCGTTCAGTAATCGATTAACTCACATGTAGGCAACGTTCGAATTATAATTCATTTTTATGAAACTGCAAAATATTTTTCGAGCAACACCAGTCTTAATACATGCATATTTCAAAACTGCCGTTCGAAGAACTTAGAAAACAGTCTTAAACCAAACGGCAATTATTTTTGCTCATCATTGTATGTCGAAAGAAATTTTTACCGCAATTTTTCTTTTGATTAACTTCATATAAATTATTTTTATTCTAAATTCATGCTTAAATCAATGCAGGAAAGAAAACGAGAATTATTCGCATGATATATATGATTCTATTTAGATTTGTCATTTAAATCTTCTAAGACGACAGATAATTATTTTCTAACATACAATACATAAATAATGAATATCTATTCATTTTTCCTAACTATCCTACTAGAACACGTTGACATTTTCTAATCAACATTAATATTCAATAATAAAATATTCATGTTGAAATTATAATATCTTTATTATCTCATCTCATATTCTTTATAAATCACGTTTATGACTAGAAAGAATATTGAGTGTTCTATTGAAAACTACGAAAAAAGAAATCTTTTTTATGTGTAAAAACAACATTTCTATCTATTTATAGTATATCAGATCGCATTATATGTAAAGACTTTGATTACGTGCCATTATCATTTATTCTGTATAGTTACAAAAGATAAAAATATTTTATATGGTTCTCTATGAAACAAAATTTTTAATTTATGATAATTACGTTCTTTTTTTTTCTTTTTAACAAATATCAAGAAGAATTTAATTGACACTTTCTATTATATACAGGTGTTTATTTACGTGAGATTTTAGTTATAAAAATTAGTTTCTCCGACATATTTTCAATTTATTTGATATAATTATAGAAACAGAAGACTGTTTTCAATATTTCTTTTTCTTTTGCATGCACTTAAAAGTACGATACTTTCATATTTTATTTTGAAATTACTTCCATTTAAGCAAATGTGCACTTCCGAATAAATGAGTTTCCTTTATCATTCTGCATTCTATCCTAGGCGATTCATCGTACTTCTCGTCCATTTGTCATCTAAACGTCAGTTGAATTTTTTTTTTGTGAATAAATAAAAGTATCAAATTATTTATCTCGTTTTTTCCTTTTAGTAAAGTTAGTTTTCTTTATTGACCTACTTGTTAATATATCATTATCAAGTTCTTCATAAATAAAACATGACAATGTTGATAAGTATAATTGGAATTTTTTTTTTCAAAACATAATTTCATTATATTTATTTGAACTCGGTAATAGTATGCGAGCTTTTTTTTCTTGTGTTGTCAGTCAGAATTTATTTGCGTGTTACATTATTTATTCTTTTTGACAACAAGCTCATTTTTCTATCTCAGCCTACAAACTTTTATCTTCTCCTATTAAGCAATTACTTATTGTGTTTTCATGCTTAAATACATCTACTATTGTTCAAGAATCTTTTTAGTCTTAAAAGCACGCATCAGCATAAATAAACTATTATAAATAGAATCTTTTGTTGGATATATCTTTGTTCATTTTGAAGATATCTAAGATTGGAACACAAGCGAAAGAACAAAATCAAAATAAATAAGTGCGTGCGTTCATCTAATTACGTCTTTTTCTTTTCCTTGTTCATTTTTTGTAAAAACAAATTACAATCAAGTATGGCACAAGTTGATTCATGTAATGAACAATTATTAACAATACGAGATCATATTAAACATCTTCGCAAATGGATTCAACAACAACAACCAATATTAAATTCACTTGATACAGATGAATTTTTATTAAGATTTTTACGTGTTACTGATTTTCGTCTTGAAAATGCGAAAGAATGGTTAATTCAATTTTGGAAATATCGTACAGAAAATCCTCAATGGTAAGATTTTCTTTGTATGTTTAAAATATATTTTGAAATTCATTTTTCAATTAGGTTTAAAGATCGTGATTTACTTCAAGATTCGTTAATGTGTCAAATTGCGGAATTAGCATATTGTCTTCAATTACCAAAAGCAACTAAAGATAAACATCTTATATTTGTTATGCGTATGGGACAATATGATCCAACAATTTATACTATTGATGATGTTACTCGATATGCATTTGCTGTTACAGATATTTTAAATAGTCAACCGGCTGCTCAATTATATGGTTTTATAATTCTATTAGATTTTACAAATATTCGTTTACAGCATATAACACAATTTACACCTGATCGTATGCGTCGTTATATTGATTGTTGGGAAAAAATGTATCCAGTACATTTACGCCAAATACATTTTTATAATTATCCAGCTATCTTAAATCCTTTTTTATATTTATTCCGATTATTATATAATGGAAAACTTAATAATCGAATATATTGTCATTCAAGATCATCCGATGATTCAACGAAAAAATCTTTACATGTTTATGTTGATCCATCATTGCTACCAAATGAATACGGTGGACAATTAGATTCTATAGAATCTGATATGAATAAAACATTCATTAAATGGACTCAAGAACATAATGATTATTTAATTCAACTTGAACAATATAATGTTGATCTTAATCACGTATCACAATTGTTAATTAATGTTAAAAAAGAGCATGATATATGAATCTTATTTTTGTTGTTAGATGTACTTTTTGTTTTATTTTTTTTTCAATTAAATTGAATGTTGTGTAATTAAATATTCAGAAAAATAAATTTTATGTCATTTAAATATTAATACACGTATTAAAATAAGTCAATTTACATAAATACTAAAAAATTGATTATATCATACATTATTTTTATTGTGTCCTGAAAATATAAATAAATTTATGTCATATTACGTATTAGTACTTGCTAAGAAGATATGTTGCGTTGATAGACATACCGGAAATTGAACAAAGTTAATTTATTTCTTTCAAACAGAAGTGACAACAACATACTTCAATACATTTACATTAACTTATGATCTGTTTTTCATTTCTTTTGAGCGTACCTCGAACAATTCAATAAATGAGAATTGAAGAACATATTCTATGATGTTAAATGAAATTCATATAAAACAAACTTCTATATTTTCGAGAAGTCTTAATTTTGCGTACCTTAAACAATACGATATATCTAAATGATCAATGTCGATCAGTAAATTGACATTATTTAATTAAGCGAACTACAAGTCAAATAATTGAATTTTGTTAAAGTATTAATTTATTCTTTATTACATAATAATTTTTATTTGTTGCAATTCATAAAAACGATTTTATATAGTGAATAAATCTCGTTTTCGAAACTATTTATATTCGATTTTACTATTTATAGATTACCTCTGAATTGATCATGTTTTAATATTCATACAATATGTTACCGTCTTTCTTTTTCTGTTATTGTTGCATATCACTACATTTGATTCTGTTTTGGGTCATTTATATTCTATATTGTATTCAAAAAGAATAAGACTGGATATAAATGAAAACGTGTGGTTGTTATTTAAGAAATATTCATAACAATAAGTAACAACTGTTATTTGGATGATTTATTTTAACTGAAAGCAAATCTTATCAAAAGAAATCTATATGTGTTACAAAGCATACATAATAAAACAACAGACTTTTCAATTAAAATATGGAGTCAATTAAAAGATATTAAAATTTCATGATTACTCATCAGCGCATATATTTTTAATTAGAAATTTCTTTCTCTTTTGATAGTCTATGTTATCATAAAATGAATAAAATCAAAAAAAAAGAGATAAAAGACATGAAGACCCCATCTGCTTATTATAGATGGCGTCATTTGAAAAAATATTAAAGATATTAATTTAGTTTTAAGTTTGTCATTGAATTTTGATCAATTTATAATAAATCATTATATATAAATAGTCAATATTTCGATAATCAGTTGCTCAATTCAATCTCCACACGTTGAATTCAGATTGGTTGATAAGAATTCAATTCATCCAATCATTCGAACACAACCCATATCCCGTTGTTTGCCCATTGATTCGTCTTTTCGTCTCTTCGTCTCTCTTCCATTAACTATAATAGTAAGAAGGAAAGAGAATAAAGACGGCCATCTCATAGTTGTGTTCTTACTTCGTCGTTTTTTATTTGAGTTCATACCCTTATATTCGATAGCATACGCGCGCGCGAGATAGACAGTAGAGAGAAAAAGAATCTCCTCTTGTTCTTCTTATTGACCGCTGACCCATTCATTCTATTTTAGCATCATCTTTATCATGAATCGAGCAAGCTGTTTATTGCTACTAGTAGCTCTCTTTGCAACTGCATATTCAAAAGATTATTTTACTGAAAAATTTGAAGATAAAAGTTATGAAGATCGATGGGTTCAATCAACAGCTAAACCTGATTTAGGTGCATTCAAATTATCCCATGGTAAATTCTATGGTGATGCTAAGAAAGATCTTGGTAAGTTAACTAAATAAAATTTTGAGAAAAAATAGATTTTTAACAATTTTGTTTTCTATAGGTATTCAAACATCTGAAGACGCTCGTTTTTATGGTTTATCAGCTAAATTCGATGAATTCTCGAATGAAGGCAAAACACTTGTTATTCAATTCACCGTTAAACACGAACAAAAAATTGATTGTGGTGGTGGTTATGTTAAAGTTTATCCAGCCGGTACTGATCAAGTTGGTCTTACTGGTGATTCACCATATCACATCATGTTTGGTAAATAATCTAATATTTATTTTTAATCTTTTATTTGCTTTTCTGTTTTATTTTAGGACCTGACATTTGTGGTTATAGTACCAAAAAAGTCCATGTTATCTTTACATACAAAGGAAAAAATTTATTAATCAAAAAAGATATTAAATGTAAAGATGATGAACTTACACATCTCTATACATTGATCCTCAATTCAGACAATACATATGAAGTTCGTATTGATAATGAAAAAGTTGAAAGTGGTAAACTTGAAGAAGATTGGGACTTTACTGCACCAAAACGAATTCCAGATCCAGAAGCTAAAAAACCATCTGACTGGGTTGATGATGAAAAAATCGATGATCCAACTGAAACTAAACCAGGTGATTGGGATAAACCAGAACATACTGCTGATCCAGAAGCCAAAAAACCAGAAGATTGGGATGATGAAATTGATGGAACATGGGAACCACCAATGATTGATAATCCAGATTACAAAGGTGTTTGGAAAGCTCGTCAAATTGATAATCCAGCTTATAAAGGAGCATGGGTACATCCAGAAATCGACAACCCAGAATATATTGAAGATGCAAATCTTTATTTATTTAAAGATCTTGGTGTCATTGGTTTTGATTTATGGCAAGTTAAATCAGGTACTATCTTTGATAACGTACTTATCACTGATAGTGTTCAACGAGCTGAAGAATTCGGTAATGAAACATGGGGAAAAACTAAAGACCCCGAAAAGAAAATGAAAGATGAACAAGACGAAGTTGAACGAAAGAAGGAAGAAGAAGACCGCAAAAAGAGTGAAGCTGGTTAGTAATTCACATTTATTTTATTTCCATAAAAAATTAATTTTAATTTTACTTTTTCTTAGAACAAGCAACGAAAAAATCAGATGATGATGATGAATCCGATGCTGATGACACAAAATCACCTCATGCTGATGATGAACTATAATTAATTTCTATGCAAAAAACAAAATAGACATTATACATTCCCAGTCAGTTTTAATTAAAAAATAACAACTATATAAACATCCTGTGAGGTAGTTTTCTTGTGTTCTTCTTTATTTAAACATTAGTTATCTTCGTTAATCTTTTTTCTTCTTTCTATTGTTGTTTGTTTTTGCTTTTCCTTTCTCTTTTCAACGAAAAACAATGGTCGATGGTGCAAGATTAGGGAAAAAGAGTGCAAAATATATAGATTTTTGTCATAATGACGCCTAGTAGAAAAGACAGCTAATGATTTTGTTTTATGTGTTTTTTTTTCTTGTTATTGTGGCTATTTGTTGCGCTGATATATACATCGGTTTTTCTTTTATTTATCTATTTAAACTTTCATTTGTTTGTATTTGTTCGTGTGTGCTCATTTGATTTGACTATATCTTGCACGCTTTTCTTTTTTCTCCGTTTTTTATACGTCGCTGTTTATGGATTAAAAAAAAGCAGAATATTAGAAAAAACGTTATGGTGATGATTTAAACATACAAGTTCACTTTCCTATAAATATAAACATATATTTGTAGTAATTGAATTGATAACTAACATACGAGAAAAGAAGTCTTCTTCCTAAATACATAATCAATATTGAAACTATATTTACAATCAAATGTCTACAGGATTTTGTGGTTGTGAATGATATATATATATATTAACTACGCTAATCTCTCAATCAGATTGACATTTTAAAAGTATGTGTTTTTAAGACAATACTTTTGTCTTTTGCAAGGCCTTGTTCGATTAAAGTTGAAAACAACATCATATATCATGTAATAAATTTACGTATATATCGTTTTTTATGTATAAGGATTATTATTTTTATATTTCATTTTCTGTGAATTACATCTCTCGTCATCTATTTTCATTTTATCACGTATTTTTCTAGTGATAAAATAACTTTTCCATATCAAAAATATTTCATTTAGTCTGAAATTTTAAAAAAATTCATTTACTTTTATTCAAATTAATCAATGTTTCATTGTATAGGAATTTTAAAAAATGATTTTTTTTCAATGTTTAAACATATTTTCACAGAAAAACATTGTTCAAAATTTCATGATAAATTTTTAATTTGAAAATAATATTCAACAATTTGCTTTTCTTATTTTGTTCTATGTATATATATAAAAAAAAACAGCACAAAATTATCAACGTAAATGAAACGTATAATAAACAAGATCGAAAACAGCTAGAGTAACCATGATAAATTAATTACGTTTTACGTGAAGGAAGACGTGGTAGTGTTGGCAATGGATCATTACGTAAATCTTTGAGTGACTTTTTTGTAGGCGAGTTTGGTGCTTTATAAAGTGTTGAATGTGATCCAGTTGGAAATGAAAGTGGAGAACGATTTACATTATTGTTGGGAAGAACTGGTTCATGATTAACACGCATTGGTGTACGAAAACGATCTGATGTTGAATTACTATTTATTGAAAAAATATTTTATTCAAATAGATTTTCAATACATGATAATAACTTACGAATTTTCAGCTGTTGATGATCGTGAATTTGTACGAGATTGTGCATGATGCAAACTAGCTGCGGAATTCGATCGATAACCTAATAAATAAAATATTAAATTTATATCTTTAATTTTTAACAATTATCTCAATCTGTCTCTTGAATTTTTATTAGATTATTTAATCAGGTATAAAGGAAAAACACTTTTAATTACGAAATTGTTTTATATGTCTGATTATTTACCATTTTTTTCAAATATTATTACTGTATGATAAGCATTGAGAATAATCGAAAGACATTAACAAAAAAAACGTTTTATTTAGTTCGAAAAACATTTTATTAGCATTAAAGATATTTCTAATCAGGCAATCTAATTTTGATATTGACATAACATGCACTATTTCAGTGATTCGCTTACCTGAAATCTGTAAGACTTCGTATTTCATTTGATCTAATACACTTAATAGGGAAATACATTCATATATCAATTTAAATAATTAGTTTTTTGTTCTTAAAAGAGAAAAGAAAGAGCAGCGAATTTTAACGCATTGTAGTCATCTGAAGCATATATTATTCAAATTTAATTGAGTTTGTCTGAGAGTGAATCTAAATTAATGTATTGTATCTAAAACGGAACTGTTGACGACTCTTGCTCATTTGAGTTCGTCTGCATTATTTCGATGATAGTATATATTGATTACTCTCAGTAAATTGATTATACTAACTTTACAAGCACTTCAGTAAGGTCGATGAAAATAGCTATGCTATCTATTCCTTTAGGATTTGAAAAGAGCATAGTTGTAAATCTCACCTGTATCACCGGTAGTAAGTCGACTTTCTGTTTTTTCATAACTTTGAGTAGACATAGCTGATGATCTCCATCTTTGTTCTTCAGGTGGAAATGATTCATCAAGACCGAAATTACGACGATTCGAAGAAGATACAATTGTTTCTTCTAAGAATAAAAATCGAAGAAATTTTATTGAAATAAAACAGTAAGAATTTATTATCTAACTAACCTTGATGAGAATTATCTGTTTGTTTTTCATAACTATTAACATCATCATCGGAATCATCAACTTCAAGATCATTTTCAAGAAGATCATCATCATCAGTAATACGTAAAACTTGTGGTTCAAGAAGTTTTTTACGTTCTTCGATTTTTCTAAATAAAACAATTCAAAAAAAAATATTTTAATTGAATAGAAATATTACCGATTATGTTCAATTTTCCATTCATTAATTTCTCTCATAAGTGGATGATTAGACATGGATAACGACGAAGAATCTGATGGGACAGATGATGATGGTAATGATTCATTTACCTTTTCTGACGTGTTTACTGAAGAATTATCGGACATATATGATTGCTGCTGTTGTTTTTGTTGTTGTTTTCGTGCTCGTAAAATTTTCGTTAGATTTCCTTGAAATGCTGGACCAATTGTTAATTCACTGACAACATCTTCATTATTATCTGTATTTAAATTAAAATAGTAATAAATTTAATTGAGAGTGAATAACAAACAAAATTAACCTAATAATTCTGATTTTGATGGATCAGTATTTGGTCGCATTGATCCTGTCATAGGTCGAATACTACCCGTAGAACCAGGACGTGCTGCTGATCGAGGACGATAATATGCAGCTGTTGTTGGCCGATTTAATGGACTTTTATTGGCTGATCGTGGTCGAATATCAACTAAAAGAATTCGAAAGAGAATATTAAAAGAAAAAAATAACTATAATTATGTTTACCTTGATTACATACTAATTTTTCATCAGATGGTGCCATACCAGCAGCAATACATTCTTCAATTAGAGACCAATCTTGTTGAAATAACATCGTTCCTTCTCCAGATATTGATGATGAAAGTTTATTTATTTCTTTAGTTGATTTATCATCAAGTATTTGAAGACGTGGTAAACGATGTATTATTTCTGCACGATAATCATCATGATTATTAATCTAATTTTTTGATAAAAGAGAAAACAAATAATTGTTCAAATGTTTAGTAAAAGTTTAATCTTTATACCGGATTGCCTTCAAGTGTTAATGTTTCTAAACTCGAACATAAAGCAAGAAATTCAACTTGATGTAAGTCATCAATAAGATTACTAGAGTAATATTTAATAAATAAAAATAAATTATAAAATATAAATGATACCTTTCAAGATCAAGTAATCGTAAGTTTTCAAGCATACTCAAGGCACTTAAATCTGATATTTCATTATAAGCAACATAAAGTTCTTCAAGTGCTTGAAGACTTGTTATGCCATCTAAATCATTTAAACAACAACGCGCCATCCAAAGAACACGTACATGTGATAATGATGTACCAAGATCTCTTAAAATAAAGAGTTATTTTTGTAAAATAGTTTATCAGTAAACTTATAAGCATCGTATAATTACCTAATACGTGGTATGACACTATTACTTAATTTAAGTTGATTTAATTTTTGTAAATAAAATCCAAAATTTCCCAAACTCGTGTCAGATGTATCCACAATCATTTCTAAATCACGAATATTCGCTAAATCATCTGTACCAGTCAGAGCTCTCTAGATGAAAAATATTTTCTTTACAAAATTTTATTCCCCCATAGTTATAAATACCAATTTTGTTGGTGATAAAAATTCTTCAAGTAAAAAATCTGCTTCTTGTAAAACTAATGGTTCAGGATTAACTCGATAATCTTTTTGTTCAGTTATATGTATACCACGACGTAATGGTTGTTTACGTGTTGAAGATTTATCAATATCGATCGGCATGCTTGAAATTCTTTAAAATATCAAAATAAAAAAAATCTTTATTTTAATACGAAAAGAAAATTAGTATGTAAACATTTTATATACCTAAGCATAACATAAAAGAATAAAACTATTTATATTTTCTACATAATATAATGTATAAAAAAACATTTTCCTATTTTAGCCATTTAAAAATTCTATTGATCGATTTTGCTAAGCAACTCATATATACGCATTTTTATACAAAGTGCATAGATGTGTTAAAGATTCGGGATTGGTCAATTCTTGTTGTTTATTTATTTATTTTCATCGAATCTTATCCTTCGCTTGTGTGTTGTTTGTTTTTTTAAAGGACTTGTGCATTCGCTTCTTTTTCTTTTTCTTCTCTTTTTTTTTCTTGTGTGTTTCTTGTGTTCAGAAATTCTGTTTTTTCTTTTGTTTTTTTTCATTTTCTTGTTCATTTCTTCTAACTATCTTTATTGGATTTGTCTATTTTCTATCATTCTATTCACGTGTCTGTGTAATTTTGCCTATTTCTTTTTTTTTGTGTGTGTAACCAATATATTTAAAAGAATGTCATCTGGTAATGGACTCGATCAAACATCAACAACTAATACTGGTTCATCATCAACAACATCAAATAATCCAGTAAATAATAATAATACAAATCCAAACAATAGTTCGGCTGTTAATAATAACAATAATGCAGCTTTTCAACCAGTAAGAAATAATTCTGATAATATGGGTCATACATTTGAAAATTCAATGCAAATGTTTGCTATGAAACAACAACCAATGACATCTCCAATTACAGGAACAATTTATACAGGTCCACCAGCTAAATATTTAAGTAATGGCGGAATGAATACGAATGGTGTTACATCAGGTGGATCGATGAGACCAATGTTACCACCGCAACAACAACAGAATAGATATGGATCATATAATGGAAATATGAATAATAGTGGTTCATCGATGCCACAACAACGTCGACAAAATAATGGTGGTGTTGATAATGCAACGAATGATTCAGTCAAGTAAAGAAAAAATATTCATTGAAATTATATAAATGATTTTTTGAATATTTTTAGTACACGTAAAGTATTTGTTGGAGGTCTTAGTCCAGATACAAAAATGGGTAAGTTATAATTATTTCATTTAAAATTATTTTGAATATTTATTTTATAGAACATCTTTGCGAATATTTTGCTAAATTCGGCAATGTCGAAAGTGCTACTGTTAAATTTGATAAATCAGGTCGTTCGAAAGGTTTTGGTTTTGTTCTTTTTGAAGATCGTGATTCAACAGACAAAGTAAAAGAAATCAAAAACTTGAAATATTATATATATATTTCTTTATTTCTAATAGGTCTATTCACAAGATTTACATGTAATTCAAGGCAAACGTGTTGATACAAAATCTGCACATCGTCGTGATCAAGCACTTGCACGTAAAGTATTTGTTGGTGGTTTAGATACAGAAGTATCCGATGTTGAATTACGAGATTATTTTTCACAATTTGGAAAAGTTTGTTTATTATTAATCATGATTGATAAAAGAAAACTAAAGTGAATCTTACTTTAGATAGCTCAAATTGAAGCACCAATGGATAAAATCAAACAAAAACGTCGTCCATTTTGTTTTATTCTTTTTGAAAATGAACAAAGTGCTGAAGAAGTACTTAAACAACCTCGTCATACAATAGCTGGAAAATCTATTGATTGTAAACGAGCTAATCCAAAAAGTACAGAAAATAATCAACAAAATAATAATGGAAATAATCCTATGCAAGCACCATTAACACATTATAATATGCCTGGATTAAATCAAAATCCATTTCAATATCAACAACGTAAGACAAAAAAAACTTTAGACTTTTTATTAATTTAAAAAAAATGAATTTATTTTTAGAACAACGCTCACAACAACCATCATCACATCAACAATTGCAATATCAACAAGCAGCACTTGCTGCTCAACAACAACATTATCCATTTTATAAGTAAATAATAAAATTTTAAATATGAACAAAATAATTGATTATTTATTCTATAGTTCATCATCAATGGGTATGTCATCTGCACAACAACATCAACAATCTAATCAACAAGGACAAAATCGTTCTCAATCAAATCGACAACAATTACCATCCAATAATCAAGGTCTTGCTCAACCATGGTCACCAATAAGTCCAGCTCAATGGCCTAATACAAACTATCGTAAGAAAAATAGAAAATTTCAATTCATATTTCTTTATTTAAAATTTTGTTTTTTTATTTATATAGCGGATCCTCGTTCATACGGTTCTTATGGACCTTCATCAGCATCTGGTTCAAATGCTACTTGGCAAGTAGGTCCTCCTCCTCCACAAGGAAATTCTTATGGACAAGGACGAACACCATCTAATGGTCCATCAGGTAATCCAGCTAATGCAACTGTAGGTCCACCACAAACTCAAGCACCATTTGGTGGAGCTAATTCCAATTCAGCTCAATATTCTTATGCTGGCTGGAGTTTTAGTCAACCACAAGGTTCACAAGGACCACCATCAGCTGGACCACCACCAAATCAATATAATTATGGAGCTGATTCATCTAATGGACCACCAAATGCATTTGCATATCCTGCACCAACAGGTTATGATCATTTCTCGTCCGATTCAGCACCTCCATCCAATTACAGTCGTTGATGAAAGAGCTCACATATATACTGTACAGTTTCTTCGTTTTTTTTGTCTTCCCCTTGTATCTCTTCTTTTTTTTTTGTTTCGTAGTCCTTTATTATCATTACTTATATTACTATATAGATACGATCGTTATTGCGTGTGTATGCGTGTGTGTGTTTTGCTTACTAAATAATTTTTCGTTTCTCTTTATCAACATCATCAATTTCCGTTTGGTTGTTTTTTTGCTATCTATCTATCTCTCTATCTGTATTTTCACATGTTTATATGTGATTGCAGATTTATTATCGAAAAAAAAAAACATTTTTGTATTCTTGATTATTATTTTTCGAGCATCATCATCTCAGATATTTTTGACGCTGCTTCTCTTTTGTTCTCTACTTTCGAATTTTTTCTGTTTTTTTTCATGTCATCAAACAAAGATCTTGAGCGTTATTTGTTATTGTTATTGGTTATCTACCGGTTTTTGGATGATGATTGTATTCATTTGCTTATTCTTTAAAACAAACACAGTATTTCTACAACATATACACATACAAAAAACGAACAATAGCTTTCTTTCTGTTTCCGTTCAATACAGACACAACAAGGTCTTGTGTTTGTTTGTATGTATAATAGTTTTCTTCTTTTTATTCGCGTCTTATATCTATTTTGACGTGATTACTATTATTATTGTTGTTATTATTGTTGATCTTGACTTTCTTCTTTTCTCGATTTTTGGCATATGCACACACGTTTTTTGTTTTTCTATCGTTTAATTATCTCAACAACTAGTTTAAAAACGGGCATTCGCGCACACGCATGCATATGCATTCGCACATAACGTTTCTTTCTCTTCTTCTTTTTTTTTGTTTTGTTTTGTTTTGTTCTTTTTGAGACCCTTTCTCTTTACTCGTTTTTTTCCTTGTTCTTCACAACATTTTTCTCTCTTTTTCTCGTTATTCGATTTGTGTAAGAACAAAGTTCGAATAAAACAAAGAAAAAAAAAATCAAAATAAATAAGCAAAAATTTTCAAAAAATTATTTCTACATAGGTAATAAAGCAAGCTAATCTTTACTTCGAATTATATGTAACGGATCTTTATCATGTTGTTAGAGAAACTATAAGTTGTTGTTTATTCCAAATAATAAACATACACGGCACATTAAACCTTGATAATTAAAAGCAAGGCCAAATATTCTTCTTTCCTGTGTATACGAATGCATTCAAGTAGAACATTCTTTTTTTCATACACTAACGATTACTATGCCTGATGTCTTCTCATTATCATCATCAATATTAAAAAAAACATAGTGATATTACTATCGTCCAAAAGCATTAATAATCTACAACTAAGTAAACTATTAACAACTCATGGGCGGAGGTAGTTCACGACGTAAAAAGGCTAATACACCTATTCCAACTTATGCAGCAGCTGGAGGTGGAACACCAGGTATAAGTCGACCTGCTATTCCCGTTACTACGGGTATTGGAGGTGCAGCACCTGTCAATCCTAATCAGCAACGAGATCTTATGCAAGCTAATCAAACAATAGCAAATTTACAGAATCAAATTAATGCTATGCAGCGAGGTGGTAGTGGTCCTATTGGCATACCACAAGCGCCTTATGGTGGTTATCCAATGCCAGGTAACTATCCAATGTCAGGTAATTATCCAATGTCAGGTGGTACTCCGCCACAAATGCCTTATGGTACACCACCGGGCATGCCTTACGGAACTCCACCATATGCACCTTCAAACTTCGGTGGTCAATATCCATATCAACAACAACAGCAACAACCAATGATGGGTATGGGCATGGGTATGGGCGGTGGTGGTGGTTATCGAGATACTGATTTTGGAGCTGTTGCTAATATAGCTGGTTTAAATCCAGGTGATATCGCACTTCTTCATCGAGAATTTACGAATTTAACACGTGGTGGTACGAATAAAATTGATCGTACTGTTTTTCGTCAAATATTACGAGATGTTCTACTGGAAGCTAATAATGAACATGTTGATCGTGCTATTGAAAATATGTTTATTACAATCGATCGAAATCATGATGGTTTTATTGATTTTCCAGAATTTGTTGGTGCATTTAAAGATGTATTAAAAGGGAATGCAGGAGATCCTCAAAGTTATTTTCATGACCATGCTTATCCTGATATACTAAGTGAACAATTACGAGCAAGTGGTGTTGGTGGTGGTATAGGTCAACAACCAATAGCTCAACAACAAATACAATATATTCAACAACCACAAGCAGCACAACAAGTTGTTACAACTGGTGGCCTAAGTTTAGTACCCTTAGCATCGACTGCTGTTCAACAAGTACCACTTGTTTGTAGTCCTGCAAATTCTATGCAATTTACAGATGCAAGTGCACCTTTTCTTACTCTTGATCCCAATCAGTCATCTTATGTAATTGCAACACCCGGACAATATCTGATAACACAGCCAACTGCTTTACAATGTGTACCTCTACCAATGATGTGATCATAGACAATTTTTTGATATTTTCTTTCTTCTTATTCTTTTCTCATTAAAAAGAAGAAGATGATGATGATAATTATAATGATCTTCTTTTTTTATTAGCATTTATAAAAAGAAAAATAGATTAGTAATTAATTTGTAAATCTAACTTACAAATCGTATATTTCAAATGATATGTATATATATTACATTTCAGCTAATTTTGACATATCTATGAAAAGTTACCGAGTAAGCAATGTCAAGGACTCTAAAACTTTCTTTCTATGATTATATTTTGTTTATCAATCATTTATTGTTTTTGTTATACTTACCTATCATTGTCTATTCTATTTATAGCCTACCCAATAGAAAAAATTTCACTGTGCAAAACCATATATATATATATGACTTTTTTTACATAATCTTTTATCAATATTTCAGACTAAAAAACAGATTACATACACCGTCTTCTACACGATTTTTTTTGCTCTGTTAGTTTTACAAGCTTCAAAGATCTTTCTAAGCATTATGATAGAACAAATGAAGGGCTATCGAATGACTATAAAATATTTAGAATCCAGATAGTAACCAACCCTCGTTTAAATCACAAAAAGTACTGTTTAACCCCGTGAAAAATCATATTTTTCGTTTGTTTCAAAAATACTCTTATATCAACTTGAATTTAGAGGTTTTAAGCAACGCTCTTTTGATTGAAATCAAAATTTTCAAGATTATAATGCTATTACTCAATGTTCGATATCTTCATAGTTTATCTTATAATTATCTAGAAGTATTAAACTCTGTATAGATATACTAAAAACGATTTGACTAATTATAGAAATGACCTTTACCTGAGAAAAAAGTTATTTTATACATTATGGAAAAAAATGAAAAGGAAATTAATCTTATTATCATTATCATCACATTAAATAAGCCAATTTTGACTGAACCATTAGACTTCTTCCTGTTGAGTAACTCTTATATGAATGCCTTAATTAATACAATTCCGTTGATTTGAACTATAAACAGACTCCATCATGTTCTCGTCGACACGATTGATCATTACATAATTACAGTTAACATTTCCGTTTATTTGAACAAAAATAAGACAGCACTCTTTTTTCTCAAATTATGATTATGATAAAATGATATTTTTGTTGCTATTATTAAACCAATTAGATATATTGGATGAAAAAGACTTCTACGATTTTTGTTTCATTTGTAGTCTTCATACAATTATCTTCCACTGAAAAAATAATATGTTGAAAGATGTCATTATCTATACATAAATAACTAGTTGCATGTTGTTTTAGTGAAATATAAAATAAAGGGCAAATATAGATTCAGGTTTTAAACAAGATTTGATGAATTTTATCATCTCTACTCGTAATAGAATATTCTATAGTAATTGTATTTCTATGAATAGGCTGGAATATAAAAAGCATTTATTACTCTATCCATATATATATCTTTTCAACTATACCGATACGATATTCATTTCTAGTTTTCAAACGTAATTAGATTAATGAATATTGAAATTTATAACAATCATGATACTTTTCTCATATACAATTGAGATGATGTTCAAAGTTACTATCCTATATCTAATACAATTATTGTCAACACTTGTATTTAAAAAAAAAGAAAATTGAACCGCTGGGCATGTCGTCGTCGTCGTTGTTGTTGTCTTCATCTTTCTAGTCATCACAGCTTGTTTTTTCCTTTTTCTCATTCTTTTCGCACGCGCTGCAAGAAGAGATAATATCTTAAGGTGGGTGGTGAAATGTATATACGTCTATATTTCTTTCATCTTCTTTTCCAATTTCGTCATATTATTCGCCAGATCGAACATTCCCTAACACTCTACATGTGAAAATCGTATGTCTAATTTAACAATAACTATGTAAGTGTGTTTATAATTATTATCTTTTGTCATATGAATACTAATTGTCTAATGTAATTCAAATATATTCATAAAGAATTAAATTTAAATAGAATAAAAACAAAGTCTATGTTTTCGTGTTCGTTAAATATGTCCGACAATGAGATACATTGAAGAAATTAAGATAACACTATCATTTTAAATAAACAAAAGTCAATATTTTAGTTTGTTTGCATTTCAAAATCTTTCTCTCTCTTTCTTTACCCACTTATGAATATTGTATATTTAGTGACTGTCAGGGCGGAACGAGATGAGCGTCACGAATAGGCGTCAAATGTTTGCATTTGTCAGAATTTATTCGTTAACACAAAAACAATATCTTCTTGTTGACATAAGTTTCGACATGCTCATTTATTCTAAAATCAACATTTTTCGAAATGAATATATATATATATATATATGAACTTTTCTTCTAGATAAAGATCCATTATAAAATGGCTCAATATCATATTCGACACACATTGAAACAGTTATCTTCGTCGCCTAAAACATTGATCAATACAAATTCTGACAAGTAAGCTCCGAATCTAATTTTTCTATATATTTTTTTTTCACCAAGCTGATTCACAGCTTGTTTGACCGTTGGATTCGAACACAACAATCTCTTTCGATTGTTCACATATAGGAAAATATAGAGAAAAGAAAAATAGTCGGTGGTCATTGGTCTTCATTTTCTTTTCCTCTATCGGTGAAACGTAAGAGAGAAAAAAAATTCGATTAATTGGAATCAGAGAACGAGGGAGAGGGAAAACGAAACGTAATAGAATAACCGTTGGCGAGAGAGAAGAAACGAAAAAAAAAAAGATTCGTTCACTCGTTTTTCCATACATATATATTTATACACGAGCAGGACGGAATACAGTTGCCCTTACTTCACTAACATTCGAATGAAATGAATACCATCAATACAAGTCCTTTCTGTTTATCAAGGTATATAGAATAAAAAAGAAGAAATCTTTATTAATTATTTTTTGTTTACTATAAATAAACATATGAACAATTATTTTCTTTTGTTTTTATTCCAGACAAACACCGCGTCGTAAACTATTCTTTGCAAGTGAAGATGAAGAAAGTCCACTTATAATGTCTTTAAAAACATCGAAAGCAAAGTTATTTATAGATAATAATAATTCAACTGGTAAAATAATTTATTTTTTATTTAAATATATAAAAAAAGAAAATTCTTTTGTTTTGAACAGTAAGTTCACAAGCTGCTGATATGAACGATTCCGTTGAAATACGATCAACCTTGTAAGAAATTTGAATGCGCGCGAAGACTAATGAAATGATTTATGTATTATTCTAGACCTTTAGTTGATACAAATAATGTTCGTCAATCAAAACTTGAACATTTTGGATTTGATATGTTACCTCGTTCAAGTGCACTTTTAAAACGTCAAATATTTAAAGAAAAACAAAGAACAATAAATAATTCTCATATTATTACTCAAAATAATAATAAAACAAAAAAAATGCGAGCAATCGAGTAAAATAAATTTTGAATATTTTAAATTAATACTTCTTCTTATTTTTATTATCAGAACACAACAACCGATTTTATCATCATGTCATACAATGAAAACACGTTCACAATCTTTATCCGTTTGTTAAATAAAATTAGAAAAAAACATTTTGCTCATTTTTTTGTCGTTTTTTTATAGGATACTCATTCGGATCATTTAATTAAATTATTTGATAAAACACTTTCAACAGTTACACCGGTACGTGATCGTACAAATGATGATAGCGCTATTAGTAATCGATATCGACGTGGACAACCATTACCTTTAATATTATCAGATAGTTTGAATGAAGATGATATGCCCGTATTGACATTGAATGATAGTGATTTATCAATAAATGAAACTAAAGTAAGGCGAAAAAAAGATATTTTTATTTATTTAGAACTTATGTTTTATTTCATATTGATAGAAACGAGCACATGAACAACTTCAAGTTGATGAGAACAGTTGTGGACGTTCATTGAAACGAAGCAAAGTTGTACATGATGATGAAAATAAAGAAAATGCTTTTTATTGTCCACCACCTGTATCAATTCGTATTCGAAGAGGAGTAAGTGATAAAAAGAAATTATTTACATCGAGTTTTTATTAATCGAACATTTCTTTTTTTTTTCTAGTTAGTTCGTAGTTTTTCAGAACAACAATCGAGTACAAATGAAGAACAAATTAAAGCTTCTGTTGAACTTGGTAAAATATTTCAAAGAATTTTAAAATGATTGAACCTTTTTTTTTATTTAAATTTAATTTAGGTTCAAATCGAAATTTAACCGGTGATCGTAGTCGAAATTATCTATTACCAAGATGTATTAGTCGAAAGCATGCTGACCTTGCTTGTATTAATGCTGAAACAGTAAGTCATTGATTAATAATAAATTTATTCTGATACTTTATACACACTTCAACATCCTATTAATCGTCAGATGAGTTTACTATTTGATTGATTAAAATAAATGTTTATACATTATAGACGAAAATAAGCAAGAATTGAACTAGAGAGTCACTGAGTATCATCAAATCTTTTTATCGAATATATACTGACAGAGTAAGATATTTTCTTCGTTATAAGATTAAATAAAGAATAGGAATTTATGCGTAGATTATAGGAGCATAGTCTATACGTAATGATAAATGAAACTAATAACGATCAAACTATTTTATTTTACTCTTGACATAAATCTATTCAAAACCTCTCATGAATCTATACCATCAAAGAACAGTCCTATTTATTATTAAAATATAATTTTTTTATTGTAATTATATATATTTTTCTTTCTATATAGATGATTGATCTACTTCGAGGTGAATACTCGTCTGAGATAGAACAGTTATACATAATCGATTGTCGCTATCCGTACGAATACGATGGAGGCCATATATCGCTGGCAAAAAATTTCTTTACACGACCACAAATTCATGAAGAATTTTTTCAATCACCAATTACAGCAAAAGATCCATCTAAACGAATTGTTTTTGTATTTCATTGTGAATTTTCATCAGAACGTGCACCATCACTGTAAGTTATTATTAAATTCATTTTTGTTTATATTTATTTTTATAATCTTTTATTAGTTTGCGTTATATGCGATCAGAAGATCGAACTATTCATGCACATGATTATCCAGCTCTTCATTATCCAGAACTTTATCTATTAGAAGGTGGTTATAAAGCATTATTTGAATATTCAACTGTAAGTTCGTTTTTTATTTGTTATTCAATTAAAATATATTGTTATAATAATTTATAAAGGAATTCTGTAAACCAAATTTTTATCGAACAATGTTGGATGAACAATATCAAGAACAATGTCGACAATTTCGAGCATTTTCAAAACAATCAGGAAGATTCACTTGTTTAAATGAAGAAAATATATCAGATTTAAATTATGGTATTCAAGCAAATAATAGACGTACACGCCCAACACTTCGTTCAAGTCTTTCGGTGTGTTTTACGAGTACATCACTAACAAATGAAATGGATTTTTCTTGAAAACAAATCAATCTTTCTTTCCCTCTTTTCTTTTCTTGACTTCTATACTTTTTCGTAAATTTTTCTCTGAAATATGATGCGTATGTTTGCACTTTTTCTTTCTGTATACTTTCTCTAAATGTTTCTCTCAATGAATCTGTTGTTCTTCTGTATGTTATTTCTGTACTTTTTACAGTGAGTATCAAAAATTGATCAACAAAATTTATTTTCATTTTTTTCCGCTTCCTTAATCATCAGGAAGCTTCCAAATAGTGATTCGAGTAAAGGAGACTGTTTCCAACAAGAATATATAGAAACTATAATCCGATTTTCAAGGGCAAGTTCTTCAGAAAACCCACGCCATCCTATTTCAACATCCAGACGCTGTGAAAATGTTTTTATTTTAACAGCCTAGAATGACAGAACAACCAATTCTCTACAAAATGAGACATCTTCGAGCTCTATACGACATTTCCTTCTAAAGCTATAAGCATCACAACAATCGAAAAAACGTGTTTTTTAGCGGTTTTCTGATAAATTTCACGTTTTTCGATTTTGTGATACTTATAACTATTGAAAGAAATGTCGTATAGAGTTCGACGACGTCTCATTGTATAGAGAATTTGTTGTTCTATCATTCTAGGCTGTTACGATATAAACATTTTAACAGAGTCTGGGTGCTGAAAAACGAGGGTTTGGGTTTTTTGAAGAACTTGCTTTTGAGAATCAGATTATAATTTTTATATTCTTGTTGGAAACAGTTTGCTCTACTTGAATCACTGTTTTGGAATCTTTCTAATGATTAAGGTAACGGAAAAAATTGAGAATAAATCTTGTTGATCAATTTTTGTACTCACTGTATATTTGATTGACGACTCTGAAATGTTAGGTTATTTTGTGCGCGCGTTTTTAGCACTCGAAATTTTTCTCTCTCTCTCTATCTGTTTGTCTTGAGGTATAATTTAGATATTAGAAATTACCTTAATTTCCATCATTGTAATTCACATAATTCATACCCAGTAATAATGAAATTACTAATACACGAAAAGCGAATTTTTTTACTATTATTAGTTACTGTATTTATCTAGTATCTACCGAGATTTCTAAATGATCTCAATTTTTTTTGTGTATCGTATTTTCCTTGAATGACTTATTATGTTGTATCTTAGAACTAACACTAAATAATTATCAAATATTTCTTGAAAACTTTGTAACTATATATTGGTAATTACCAAACTTTGTCTGAAATTTGACATGAATATATTTCAAAAGGTTTCCTTTCATCGTCTTCGTAGTTATTGAAAATTATTTTTCGTGTATGAGTAACTTTATATTATTGGGTACGAATAATGTATATTTTAATGATAGAAATATGTTCATTTCAAAGATTTGAATGTACCGTCTGTCTTTGGCTACTTTGACAGTATATCTAATACCGTAGCGCTTCTTCACATATGTATTTCTTTTTTTTCTATAATGAAACGAGATTTATTTCTTTTTTTCTTTTCTTATTCCTACATATCTGAAATAATTTTTTCTGTATTCAATTCAATTGTGAACATAAATGTGCGCTTTAAACAAAACTTAATGTGTGTCTGTTAAAGAAACAAGATTAGATCTTTTCTTCTTTGTGCTCGGTTTGTTCTCTTTTTTTCCTCGGTTGTCTGTTATCTTTCTCTCTCTCTGTTCTTTTGTCTGTATTGTATCTAGATCATTTTGCATGCTTCCTTTCTCTTCTCACCGACCAATGAATAGGTTCAACAAGGAGATCTCTGATAGATATTAAACACGATATAGGTGTTTTTTTTTGTCGAATGAAAATAATTCTAGATGTTTGATTTTTTTGAACAAAATCTAACATAAACGTCCTTTAAGAGATATTTTTTATAGTTATTTCTATGCAAAGAAGTCAAATGTGAAAATCTTACTCATGAGGTTAAAAGAAACTTATTTTTTGCATAAATGGTGTTTCCATATATACAATATGAGATGCAATCTGAATAACTATGAAATTTATTGAGCAAATGATGAAAAGTGTAGTGTATGTAGAAGCAATGTGAGTAAGTGAACAAGAAATTTGAAGTCAAACTTACTAATAATCACATTTTCAGTCATTCGATAAACTCCATAAGTATTTAAATTTCTTTGTATCTTCTTCCCTTTTCGATGCTTATCGTTCGTCAATCTTTAAGAGATTATTAGCTGTGAAAAATTTAAAATCAATTCGTTACAGTCATTATTATTTGTTAATATCTTGCTGTGTTCATTCTTTGATGATGTCTATTTATTTTCTTGCTGATCATGATAACTAACAAATAATTATGTTTTCATTTAAAATGAAATTTGTTCACTATTATCAGCATGATGATTGCACTAACATAATAGCATTATATAAGTCTATGATCTTGTCAGCAGGAATGTGTTAAAAAGAATTGAATTGAATTGAATGTGTGATAATAAAAGAAAAAACAACAGCATGATATTGTTGTGTTATGTACATAGATTTCGAAGAAGATTTTATATGAAAAAAAACGAAGAGGAAGGATAATATTGAACTAGTGTTTCAATTATCTTTCTTTTTTTAACAATTAATAATCAAATATAGACATTAGATGGATTGAGTAATATTAATCAAATTAAATCGATAGATCTTTTTTTCTTTCTTTGTATATTTATTATTTGAGAAGAGGAGGAGAAGAAGTAAAAGAAAGAAGATCATCCATTCATTCTTTAATACATAGGTCGACTGTGTGTTGTATTTTGAGTTGTTCGATTGAATATTAGAATAAGAGACAATGTCTTCTATAATCAATTTGTAAGTTCAATGCTTAGATTTTATTTTAACATAAAAAAAAGATTTTAATCAATTAAAATTAAAGATTCATCGTCATATGTGCATCGATTGTTCTCATCGCTCGACCATCGTTTGAACAAGCACCATGTGTAGTTGAAGAAGATCCAATACAATTAGCTGAATGCGCTCAACTTGATGTTCAAGCTATAATACAAGGTGCAAGAGGCAATTTAAAATTATTTTGTAATTTAGCTGAACGATATATGGAATGTTTTAAGACTAAAACAAGAAATTGTATTGGAGGATGGGTAAAAGAATCTTAATCTCTATTTTAAATATTATATATGTACATATAGGCAGCTGAAGGTGGTCTTACTGAATTACAAAATTTAGCTCAATGGTGTTGTGTTAATCCAGGTGTTCAAGAACCAGATGAATGTCCACTTCGTCGTAAGATTAATTATTAATTCTGAATAGATAGTTTAATTATTATTATCAGGTAATCCAAAATGCTTTTCGGGTGATGGACATGTATTAATGGGAAATGGCGAAACAAAAGTATTACGTGATCTTCGACCAGGTGATCATGTACTTGTTATGAATTCTAAACAACAAATTGTTGAAGATGAAGTTATTATGATGCTTGATAGTCAACCAAATCGACCTGGTTAATCTTTTAGATATTTTATTTTTAATTACATTGTCTTTTTTTTAAATTTATTTAGCTTTATTTTATTCGATCGAAACTGTAACTGGCCATCGTTTAAGTTTAACAGGAAATCATTTTATTGCTGTTGGAAATAATGAACGTTTTTTACCAGCTAATCAAATTAAAGCAAACGATATTGTTTTTATTCATGTACATGGACAACTTCAACCAGTTACTGTTCGTAATATAACTGAAGAATATAAAATTGGTTATTTTACACCAATGACTGGACAAGGTAATTGATTATAATTTTTATTTTTTTCATTTCTGGCTAATTTTAAATTAGGTACATTGATTGTAAATGGTATGGCAGCATCATGTTATTCTAGTGTGATTAGTCATGATTTAGCTCAACATATATTAGCACCACTTCGTTGGTGGTATCGATTTGCAAAATTTTTCTCTGTCGAACAACCATTTGCATATTCACCTGATAATGGTATTCATTGGATACCAAAAGTAATGTTACAAATAACAGAAAAATATTTACCAAATGTATTGACAACACATAATTTATAATCGACTATAATCACACTCAAAAAAGACATATACTCTTTACTTTTTATATCAGTATTCAATTTTTTTTTCGAATGTTTATCAGGAAAGGTGTGCTTCTTATTTTATTCTTATCTACTCAAATTTACAGTACCTTTTTTTTCATATTTATCCTTTTCGATTTCGTATTTGAAAGTAACAAAATTTCTGCTAAATCGGGTCATTGTTTTATGCTTTTATTACTTATTATTTGATTAATAAAACTCTACAAGATATTTATTATCAATTTCAATGTTGATTATTGATAAAACTATCTATTTAAACAAATATTTGTCTTGTACAATAGAGAATCCTTCGTAATTTGAACATATATATTATATAAAAACAATCAATAAAAGAAGAGAAAGTTTTCTTTATTCATTTGAACCATTTTTATACTCATAAACAATACACAAATCAATATTTGTTGATGCTCTTGGTAGTATCAAAAGGAAAAGAAAATTTACAGCCTAGTCAGGCATATGCTTAACAGGATTGATAATAATAGTTCTATCAATCATGAACTATATGTCAAAGATCATTCGCAACTAAAATTCGACAACAAAACGTTCTCTGATTATTGGGCATATCCACAAGTTCGAGTTACACCTCATACTCATAATTTGATACAAGAGTGATGTAAAATGCAAATTAAAAAAAACAGTTGATTCTTATTTTCTGGTACATTTGTTTGATTTTTTTTTCAAATCAAACTCAAATATAACGAGTTCAAATTTATACGATAAAATATTTCGAATCATGAGTTGATTATTTTGAAAAAGTATTTCTATTATAATCTTGATGTACAAAATTAATTACAAAGAAATTTTCATACGCAATATCGTTGAAATTCTGATTGATTTTGTTTTATATTATTACAAAATAAATATTGTCAATGAAATAGTTCTTTTTTTCTATTAATATACGTATTCGTACGGAATGAATAATGACAAAAATAAACATAGAAAAGGTTTCACATATTCTATTCAAATCTGATGCATTCTTTAAACAAATCATAACTCCTTCTTTTTTTTCAACAATACAATCAAATTCATTTCTACACAAAAATGTCTAGTTTAAGCAATGAAAATGCTAATACAAATAGAGGAAGAGTTCAATCAATGGTTATAAGTAAATTAATTGATGATCCTCAAATGAAAGAAATGATTGTTATGGAAGTAAGAATGATTTTTTTTTTCTTTTTATTCTTATTATATTTAAATTTTAGTATGAACGATTAACTCCTTTACAATTATTACGTCGATTAAAATTTCGAGCTCAAAAACAAGGAAATTGTTTAATTCCAAATTGGCTTTTACTTGTTCTTTGTAATTTATTTCTTGTACTTCTATTTGGATTAATGGCTGCTGCTATTATGCTTGCTAAAAATCCTCCTGGTAAAAATCAAATCTTAAAAATATATTTTCGTTTGATTTAAGAAAATTTAGGGAAAGAAAATACAGTAACTGCTGCACCTTTACAAAGTAATCTTGGTTACAATGCCACCTGTTTTACATGGGATACATCATGTAATGAAAAAATGAATTTATGGTGTATTATGGGAAATTGTGATTGCTATAATCAATTATATTATTGGAATGCAAGCTCATCAAAATGTGTTCAATGTCCAACTGCATTTTATTATAATGGATCATCATGTATTTGTCCATCTCCTCGATATCTTCAAGGACCTTCGAATACTACATGCGGTATATTTGATTTATTATATAGAGAAATGAATTTTTATTAGAAAATATTTTAGCACTTTATCGAACTTATAATCAGACATGTTCAAGCATAAATTTATGTAATCCAACGCCTGGTCTTTATTGTAGTAGTAGTGGAATATGTACATGTTATTATGGTTATTATTGGAATTTAACAACATCAGTTGGAAATGGTTATTGTGGTATAATTGATAGTTTTTGCTATTGAATGTTTTTATTCTATTCATCCACTTTTTTCATAGTTAGTTATGCATCAAATACAGAAACATGTAGTACAACAATTAAATGTCTTCCAACAAGTTCTACTGGACTTCTTACATATTTAACATGTACCAATGGAACTTGTCAATGTCCAACAACAGGCCAATGGTATTGGACCGGTGATACATGTAGTAAGTTAAAAATTTAATAATATACAAAATTTTCGATATAATTATTTATTTAGCTCAAATTAATACATATGGTGGATCATGTATTACTAATCAACAATGCGATGGTACTCTTCAATTAATTTGTAATGGAAGTATTTGTATTTGTGCAGGAGGGACAGCATATGGAACTTGGTTTTGGAATGGAACAATGTGTAGTATGTTATTGATTTCATTTATTTTTCATATAATATGTTAATATATTAGTTTTATGTCCAACCGGTTGGATTAACTACGGATTATATTGTTATTATAATTCTCAACTACCTGCAACACAACCTGTCGCTCGTACTTATTGTCAAAAATATGGCGGAGATCTACTATATATTGAAGATCAAACAGAATTTGATTTTATACAGCCACATGCTGCTGCTATTATTGGTGCTTATAAATTGGCTTTTGTTGGTTATTACACTATTAATAATACACGTAAGATCAACATAGATACTTATTCTTTTTGTCTATATTATTTACTGTTTATAGGTCCGGGTCTTTTTCAGTGGTATAATGATGGACATCAATTTACTTCTGTGAAATCAGCATATAATTGGTGGTGTACTGCAGGCACTCGTAAATAATTATTGAGATATGATAATAATCGTATTTATGCTTCCCTAGAGATTCGTGAGAGAAATGCCATAATATCTAATTACATAAATAGTTTAACGAAAAAATTTCAGAGCTATTTAATAATTTCATACTTTGCATTTAAAAAAATGAACATCTTTTCAGAAGATAAGACGTTGAATTATGCTCGAAAATGAGATCTTCAGTCATAAGAAATACGATTATTAGTTTCCCTCTTTATTTTGATTGATTAAACCTATGTATAGCTTGTGTTTAAAATTATTATTTAAGCATATGGTCTTCAACCGACATTCTCCTATCAATCAACAGCAACACCACAAGTACAAGCTTGTGGAGCTGTACAAATTTATGATTCTTCACTCGTATGTATGAATGATTGGTGGTGTTCTGCTTCCTTACCATTTATATGCAAGAAATGTAAGTATTTTTTATAATTATTTTAATCTAATATTTTCTACTTATTGCTATTTTGTTTTCATCTAGCACAATGAAAATAATATATATATATTTACTACAAGTACTTTATTTTTATCATTTATATAAACCTTTTTTTACAAGTGTATAATCTTCTTTTTTCCAATAAAATATTGTCAAGAAGCCTGTTTTGTTTTGCATAATAGTCATGGTAAAAAGAAAACAAGATATATAAGTATATCATGTTGAGGACACTAATAAATAGAAAATCAAAGATTTAATTACATGTATTCATTCAAGAAATATTCATCTGTATCAAAAATAAGAATAAAAACTCAATAGATAAAATATTAACATGTAATTCTATTATTTCATACGTAATAGTTTATATTTTATTAATAATTCATGATATAAATCGTAAAATTCTTTAGAAGTACATTCCATTTTTCGAAGACTAAAATAAGTCTTGTGAATAATATATTCTTTGTGTATGCAGTTCATTGAAAAGGTTTCAAATATAATCAGTTTTTGTAACTTGTTTTAACATTATTATTTTTTATTTGTTAATACAATAATTTATTGTCTGATATAATTCGTTTGATTTATGCCTATAATTATTAACTGACATTAATCGAGACTCATCTGATTGAACACGAATATATCGATTAAAATCAAACAATAAATAGCAACGGATTTGTTTAATTAAACTAGATACTTGTTTAGCTTTAGAAATAAAATAAGTAAAATTTGTTTCATCATGCCTTTCTGTCAAGAATAAAAATAAAAATATATAAAACATTATATTTAACTAGTACCAAATAAAGTATTAAAAGAAAACAGGTCGATATCTTTTGTGTTGCTTTCTTATTGATTCTTATGCAACTACATGATCTTGTTGTGAAATCTATTGATTGTAAAACTTAGTTGCCATAGCAGGAATTATTTTGAATTGTGTATCATTTGTTTTACTTTGACATTTATCTAACGGTATATCTCATATATTAAAAACAATATTTTTGAAGCATTATTTATGAATGAAAATCAAAAGAATATCATTATATATCTATTAAATAACTTTCATATAATTTTTCAATGCATGTATACATATGTGCAATATAGATGCAATCAAATATTGATTTCGTTAATAAAATTTTAATAAACAGATAAATCTTGTAAAGCAACATATCTCAAAAGAGATTTTGATAATCTCTGATTATTATAATGAAACTTATACTATAATTTTTCGTACAATAATAGATTATTTTTATTAAAGCAAAGCAATTCATAAAGAAAATAGCAATGAGTTAGCATTTAAAGTTATAAAACCATGTTTTCATCAGAACCTTACAAGTAAAAAACAAAAGAATAACTTTTCATAGAGTTCATCATTAAAATATTATGATAAAACATAATTTTATAGGCAGTATACTTAAAGTAATAATAGAGTAAAAATCAAATATAAAATGCCAATAGGATATGATCTTGCAGATTTTGATCCTGGCGTAGTAGTTGTTGAAGTTGATGAACTTATCGTAGCAGTAGTAGTAGTATCATTTGGTCTGGATGGTGTAAAACCGGGATGTAGATTAATTGTTGCGTTGATTTGTTCTTTTAAATATTCTACTACTTGAATTCCATTACAGTAATCTTTGATACATCTAATATCAACTTCATCAATTTCTAATTGTTTCTCTTTTGGAAAATCTATATAATAAGTCGCACGTATTCGAATACTCGATGTTGGAGCAGAATCAGAAAATGAGTCACACAGACTATAAAAATTGAATGTGCAATTATTTTCTGCTGTTGTCATATAATTATGTACTTCATCAATAAAACATATACCATTTGGACAAGATACTTGTTTACATAAAGTTACAGTTAATTCATTAATACATTTACTACATGTATAACAATTGTGAGCTTCTACTTGTCCACCTATTAATTGTTCATTTAATATAGTTTGATCGATTTTCATTTGAAATGAATCTGGTAAATATTGTATTAGTGATATATTATTACAACCATCCCAATCGCAACCATAACCTATAGAACTAATTGCAGTTGGAAGCCACTCAGTACCTGCTAAGGAAATTCTTTCAACAGCTTGAATGAAATGTGAATCTTGTAAATTATTTGATGATAAAGCTTCAAAAACACGTCGCTCATCATTACCATCATAAGTACTTACCATGAAACAGTATCGATTACCAACTTCATTTAAAGTACAACTTGAGAGAAATGCCGGTGTATCACATGTACCTGTATTTGTTCCCCAATCATGTTGACAACTACATTCATAACACTTGCGACTATCAACTGGCAATATTAATATTACCAAAATACTATAGAATAGAACAAGCATTTCTATTCAACTATCAAATTTATCACAGCATAAAAATCTTTTCATTTCATTTTTATATGTAAATTTTAATCGTGATATCTACTGTTACAATCATAAAATACTTTTCTAATATAGTAAAGTTGTAAAAAGACTTTAAATACCGATCATTCCTAGATGTTTCTGAAGAACACACTTATATAGTATTTGCTCAGACACAATACTTTATTATACGAATATTGACCGAAATTATATCTGTATAACTCGTAGAACGATTGAATGTTCTTCATTAATTATTATCATTATTTAAATCGTATTCTTAAAAAATCTCAAATTAATATTATAATGTGTATTTTGAGAATGATCTAATTCTATATTATCCTTGACAAGTTTATTTTTTCTAGTTGAAAGCACAATAAATCATATTCTGATTTTATATGCTCGATATAGAAAAGAGAAATTACTGCAATTTGAATAGAGGCGTTGCCATGATACTTTACATGACAATAAGACTTTCATATTTTTCTCCTTTTTTTTCTCATTATAGACTTTCTTTTTATACTATTTGCAGAAAAGAAAAGTGAAATAAACGAACGTCTCATACACGCTTGCACACTCTCTCGTACATTACATACAGCTAATCTTACAAATCGAGGTGAGAGCAAAAAGAGAAGAAGAAAAAGAAAGAGAGAATGTTGAGAAAAGTTTTTTTTATTACGCAGCACAATGGCTTGCTAAACAAACAAAAAAACAAGCCTAAACGTTTGTTGATGCAGTCAAAATAAATTGTTTTTTTTTGCTTAGTACTCAAAATCAAGAATACATTCAAGAAATAAATGGTAACTGTAACAACTGATCATGAATCATTTTTAATGCTTGTTTCTTATTTATTTATATTCAAAATAATAAAATAAATAAATCAAATAATTTTCTCGTTTGATTTTTGTATATGATAACTTAAATATATGAAGAATGATGTTGATATATAAGGGCTATCCCGAATATTATACTCGTAATCAAATATAAATATAATAGGTAAATTAATATTAAATACTAAGCTAATAACAATTGAATTGTTATTATCTGATAGAATCGAGGTAAACAAAAAATAAAGTCATGATCACCTTGAAAAAATATATTTCATATAATCATTTTTTGATATAAACAACTTGTGAAACCTTTCAACATGTCATCAATTTCTAAGTATATAAGTGTGAATTTCATAATCAAAAATATGTCAAAGATATTTATTAAAATTTACTAAATAATTATAATCGATAACTGCTACTATTGTTTGTCAATACATCATTATTACACTTATGTATATATATATATATGTGTGTGTATGACAACACACTTTCTCCTTTTTTTTCTTTTCACTCAAAAGTATGAGATGAAACATTAATAATTTCTCTCGTTTTTTCTTCTTCTTCTTCTTCGTCTATGCATGTCTGCTGTTGTTAAAGAGTAGAATGTTTTTTGCTTTGTTTGCTTGTCTTCATGTCTTATATACAATGATTGTAGACATAAACGTCGTTCCGGTACGATAAAAAAAAAGAGAGATTTTATATTTCACCGGAAATTATTATTGTCATTTCACTATATATTTGCAATTCTATTCGGCATTATGATTATGCATGACGTACTGACATGTATCGAAAACAACAGATACATTTAATTTTATTCGATTGGAACTTTTTCTTTTTTTTTTGCTTTTTTCTCCTTTTCTTCAGAAGCCCATCAATCTAATGTGCATCTGTCACAATTGATTCGTGCATATCGGCTATCTTTAATATAAGAAATTATAAAAATCAATTCTATTAACAGTATTATCATCATAATCTTAATTATTAGTGCCGATAAAAAAATACTCAACAAATGTCACCATCAAATCGTTCGAAATCACCACCCAAAGGTACTCGACCAGTAGATCCATTACCGAAACGTCCACCTCCAAATGAAACAATCAATACAGAAAGACTTAAAATGGCAAGAGACGAAGCAGAACGTGCAATGAAAGTATGATACTTAAAGAAAAATATACTTAAAAGTCAATTTCATTTTTTATTTTTATAGGAACATAAAATCTTTACAATTATTGGCCCATATCCAGCTCTTCGAGAATCATTACGACGGTTAGTTTAATATTTAAGATTTAATTTTATAATTTGTATACTTATTATATAGTCGTGGTTGGATTGAAAAATTCTATCGTGGTAATTTATTACCAGCTGTTCATGGAAATAAGAAATCGGATAAGAAGAATAAGACTGATGAGGATGATGAGGATGAAAATGATGATGTTAATGATGATGATGATCTTGGTATGTTTACAAAAAAAAAGAAAAGAATAATTAGATACTTATTTGAACTTGAATTATTTAGATGAACATCCATCATATGAAGATGATGCAGCTATTCCACCATGGGAAGAAAATGATGGTTATTATGGACTTCTATCACGTCTTGTAAGAACTGCTGCGCCAAATTTAATTTGGAGTGTTCGAGCTAGTTATGATACAAGTACATTAAATAAAGACCAAATGGTTAATCATTATTCAAGAAATGGTTGTTTTACAACGAAGGTTATTAATCAATTTCAATATAATTTTAAAGAACATTACATATATATATATATATATATTATTTTAGGTTGGTATATGCAATAGTCTTCGTAATTTACAATGGTTTCATCCAGGTTGTGCTGAAGAATTCTTTCCTCGATGTTATAAATTATCTCATGAAGATGACAAAGTTGCCTACATTGGTAATATTCTTTTACTAGAAATATATTTTCGATTATATGATTTGATTTTATATTAAGATGATTATCGTTTAACAGCATGTATTAGTTTTCTTAAACTTATTCAAAATCGATGTAAAGGTGTCATTGAACCAGATATGAATTCAATATTAGCTATGAGCTCAGATGGTCCAACTGATCCTAAAAATCCAGTAATAACACCTAATGAAGAAGAAGCACAATTAACAAGATCATTAACTATGCCTCCTGGACAATTATTATCAAAACCTCTTCCTGGAAAAACTTCAACAAAAAAAGTACCTTCATCATTTATTGAATTTGCTTTGAAGAAAGTCAATGATTATACAATATCACGTGAACATGAAGATATTGATATACTTCCAAATACAACAATAGAACCATCTGATGAACAATGGACACAATTTATTGACCAATTCTATGCTGCTTCTCAGTAAGAATTCTAATGAAAAAAAGTTTTGTACTACAAATATTAATTTTATTCTATTTCGAAGTTCAAATGGTGATATTGAAGGTATGGAAAATTATTTAAACAGAGTTGATGAAGCTTTAAAAAATGTTGAACCACATTGGCCACAATATCATATCGATGGTACAAGAAATATATGGATTCTTAAACCTGGTGCTAAATCAAGAGGACGAGGTTTTTCTTTCTAATTATTAATATAGGTCGATATATGTATATTGTATTTTAACTTAGGAATTGTTGTTTATGATCGTCTTGATGATATATTAAAATTATGTTCATCAACATTAACAAAAGATGGTAAATTTGTTGTACAAAAATATATTGAACGACCATTACTTATTCATAATATAAAATTTGATATACGTCAATGGTTTTTAGTAACAGATTGGAATCCATTAACAATATGGATGTATAAAGATTGTTATTTTCGATTCTGTACTGAACATTTCAGTTTAGAAACACGACAACAAAATGTACACTTATGTAATCATTCAATACAAAAAAATTATAAAAATAATTCTAATCGACATAATGATTTACCAGGTAAATTATAAATGTATATATATATAATGATGTTTTATTGTTCGTATTAGCGGAAAATATGTGGACAAATGCGGAATTTATTGAAAAACATCTTCGACCAAATAACTCAGTTGATCGTTGGGATAAATATATTTATCCAGCAATGAAAAATGCTATTATATGTTCGATGCTTGTTGCTCAAGATACTATTGATCCAAGAAAAGTATATAGAATTATCTTTTTTTTGTTATATTTTAAAATAAAATCCTTGTTTTCTTCTATTAGAATTCATTTGAATTATATGGTGCTGATTTTATGCTTGGTGAAGATCTTAAACCGTGGCTTATTGAAATAAATTGTAGTCCAACAATGGCTCGAAGTACTGAAGTAACAGCAGAAATGTGTGATGGTGTCTTAGAAGATACTTGTAAAGGTAGTTTAAATTAATAGTAAAATATAAGATAAAAATTGTATATATATATAGTTATGATCGATCGAAGGTACAATAGAACAGCTGATACTGGTCGATTCGAATTGATTCATAGAGGAACACCCGTACCTGTCCCCATTTATGTTGGAATCGATCTCCGTGTTGAAGGTAAAATCTGTAGAACTGGCCGGCCTGTATTCAATCCTCCTGTAACAACAACAACAACAACAACAACACAAAATAATATTAATACGAATAATAATAACAATAATTACAAGAGTAACAATAATAATAATAATAACAATACAACCAAAGTACCTGCTTCAGCACCTCCACAATCGAATGGACCATCTCCTGAATCTACTGAAAATCATTCTACTCCTTCTTCACAGACAAATAATAATCATCTTTCAGAAAATCAGTTACTTTCTGCGAAAAGTTTTCATAATCTTGCTTCACTAAGACTTCGTCGAGAAATGAGTCAACCAGCATTAAGTCGTGTTGAACTAACCTGTTCAACAGATTCTTCGTCTGAGAAAAATGCAACAAATGATAATTTATCATTACATTCTCGTCCAAATGTAAACTATAGATTAAGTCAACAGCCTGATATACGACAAAAACAATACAAATTAAATCCTGCTCGTCTCTCTATTGAATATCTCCCGGTTCGTCAAATAAGTCGATCAAGAGTTTATGATAATCCTCCATCACCAAAAGGTAAGAAAATTTTTATCTTCTTTATTTTCTTCGTTCATACAAGTTTTTTTACATGAAAAACTAATTCCGAATTTCCCTAAAGATTTATTAACATTACTGGATGTAACTCGATTACCAATATTACCAGTTCGTTCACAACATATCAATCGAATCATACAACAAAGAATACTAGTCAATAGTCAAAAAACTCGATCATCATGTCATAATGAACAAATACTTTTTTCTTCTTTAATTATTTCAACTTCACAAGCAACTGTAGAAGAATAGTTTTCCTATTTATTTAATTTGCACATTGATTTTTTCTCATTTATACTTTCATATTTCATTTTCTTGAAAAAAGAAAACAAAGATATAAACGCTAAATGAAGCACTAAGACAGCTTATTTATTTCTCTCAGCATTATGTACAATACTACGCTAAATAATTATTGATTTCTTACACAGATAATGCTTTTTAGTCAGAACACATTATTACATATATATATTTTTTGTTTTTCTCTTCACGCCGAATTAAGCATTTTGTTTTTATGCATAATGCTTTATGTTCCGTGAAAATCTGTCTATTTATTGTATCGAAATGAAAATCATTTTGACGTATTTTTATATTTTCATGTAGGCATCAGTAACAAACCCAATTCAATTTCCAAAATAAATGTTGAGGATTTTCTATGCATACATAAAGGCAAGTCTATTAACACAAAAGATGAAAAATAATTACGTTTGAAATTTTTACTAATTCACGATTTTTTTTGTGCGTGTTTAATTTGAAAAAATGAAAGAATTAAATCAATTATCAATTTAATTCATTTCGTATATTTTTTAGGTGTTAGATTTCCGACTCAATTACCATTTAATCGTCAATATCAACGAGCTTGGGTAACATATAAAACGCCACAATTATCAGTGTCACAAAATACAAAATTGTTGAAACCTCGGAAAACAACAATTATACCGTCTCATCTTCCAAATATTTCAAATCTTTCTATTCCAGCTACAATTGCAGCCATATCAGCTATGAATGAAAATCACGGACATTCGTCAACATCATCATCTGCTCTTGCCGTTGTATGAAAAAAAAAGAAAACGAGTTTTATCAATCAACAGTGTTGATGAAACGTTTATTTTATTATTATTAGACTTTTTTTTATTAGTACATAAGAAAAAAGAATATATTTTTTTACAATTGTATTTTTATTTATTGTTTAAGAACATTAAACATTTCTGATGAACCTGAATTCATCATGTTTGTTGAAACCATTGATTCATTAGCAAAATAGATAAATGGTCGTATGAACCAACTATAACCAGCAAAGACATCATTTGGTAATAATTTAAATTGAAGACGATTATTTGTTTCCTTTATAAAATTATTGATTGTACTTACACTGCGTGCTCCTGATATATAACCACGAGGTCCACCTGATGGATTTGACCCACGAATTTCAATACCAATAAGAACATTATCATTTATTGGTACATTTTCAAATTCAACTGTATAATGAACAGTTGATGATGCTCGATAATTTCCACTTGTTATTTGATTATCAGGTAATAATCGAACATGAATAGTACCGGGCACTGGTGTTATTGATGTTGTGATTGTTATTAGAAGACAAAAGAAAAAAACTGATAGAAACATCGTTATTCACCTTTCTGTTTAATCGTATAACGCGTATGTGATATGCAGTTAACTTATAAAGTATTTTCCTTTGTATGCTCATGTCTTATAGGCTTAAAACATCATTAACCAATGGAAAAACTAATCTTTTCTTTGAATTTTAAATGGTATAGTACAGAATGATTTTTTATTTACGTATATATATATATTTATATAAAGACATCGTGATTAATCGAAGAAGTGCAGTTTAATTGTTAGTCATTTTTATGTTTTACTTTTTGGGAAAGAAAAGAAATAAAGTAATTAATTGTAACGAATATCTTATTACAATTGTTAATAACTTAAATTCGTTTGTTAGTATATATATATCTAATATGTAATATATGCAAGTCTTTCAAAAAAAAAAAGAGATAAAGTAGAACGGAATAGAAAAAGAAAAAAACAAACAAATAGTTCAGAATTTTTAAAAACGGAGATCAAAATGAAATATGAATTGTTTTCTGTTTTTTTCAAATATTGTATTTTTTACATAGTCGAACGAAGTAATGGTGTATATGGAGGAGGTGAATAAGCCTCCTGCTGATAATTAGTTGATTTAATAGCTTCTTCATATTTTGGTGGAGAATACATCTTTAAATGAAAAAAAAAACAAAATGTTATTTAGATGAAAATAAATAAATCAAATTTTACTTCTCCAATAATTGGTTGTACACCATCTGTAGCTGTAAATGTTCCAATTGATCGTGCCATTGTTAATGCTGTTATATAACCATAACAATACCATATAATAGCAGCAATGTAAAGCTATTAGAGAAAGACATTGAATATTTTGAGAGAATGAATAATTAATTATTTGTGCAAAACATACTTTAGCTAGAATAACAAAAAGAAGAAAAGTGTATATAACAAGTTGAAGTGTTTGAGTATCGAGTTCAAGTAAATTTTGTTTAAATGGAAAATTTGGTTGCATTCGAAGCCAAACTGTAACATCAGGCATATATGCATAAAAACCTAACATTGATAAAATTGATATAATGACATTAAATACTTTGATTAGAAAATATGGAACGATATATGATGGTTTGTTCTTTTAAAATAAGAAATTAAGATTAATCAATATAATGATAAACTTACGGTTAAAATACCACAAATATGTGCCAGAATAAGAATTGTTGCTGAGAAAACAACAAAGAAAACAACACACTTATCTTCTAAATCAAATTTTCAACGAAAAAATCATTTTCTGTTTCAAAACTTTTTTGTTTACATACGTGGACTAAGTGATGCTGCCCATTTAACTGTCATTAAATCAAGATTTGAATAAAAATTTCGAGTATTCAATCCAACTGGCATACGTGTCATATTACGTTTTTCAAGCATTCGATTTAATAAAATATTACTTGAAAGATAATTTTTATGTTGCATTATTGTATCCGGTGTTTGTTCAGGATGTGATTCAGCTAATGATATTTGTGATGACGGTGAATAGAGATTTTTTCCTACAAGAGAATCCTCTGTCATCATCAATGGTGATGGTTGACGAAACATAAATATTAAAGCACATAATACTATTGAATGAATAACTAAATCCCATAGACCAATTAGTAATGCAGCTGCCCTAAATAATTCAAAAAGGATAACATTATACATATATATACATGAATTTTAAATTTTAAGAATATCCCATGTCTTCAAAATCGCTAAGGTTTGGGCGATGAATCGCGATTTTTCAAAATATTGACGATTATATCGCCAGTAAGAAATGCTTATTTTGTTGAAATCATTACAAATCAAGACTTTTCGGCAAAAAGTCCTTTATTTTGGCGATTTTATCGCGATAAATCTCACAATTAATCGGGTGCTAAATCGTGATTAAATCGTCGATTTTCCCCCCGATTTTGATGATATGGGGAATTTTTTTATTTCAAGAATAAACAACAACCTCCGCTTATTGTTTTTGTAAATCTACATGATTCATAGACATGACATTGTGACAATGGGATAGGATTAACTGATAACCTTAACAATGTAAGAAGACTGCTTTTTTATCTGTCGAGTTAATTTCTAAGTTCATGTTTTCTTAGTTTTAATCTTACCTAATTCGAATACAAAAAAGAACACGTCTATTGTATTGACGTCGTACATCAGTTTCAACATCAATTGTAGTAATAACCATTGTTTATCTTGTAAAGATACAAAATAAAAAACAAAAGTTTTCCTTTTGAAAAATCTAGAAAAAAAAACAAAGTCAACATCGAACTTTTCCTAATGTGAAAGACTACTAAACTGATATTTAAAAAAAATGAGTAGTATATATTTAGTTTGTAAACAAAAGAAAGGAAAAAGGTAAGATCATTCCTGAGAAATAAACACCAGGGATAATAGCACACAACGTTTGACGATTTAATCATTTTTAGTATGAATATGTTGTTCACGTTGTATATATGTATTATAAATTAACGATCCACAACTGACTAAACAAAACATTGTATGATGCCAAAATAATAAATATGAAAGTATTACAGTCACATGTTGATGATTAAATAATGTACGTAGTTCGTTCCATGTTACAAGTAATGATGAATTTGCATCTGTTGAATTCATCATATAACTATCAAAAGATTGTAACCATTTCGGTGGTGTTGGTGAATTTATAGGTATAACATTATTACCATACGAAAAAATTTTGAAAAAAAAACAAATAATTAATTCAATAAATGCTGGTAATATATATTGAGATGTAACAACTCCAAGATAAAGAAATATTGATGTTACATTACGTTGATATGATAAATTTGTTATTTTTGTTGTTGTTAATTGTTGTTGATCATATAATGTTTTAACACGATCAAATGCTGTATCAAGATATGTTTGTACATATGGTTTAAATAAACAAATACGTAAGAAAATACATGAAACAACTGAAATTATTTGTAATTGTAAAAGATAATTTTCATCCAAACGTTCTATTATTGGTTTAAACCATAATAGACATGTAAATATTGGTAATATAAAATTAATTAATGTTAAAATAAATACAAAGATTTGTTTAAAATCTTTTTTTTGTAATGTTTTAGTTTTTATTTTTAATAAAATTAAATATTGTAATTGACCAAAACGAAATGCTGGAAAAAATAATATTATTGATTGGTATGCATTTATAAATGCTAATAACATAACAATATATAAAAAACGACGATCAAGATAATTAACTTCTTCATCATTATCATCATTATACACAATTGTACGATTTCCAAATGTATCTTTTAAATTAAAATGAAAGAATTTTTCATCGATATATTGTAAACATAATGCAATTAAAAATGATAAAGCACCAAATAGAATACATAAAATTCCTTCATCGACTTTTAAATATTCTCGAACAAATCTTGTTAAAACTGCTAATGCAAGTAATAATGATAGTGTACACCAAAATAAACTTAAATTGATTTCATTTAAATGTTCCGTATTATGACGAATCAATGGAATTACATAAAGATATAATTCCGTTAGAAGAAAAATTACTATTGAACCTGATATAAAATCAACTAAAGAAAAAAATTCATCAATATATTTGATTTGTATAACATCTTGATGTCCTAATGAAATTAATTTTAATTCAATTGATGTATCAGTTGGAACAGTAAATTCTTCGTTGATATTTGATGTATCATTATTATTAATAGAAGAATTTTTATGATAAGATTTTGATAAATTTGATTTTTTTGATTTTGTATTAGTTTCTTTTGTATAACGTTGTTTTATTGCTTGTTTTAATTCCTCATTTGATGGTGGCCAATAACAAAATAAACCTTTACATAATAACCAACGGCCAAATGAGTAATACTTAGTTAATTTAGTTAAAAAACAAAAAACAACTAATGATATAACGATTTGTAAACCAAATATTGCCATTTTAAAAGATTATTGCCTATGTTTAATTGATTATTATTTATTACGAATATATAAATAAATCAAGTGTGTAGGCTTTTTTTTTATTGCACATATTTAGATTTCCATTAACTATTCATCTGAGCCTCCTTTTTCTATAGGTTTAATTTTAAAAAATATAGAATTAGAAAAATAAAACTTTCATTGTTCTATATATTTTTCCTAGTTCTTAAGAATATCAATCAATATCATATTGTACTTGTGTATAGTTTATTCATATTTCAGAGTCTAGTGACATCTACTAATAGAAATATATAGTATTGTTTTTTCTTTGCCTATGATAAATTTAAATATCATAAGTATTATATATAAATACAATAAAAATAGAATTAAAATTGTTTAGTGGATTTATAAAGAAAAATAAGCTTTTGCCCTTTCTATGATAGTTAAATAATATGTTTTTTTAATTAATTTTTAAACAGAAAGACAAAAACACCAGTTAACGACCTTGTTTTCCTCGATTATCAGATGAAAAAGATCTTCACTCATTCACAAGAAAATCTTATCTAATCTCCAAGACAAACATCATGCAATGTCTTTGTGTATATGTATCTATACATATATATCAACGCCTATACTATATTTGTTTCGTTTTAGATGAAAACAAATTATGTTTGTTATATTCGATTTAATGAGCAAATGATAGTCTCTTTAAACAAGGTGTGAGTTGTATGTCAATAATAGGTAAGTCAACATATTTTTGAATAAAGATACACATACCAAACCTTATCAATGTGTCAAATTATAGCTGATTTTACAGTTTTCAAATAATAATTTGATGAAAAAATCAATCATCAAGTCGAATAACAAATATGCAGAAGACGGATCTCAGTAATTGGTAAGAACTTCTAATATAAATAAAATATGAGTGTGGGTGTGGATGGAAGACAGAGCAAAACCCGCACCCTCAAATGAAAATCTTTAGTTATGATCACTAGTATCATATTCTCATATTTCTCATATACTATCGTATCGCTAAACGTGAATCAATCGAAACTTTACTCCTACCGATTTGTACAAGAAAAATATTTTATCGTCAGCTTTTTTTTCTTTTGTTTTTCTTGCTTCGAACGCATAGTTGCACCACGAATAGAAAAATACAACACTCGTGAAATAAATGCGCATTTCAAAAGAAGAAATAAAAGCAACAACACACTACACATTTCAACAGTTTCTATCGCAGACAAACAAAATCATGGCAATAAGTTTGATTACATTACCGGTAGAACTAGTCTATCGAATCTTGGACCATCAGAGTGATTTTACTCTCCTGTGTTCTATGCGAAATGTGTGCCAGAGACTCAATCAAATCGTCGACAGCTACGATCGATACCAGGTAAGCCTTCTGCTTATTATATCCGGCTAATGTTCATCAATCTTCAAGTTTCTTCTTCCACCCATACGGTTTGTAAGCCAGATAAAATAGTAGACAATTTCTCTATTACGAGACAGGCTAATCTATCATTCTGGCTTCGAGATCCGGCAGGAAACCAGTGGAAACGTATAACCATAACGTAAAAACACAACTTTCGAGTACAGAGAACATAGAAACACAATGGAACGCAGATATCGGATATTCCACTAGGATATCGATCCGTTTCCAGTGCATTTTCATGAATTTTTCCCATTTTCTCGCAGGAAACGCTAAACGGTGTCCGTAATAATTCGTCTCCGAACCAATCATTAAGTTTCACTTGATCTCTACAGTTTTTCTCAGAATTCGATACACTCCAAAGAAGTCTAGTAAGTTCCTATAAAATTTCTCACGTTCCTCGTGATATAAAAAGCTACGCACCGAAGACTATCTAGAAAACGTACAAATATACAGCTGAGTTTCATCATCCTTCATATATAATCGTATTAAACAACTGTATGAGTCTACACCTGATGCAGCGTGTAGGTGTGGATATATGGAAGAAAAAGGTGCCGACACCAGCACCCATACCCTTGACACAGAACGCTTCGTAACAACAACACCATTCTAAAATCCTTCTCATATCTATTTCGAAAACCGCATGCAGACATTCATCGCATTGGATCTTTCAGACACCGGCGTCGGACCAAAAGGAGCAGAACAGCTCGGTGATGCACTACGAAATAATACAGTAATGTTCATTTACTTTTTACCCATTTCACAACAACTATTTGTACTTTCTCATATAGACACTCACCACACTGAATCTCGCTTCGAACATAATCGGAGATAAAGGAGCACGGCACATCGGTGATGCACTACGACAGAACACAGTAATCTTGATTCACTCTTCACCTTTTTCACATAAGTACCAATACTTTCTCATACAGACACTCACAACACTGAATCTCGACAACAACTACATTAGAGATAAAGGAGCACAACATCTCGGTGATGCATTACGAATTAACACAGTAATATGTATTCACTCTTTACTAATTTCGTATAACTATTGGTGCTTTCTCATACAGACACTCACTACACTGCATCTGGCTTGGAACAAAATCGAGAATGAAGGAGCACAAAATCTCGGTGATGCACTACGAATTAACACAGTACTCCTCATTCACGTTTCACCGATTTCATATAACTATTTGTACTTTCTGATACAGACACTCACCACACTGTATCTCTCGTGTAACATCTTCGGATATGAAGCAAGACAATATCTCGATGATGTACGACGAAATAAGAGGGTGGTATATTAAGGGTGTGTTGGCGTGAATCTGTCGAAAACCAGTTAGCATATCTTTTAACGAAAGACAAATTGAATTTAGTGGATCCTAGTTTTGCGTTTCAGTCATGGGCTTGTATGCTCAATATTGATTTTATATTTTAAGTTTTTCTTGTGAAATAATTAATTATATACAGTCCTTAGTTCACCAATACGTTTTGTGTTATTTATTTAAATTTAAGCTCTTACCAAAGCTATGCAAATGAAATAGGGTGGTTGTCTTCTTCTTCCATATTCCGACATACACATCCAAGACAAGGCTTACTACATATCGTTTTTCGAAATTATAATAAAATCAATTTAATTTTTATTTAACTTTATTTCTAAAGAATTCAAAATAAATAGTCACGAACGAAAAATATTCCTTTGATTATGAGATAATTACAAATTATAATTTTTTAGTATAGACATTTCGTTGTTTTTTCTTAAGTAACAGTAACAATGACAGAAACGATAAATAAATAAAAATTAACATCTGACAAAAAATTTCAGTAGATTATTTAAGAGATTCAATCCCAAGATTCTTCTGGTTGATTCGATTGATGTTTATGTTCTATTGTTTCATTTGATTTACTAGTTAAACATAGATCATTTTCATTTTCATGATAATCCTCGCGTGAATGCATCGGTGGATCTTCAGAAAGAATAATTCGATCATTATCAAGCATTTTATAACCAATAGATTCAATAATCTGTTTCAAATCTTCTAATACTAATTTAAAATGTATTAAACGAGGATGATTAATTAATGTTTGACAATTTACAGTTAATGGATATGTATCATGATTATCATCACCATGACGAGCTTTATCTTCAGCCATTAAACGATACATTTCAAGAATATATCGAACTTGTTCATCAAGTTTAGTAATTTGTTTAATACCATGTGGATAATCAATTAAACTGATAATTTCATGTTGTTTACAATAAGATAAACGTTTGAAAAATTCATTTGATGTTAAAGTTATTTCATTATTGATTTCTTGACGATAGAAGATAGCTATTTGTGTACATGTACCAATATTTCGATATTGTTCATTTAATGGTGCTTCACCAACACCAGTAAATTCGATTAGATAACCATAAGTTAAAGCAATTTTCTGTGCCCATATATTAAATTCTTGACGTGTAAATTCAAATTTATGATCAGCATGACGAAATTGTCCACAAGGCATTGTTGAAAAAAGAACATTAAAATCAGCATTAGGTGTTGTTACAATAACAAGACGAGGACGTATATAAGCAAATACATGTGTTACTAAATTTTCTAAATCATTTAAATATAAATGTTCAATAACTTCAATAAGAGTAACAACATCAAAATGATGAAAACAATTACATATTTTTGTTGCATCACCTTCAAATAAAATCAATAGTATTTATGAAATTTTTTTCTCTGATATAGAATATCTTAAAACTTACTATGTAATACATACATATGCAATGGAGTTTCACGACGAAAAACCATATATTCAACAGGTAATGGTTTTAATCTAAAGCATGCCTCATCAAGTTCAAAACGAACAATATCAACTGCAGCAGCTAATTGTATATGAGGATTACGATATTTGCCAATAGTTAATAATTGACATGAACCGCAACCAATATCAAGTAATGAATAAAGAGTAGGATCACGTTCAATAATATCAAGTGTAAACATATAACGTTGTCGATAAAGTGGTGGAGTAAAATGAACTTCACCTTCATTATCAGGAATATGATGTGATGAAAGTTCAGATGTAGGAATATCATTAGAAGGCGGTATAGTTGTTTCTGATGATGATGCCATATCTACAAGATTGGCTAGTTTTTAATCATATTTTTGTAAAGTTATTACTTCAAAATAGTACAATTTATGATTATTGCTCCGAATACATTTTCAAGCTACTCTTTTCTTACATCTATATTTCTTAGAGAATCAATTTATAAAAAATCTTAATATTATAGTTCATTTAGAAGACAATTTTAATTTTAATATGAAAATTAATACTATTCATTGATTTGTTTTGTTTGAACCAATTAAAAACTAATAACTATAATGTGAACGCCGAAAAAGATATTAAACTTCATATAAAACAATAATTATAGTGCAATTTCTATTTCATTAATTATATAATTAAATAAGAATTACAAACTAGAGGTCGCTGAATTAGTACCTATTCATTCATTCAAAAATAAAGAGAAAGACTTTCTCTGAACAAAGACTAACGTATATATCGTGGTATCGATCGACGAACAGTGCATTTCATAGTCGATAAAGATCTAAGTCAGTCTATTTTTTTGTTATTGGAACAGTTATGCTTCCACAAAGTAATACAACAAATATCGGTGGAGTTAAAATGCAAAAACTCAAATCAAGTGAAGATATACATGCTAATTCATTATTTGTTATTAAACGAGGTATTTAATTTTTCTTCTATGCCAGATTTATAATAAAATTTATATTATTACTTAAGATGGCCGAAAAGAATATGCTATGTTTGATAAAATTACATCACGTATATCAAACTTAAGTGAAGGTCTTGATCTAGATTATATTGATCCAGTATGTATATAATTATTATTAAATATTGCTTTATACTTTAAATATTTCTTTATTCTAGGCAGCTGTTGCTTTACAAGTTATTAACTTTCTTCATCCCGGTAAATAATTTTATTCTATTTTCAATAAGAAAACAAGTTTTATAAACTATATATATATTTATGTTTAGGTGTTACAACAGTTGAACTTGATAATTTAGCAGCACAAAAAGCTGCTTCAATGACAGTTAAACATCCACATTATGGTATATTAGCTGGACGTATTGCTGTTAGCAATTTACATAAAGAAACAAAAAATTTGTTTAGTGGTTTGTATTTCTCTAATCATTGATCATTCATTTAAATTTATATATGATTTATTCTTGTAGAAGTTGTTGCTGATATGTATAATCATAAAAATCCTGATTTGAATACACATGCACCAATTATTTCACAAGAAACATATGATGTTGTTATGGCTAATGCTGATGTATTAATTAAATTCTATTTATTTATTACTATTTTGTTTTGTATTGTTTTCTAGAGACTCAATGCAGCTGTTAGACACGAACGTGATTTTGATTTTAATTATTTTGGTTTCAAAGTAAAATTCTTAGTTCAATTTATTTAGTTTTTATTATATTACTTTTAGACATTGGAACGTTCATATTTACGTCGTATCGATAATACAATTGCCGAACGACCACAACATATGCTTATGCGTGTTGCTGTTGGTATTCATGGTTCAGATATCGATAGTGCTATTGAAACATACAATTTATTATCAGAAAAATGGTTCACACATGCAACACCAACACTTTTTAATGCTGGTAAAAATATATTACAATATTCCTATTAAATCTATTTAATTTCTTTTTTCTAAGGTACAACAAAAGCACAAATGGCATCATGTTATTTATTAACAATGTGTGATGATAGTATTGAAGGTATTTTTGAAACAATTCGCCGATGTGCAATTATTTCAAAGAATGCTGGTGGTATTGGTCTTGCTATTAGTTGTATTCGAGCCAATGGTTCATATATTGAAGGAGTAAGAATTATTTCTTTCATTTGATGTAGTTTTAAAATAATTAATTTTTTTATTTTTTAGACAAACGGTCGTTCAGATGGTATTTTACCAATGATGCGTGTATTTAATAATGTTGCTCGATATGTTAATCAAGGTGGCAAACGACCTGGTAGGAATTAAAATGTAATATATAGATTTTTTTTATTTTCTTATATTTTTCTAATAGGTGCTTATGCACTTTATATCGAACCATGGCATACTGATGTATTTGAATTTTTGGATGTACGAAAAAATACTGGTGCTGAAGATAAACGTGCACGCGATCTTTTTCCAGCATTATGGATACCTGATTTATTTATGCGTCGTGTTGAAGCAAATGATAAATGGACATTAATGTGTCCACATCAATGTAAAAATTTACAAAATGTTTGGGGCAAAGAATTTGATGATTTATATACAAAATATGAATCAGAAGGTCGTGGACGTCGTACAGTTAAAGCACAAGAATTATGGTTTGCTATTGTTAATGCACAAATTGAAACAGGTACACCATTTATGTTATATAAAGATCATTGTAATGCTAAAAGTAATCAACAACATCTTGGTACAATTCATTGTTCAAATTTATGCACGGAAATTATTGAATATACAGCACCAGATGAAGTAGCTGTTTGTAATTTGGCATCAATTGCACTTAATCGATATGTTCGTCCAGATAAAACATTTGATTTCGATAAACTTGTTCAAGTAACAAGTGTTATTGTACGAAATTTAAATAAAATTATTGATGTCAATTTTTATCCATTAAAAGAAGTATGTCTTTCTAGTTTGTTTAATTGATAAACAAATATTAAATTTTGTGTTTTCAGGCTGAAAAATCAAATCTTCGTCATCGTCCAATTGGTATTGGTGTTCAAGGTCTTGCTGATGCATTTTGTTTAATGCGTTTTCCATTTGAAAGTGAAGAAGCTCAACGACTTAATCGTGATATATTTGAAACAATCTATTATGCTGCATTAAAAACAAGTTGTGAATTAGCTAAAACTCATGGTCCATATGAAACATATCCAGGTTCACCAGTTAGCAAAGGTGTAAGTATTTTTATAAAATTATATTTGTCGATCCTATGATAACTTTTTTTAACAAAGATTCTTCAATTTGATATGTGGAATGTTAAACCTTCAAATCGTTGGGATTGGACAGAACTTCGTAGACAAATATCTGAACATGGTGTTCGTAATAGTTTATTATTAGCACCAATGCCAACAGCTTCAACAGCTCAAATTCTTGGTAATAATGAATCAATTGAACCTTATACCAGTAATTTATACGTGCGACGTGTACTTTCTGGAGAATTTCAAGTAAACTAAATTTATAAATATTTGAAATTAATTTTTCATGATTTATCTTTGAAGGTTGTCAATGATCATTTATTAAAAGATTTAACTGAATTAGGTTTATGGAATCTAGATATGAAAAATCGTTTAATGTACGAAAATGGTTCAATTCAAGTATGATTATTATATTTTTGTGTTTTTATAAATTTATTTTAATATCTTATTTGATAATAGAATATTGAAACTATTCCTGATCATATTAAAGCATTATATAAAACAGTTTGGGAAATTTCACAAAAAGTTATTATCAATATGGCTGCTGATCGTGGTGCTTTTATTGATCAATCACAATCATTAAATATTCATATTGCTGAACCAAATATGAATAAACTTTCATCAATGCATTTCTATGCATGGAAAAAAGTGTGTTTTTATATTATTGATCTTTATATATATTTCATACTTTTTCTTTGAAGGGTCTTAAAACTGGTATGTATTATTTACGTACACGACCAGCAGCTGATCCAATTAAATTTACTGTTGATAAAAGCCGTATAAATGCAACAGTAAAGACTGATGGATCAATCGAAAAAGGAACTGGTGCACAAGAAGAATTAACAGCAACAACAACAACTTCCGAAGAACAAAATCTTGCCCGACGTATGAAACAATGCAATGTAACCGATGAAAATGGTGCTTGTCTTATGTGTTCATCATAGATGATGACTTATTATGACTCAAATGTTTATAACTTTTCAGATTAACATTTCTCATAAATACTCAGGCAAAGAGAAGATTATTCATTTTTTTTTCTGAAAGCATGATATTTTTCTCGTATTTTATTATGTGTTTGTATGTATTAGTAGATAAAAAAAACATAGTGTAGTTGAAAACGAACAACGAAAATAAAACTTCTTAATTTTTTGAATTGATCGTGCTCCTGAAAAACAAAACAATCGATTGATGTGATGAGAACTAGTATCATACATTAAATATTATTTATACTTGTGAATAACATTAGTGAAATTTATGAACGGATAGAAAAATATTTGATTTTACTCTTGTATTATAAAAACATACTTTTGATAGATCAATAAAGTACATGATTTAACCAACTATTACGTTGAAAAATATGTCGAGTTCAAGGAACAAAAAGGTGGAATTTCAAGAGTGTGTATTTTACTGTACTTGAAATGTTTGCTTTAAGCTCTGAAATTGCTCTTACTACCATTGGTTAATATGAAATTAAAAGTTCTAAGTTGCTCCATTATTTACCAGCAGATTATCGTATAAATAAGAATCTATTGCACAACAAAAATGAAAGAAGTAGATATGTTTTTCCCAAGACAGAAGATGATTCATTTTATCATCAGAAATTTCCAAAAGACAAGTCTCTATCGTGGTAACTTGTTGATTCATTCTATTACTGTAATATCTTGAAATTTATCAAATATTATGGGAATTTGAATAGTTATCAAAGTATGACTGATGTATTTTATTATGTGCATGATAGCGCCATCTATTGATTGAAAAACAAGACATTTTCATGTAACAAGTAAGAGGGCTGAGCAAAATACATTACACAAGGAAGAAAATGGCTACTACTTTTTCTTTGCCATTGTTTGACTCATCCATTTTGTTCTCGATTTAGTTATTGTGTAAGAAGAGAAAGAAAAAAGAGAAATCTCTAAATATAAATACAATTCTGAAAGGAAGCATATTTTTTGTTCTAAAACTTATTAATAGGTTTTCTTTACATTAAAGATGTCTGCTTCATCTTCGAAACCGTCGCAACCCGCACCGACAACATTTAATGAACGTCTTAATGAGCAACTTATTAACTGCTTAAATGTTCAGACCAATGTGATACAAAATTTGGCTCAATATTCACAACATATTTCGCTACAATTATTCGAAATTAAGGTTTCTTTTTCTTATTCTTTTGTCATATTTATCAAGGTCGTTTTTCAATGTTTAGAATGTTGTCGAAATGCTTTCAAATCGAGTATTAGCTCTACAACAGCAACAACAACAACA